ATAACTCCTCTGCAAGCGAGCGTCAAAGCTATACAAGACGCACCTATGCCAACGTATCTTCATTCCCTGCGCTCCTTTTTAGGACTTGCAGGATACTACTCAAGATTTCTTCGTAATTACGCGAACGAAGTTGAACCGCTGAGAGATCTACTGCATGGGGAGAAGGCATTCGTGTGGACAAACGAACCGTAGCTGTGCTTCGAGAGGATTAAAGTGCTGATCTCCAACTGCAAAGCACTCTCCGTGTTCAATCCAGAATTGCCAGTACTTGTTACTACAGATGCATCTGGATACGGAATTGGCGCTGTCCTCCAGCAACCTAGCGGATCCAACCTTGGAACCGTTGCATATGCTTCACGAATGCTTTCACCAGCAGAACGCAAATACTCTGTTGGAGAACGAGAAGCCCTCGCATCTGTTTGGGCACTAGAACATTGGCATGTGTACCTTTGGGAAGACCATTCACCCTCTACACGGACCATCAAGCACTTACCACCTTATTGAGTTCTCAAAGCACGGGTCACCGTCCACTCAGAATCGCTCGATGGACAGCTCGTCTGCTGAACTATAACTTTGCTGTGTGCTACAAGAAGGTTGAGGACAACGTCATCGCAGATGCTCTTTCCCGACTACGATTACCTGCCACATCACCTGATAATCTGGATGAGGAAGTTATTTCGGTCATAACTCAACATCCTATCTCCAAGGAGGACATCCAGATTGCAACATCTGCAGATGCGGTGATTAAAAAAAGTTAAGCATTTTCTTTCTACAACATGGCCATTGAAAGGTAAACTAGGTACTGAATTTTTACCATTCTACCAAGTGCGATCTGAGCTTTCAGAGGTGAGTGGCTTACTTCTACGTGGAGAACGGGTTGTTGTCCCATCTACGATGACTACCAAGGTCATCGCCCTGGGTCACGACTCACACTTGGGAATAGTACGAACAAAACAAAGGTTGAGATAGTGGTATTGGTGGCCAGCCATGGATGCCAAAGTGGAACACGCAGTTCGAGGTTGTCTGACCTGCCAGACAGCAGGCAAGTCTGCAAAGACATCTCCGGCTCCTCTGCATGTCATATCACTTCCCGCGCATCCTTGGGAGAAGATTGGTATTGGTATTGACATAAAAAAATGAAGAAGACAATGAGAATGGGGCTGCCTTGTCGGCGTTCCCTGCTTACTCTGCTTAATCAATCACATGTGCGGAAAAATGTATGTAAAATATTGATTTGATATTTTGAATCCAATATAAAAGACATTAGATAGCTAGTAATCGAGGTTTGTTATGGCGAACCTTTTCGAAGGCACTTGTGAATTGTGGAGTTTGATTTCAAAGCAATATTTGTTTCTGGAAAGAATATTTTTCAGTCAAAAATGGAATGGTTGTTGCGCAAATACCTTGAAAGACAAAGTGGTGCAGATGGAAGTTTTGTGGATTTTTTTTCCAGCCGCTAGAACTCGAGAATGTGTCATGAGTGCAGAAGCTAGTCACGACAGTGGCACACCAGCACTTCGAAAAATAACAGCATTACAAAAGTATAAGGCGGCGTTCAAGCTGGCTCAAGGGTGTAACTTGTTAAAAACCAAGGACAAGTTAGTATTACGATGTGTCTCGAAGCGAGTGCTTATAAGTAAATGTAAATTGCTCCAAACCAACCACACTGGACTTTTAGGGGCGAAGCTCCTTAAAGTCTAGCCTTGTTCATCCGTCCGTCCGGCCAGCGCCCGTGCTCACATAAGAAAAAATGTTTGCGCAGTCGACAGGATTCGAACCTGTGCAGGGAGACCCCAATGGATTTCTAGTCCATCACCTTAACCACTCGGCCACGACTGCGGGACAGGTAGGGGGCTCTGAGATGGGTTAGTAACTCAAGAGCTGGGGTTTTGTCATGGATGGAACGTTGCATGTAGCCGCTCAACGTCTATACAGGAGAGGGCGCTGCGGTCAAATGCGTATATAATCGCGTTAAACTTTGCATGCATTGGCTCAACTTTTATAAATGAGAGGGCGCTGCGGTCAAATGCTCAAATGCTTATATAACCATGTTTCATACCACACATTCTCTTTCTGACATGGACCGTTGACTTAAGCGGTGGAGATGCGTTCCCACAACTTCTAGCGGATCCAAGCTGATCCGCTAGAAGAACCACTGACTCTGCATTTCACCGACCGTAAAGCAGTAATAATGAAGTCGAAATGCAACCCGAAACTCAGCACTACCTATGAGCAATAAAAATCAGCACCATCAGCACTATCTATGAACAATAAAATCAGTATCATCTGCTCCACCAGAGCTTCGCCCCAATCAAGATCATTCACCACGTGGAGATGCGGTCATTTTTTATATGTACACTTCCACGAGAGCGCTATAAGTGAGAAACAAAAATATATACCGGAAAATGCCAGAGGACCACCCAAGAGCGCTATAAGTGAGAAACAAAAATATATACCGGAAAATGCCGGAGGACCACCCACCCTACTTTACTGGAAACTGAATTAATCTGGACATAGGCACTTTTTCAGTCAAATCAGGCGCTCATCGTATAATTTGAAGAATTCCCAAGTTTGGAACACGTTAATAATGATATCTGGTATATGGGGTGTTAGTGGTGTTACTATATAATACTATGAATACCATATTATATTATTATATAATACCATAATATGGTACAGTGTAGACCGCATATAACGTATGTCGCGGGAGTCGCGAAAATTCACACTATAAGCGGTGCCGCGCTATAACCAAAACATCAATTTTTCAGGCCAAAATGCATGCCATCAGACAACTTACCTTTGTAAAAGAATTTATTTTATGTTAGATGAAAAATAAAGGTTAGTTTGAGGAAAGTCTTTATTTCACCAGACTAGTACACTTCTCTCTCAAGTGTGTCACACATTTTGAAAGAAATGAGCGACTTTTGCCTGGCACAGCCTTTTAACGGCGCCGCGGGTTGCGGACGGACGTTGCGAGCGTTCAGGATTGCTAACCCTAATCACTTTTCTCCGGCGATGAAAACGCGTGAAAATTCGCATCCTTTATACGGTACGCGCCCGTAATACCTTCAACTTGAGCACAGGCATGAAATGCTCCAAATAAGAAATCCGGGCAATGTTCGAAAACACAAATGCTTAGAAAGCACCACTGTAGTCGAAGTAAACAAACACGACCACACGGGCGTTTCTGCCGTCTTGAAAGTGCTGCCACAACATCGCCGCACGAGTAGGTGGATCTTCCCTTCTAGTACGTTCTGGGTTATCATAGCGACACACAACGAAAATTCACAGTCAAGGATAGCGCTTTTACGCGGAACGATGAGCTTCTACCACGCAGTCTACGTCGACGATCAAAACCGACGCCATGTCTGCGGATAGAAGCAGCTGGCCGGCCGGCCCGTGACCGGCATGCAACGCGTGCGAACACTTCTCCTCGAACTGCGATTGGACTGTCGTTGCGGTTGTTTCCAACGTTTTCAATGCAGCGGAGGGATGCACGCACGTGAACGACACGTGCGTGCGTCCCTTCGGCGCTTTGGCAACTGAAGCCTCTCTCTTCGCTTCTCCCCACTTCTTCGAGCAACATCCTTGATCCGCGAGTGCCGCTTGCGGCTCGCGCCGTTATCTAGTGTCGCACAGGGAAGCGTGCTCTCTGCGTCGGTCAGTCGGCGTGGTCGCCGGGCTGTTCCGAAATCCGCACTATAACTGGTATTTCCCTTCGCACGCCTGCATTTTAAGCGGTATGTAATTACATGGAGTTCTATAGGAGGCGAACCGGTGGTTTAAAAAAGCCGCGTTATATTGGTCCTGCACTATAAGCGGTTACGTTGTGAGTGGTCTATACTGTATATGGTGTGTTTTTCTAGAGCTTTATAAATTTGTTTTAAAAATTCCGTGAAAGCTAGACAAATGCGGCTGTGCAGGTGGGTCATAGGGCCAGGGAGACATTAGGGGAATAATCGTCACAATAATTCGGTTAATTAGCTCATGTTTGTTAACTAATTTTTTAATCATTGAAGATAAAGATAGGGTTCCAACCAGAAACCTGCTGAACATCCTCGAAAAGCACTACTAAGTAAATAAATTTCAGAAAGACTCTGGCACGCAGGAATTGTGGTGGTGCCCTAAGGCAGTGGCTCTCAGCCATTGATGTTTCGCGGACCACCTCTGGATCGGCAGAGATGATGTAGGACCCCAATAGTGGTGAGGGGAAAGGAAATTATAGGTTAATTATGATAGTGATTTAATAAAAGAATATAACTAAGGGCTAGTGTGAAGTAAACTTCACTTATTGACGTATACATGAGAAAACGCACCCGAAAATTGGAACGTTTCTTCTGAATCTGAGAAAAAACAACTTTTATTTCCGGGCTTGACTGATGGGGGCGGGCCTCGCGGAGCCCAAAGGGTCCGCGGACCCCCATTTGAGAACCACTGCTCTAAGGTCTTGTGTTAATTAAGGCCGCTGACATGGATGCGCCCGTGCGGTTTGTCCATCTCTTATCGTTCGTGTTTTCGCACTGCCAGCATTGCACGAATGGTAACTTTAGGCCATTACCGTGCTTCGCACGTCCTCAAAATTTTTCTACAGTTGGCTATTTTTTGGTGGTGTTCAATGACGCCTATCAAGTTTCTAATTGAAACCATGTTTATTTTCACTTACTAAAAAGTTAATCGACACATTTTGGTTAATTATCTGACTTATCGTAACGATTAACCCCCATGTATTATTTCTCTTTTGCAATAAACCTCGCCTGTACAGACCGCATTAGTGCAGCTTTCGAGGTTTTTTAAAAAAATATTCGTAATGCCAAAATGAAAACATTGTGCATATGATCACACTCGAGTCTCACTTAAGGATGAGATAGAAAACTAAAAGTTTGTTATCTCATCCCTAAACATAGCCCACCTCAGATTTTTTACCATTTATCTCTTCATTTTGGGTGTGTGCCCTTACCGGATATTAGTGTAAATCGGTTTTTAAACCTTTCCTTCTGCAGGCAAGGGACCTCTCCGTGGCATTTGGCCTCGTCATCACGACATACCTCTTGATCGCCGTTCCTTTCTACATCTCCTTCCCGCTTGCCAAGCACTGCATCGAAGACGTGAGTGGCTGTTGTCTCTTTGCACAACGTGCTTCGTTCAGTACTGGCTGGAATTTCTGGCTATCTACCCTTCGCTTTCTTTGATGCAATTGACAGCTGGGTACATTGTTAAAAGGTTGTCAACTCCCAATGAAAGATTTGAAAGAGAAGAGACCTCGTGCTCTATGCTTCTTGTAAAGTTACAGTTTTGCAGTCACATCTTTAGATTGGATTTGTTTATATGACTACTTTTGGGCGTGACCCGATGTGATAAAGGAATTAAAATGACACCGCCCTGCCAACGTTCTGCCATTTTTAATAGGACAAGAGAGCAAGTAGTCCGTTGCTCCCGTTGCTCAACAAGCTCAACGTTACTCTAAAAAGAAATCTTTACAGTTATTGCTTTCCTGGAGATTTTCATTACAACACTTTGAACACGCACTTGTCTTTAAATAATAACCTTTTTTTTTTCCTCTTTTTTTATAGGCAAAAATTTTGAGCTTGTAGGGGGCTTTATCTATGGCAGTTGCTCCTGCTGATTGAAAGTTTGCACAGCCGAGATTCATTCTTCAACAAAGAGCTTGCGCTTGCAGCGGAATTGTTGTACATTACAAAAACCTGGGAGGCAAGAATTAAAGCGAAACAGAGGGCAAATGAACACAGATAAGTCTAAACTATTAGAATACGTTAAAAGTAGGGGTGTGCGAATATTCGAAACTTCGAATACTTCGCGAATAATGCTTGCTATTCGATTCGATTCGCTTCGCCCTTTCGCTGTTCGAACTATTCGAGTTCTTCGAATACTTCGAGAACTACGAATAACGCGGAACTCATTGATTAGTGTCAACTTGCGGTCGAGTTCTCTGTTTTGTTTTTGGACTGCGCAGTATGGTTTCGAGCTTGGCAAACCTACACAACCAACCTAAGTATCTTTTTTTTTCTCTTTGTAGGAAGGATTGGAAAGTTATTTGCACGCGGTAGCGCGATCTGTCCTTTGCTTGCCGTGATGTCCGGATTGCAGAGTTGGCTAAGTGGTCGTGGTGCAAACGCTGCGATAGATAGGATGAAGGACTACGGTTTGCAACGGCACATGCATCGTCGCGACGGACCGCACGATGTTTCGGGCGTGCGCCCGAGACGTCTTGTATACGTTCCTGTCCACATTCATAGCACAACCATATTTTCGTGATTTCGTACCTGCTACAGTGACTACAGTAGCCAAGGTGCTATGGATTCGGATATGGATTTATAGCTCACCTCGGCTATCGGTGATATCTGGCTTGTGTTATTTTCCGCTTGATTTTCCGGTTTATCAGTTTGCCAGTATTCCGTTTGTTATTTATTTCTACCCGTTTTCAATGATAAAAATGAGACTTCCTCCCCCCGCCAAAAAACAAACAAACAAAAAAAAACATATTCTTAAATTATTGCATCTTTGTGGCGCCCTCTATGGACAGAACTATTGCACACGGAAAGAGATGGTGCATAGTCAGTGCGGTTGCGCAGCGCGATCGCGCAATCTGAAACTCTGCTGTGGCCTGTCGACCCGCCTCCGCTTGTGTACTTCCGTTTACGTTCACGTGGTTGCGTTCACGAGCGTAAAAAGAGATCGCACAAAGTAGAGACGCAATCATCGACTTCGTATTGCGGCTTGCGGACTCGCCACCGCTTCTGTACTTGCGTTTACGCTCAAGTGCCTCCTTTCGTCCGCGATGCGATCTCCGACTGCGTTGTGGCTTGCCGACCCGCCTTCGCTTTTGCACTTTTATTTACGTTCTCTAACCTCACTCAAGGAATGGTATTTTAGTGACTGATCTTTCTTCATCTGTTTTTTTTAACAGTCACATGTGGGACATTTTTCTTATTGCAATAAAAGTAACCTTTTCATAAACGTTTGTTGAAAAAAAAATTCCAGTTGTGTTTTTTTATTAAGCATTCTTGTTTAATTCACATCAAATAGAAAATATTTGTTTTCAAATATATCCTTATTTGAAACTACTATTCGTATTCGAAAATATTCGATTCGATTCGATTCGTAACCTTTATTATTCGATTCGATTCGCTTCGAAAGATTTTGATATTCGCACACCTCTAGTTAAAAGAGCAGAGCTACTTTTCGATCGAAAAGTAATCGACGAGATGAGATCACTATGGCGAATGCCGGTTCTAGTGCTCGAGGCATGGGAACCGGGACATGAGCCGGTTGGGCCGGCGGACCTTGTCCAAGCGAGTCACGGGCCGCATGTTTGAGACCCCTGTCCTAGACGTTGTCCTAGAAGTCGTCCTTGAAGTCGTCTTAGACGTCATCCTTGAGGTCGTCCCAGACATTGTCCCTGAGGTCGTCCTAGGCGTTGCCCTTGAAATCATCATAGACGTCGTCCCTGAGGTCGTCTTAGAAGTCGTCCTAGACGTCGTTCTTGAGGTCGTCCTGGACGTCCTCTAGGCGGCGTCCTCGAGGTCTTCCAAGAAGTCCCAAGATAGTACAGCTTCGCTGGTCTTCCTTCTTCACCAGAGTGGAAAGGCTGAAAGTTTTTAAAATATTTTTCTAAACTTGTTGTGCTTATCCACTGAGACATGGCTAACCCCCTCTTTTTATGAATTTCAGGCGGCAGGGGGGTGGGTGATGACTCCATAATATGGTGCACGCACAGAGGACAAGACATGCACACAAAACTGCAATGATGGTGGGGAAACAGCTTGAAAATTAGACGATTACACAAGGGCAGAAGATTAAAAGATTACTCAGAGACTAAGCAATCACTCAATTTCGAAGTGGGGCAGTCACGCTGATGGAATGATTGCATCGTAAGCCATTCATAAAATAAATATTTTTCTAAAATTTTGCGTCGTCGTATTCAGTCAGCTGCATCATGACAAATGGTATTGCGATACATTGACAACCAACAAAAGTAATTTCTGCAGCCAATTTTTTTTTTTTCCTTGGGACTTTATGCTATTATCTGGGATTATGACGGCTAACAGCATGACGCTCTGGCTTCTATGACATAGTTTGTTGCCACTTCAGGACCTCTTTGGGTGGCCTAGGACCCCAAACACCCCAGTCAAAGACGCTTGCTGGGCACCTTGGCAAAAGCGTTTTGGATGCTGTTTTGGCAACAGTTGGGCAGCTGCATTTCGTCTGCCTTCCTTGCAGAACCTTCTGAACAACTTCAGCAACCACAATGTGATGGCCTTTGTGACGCGCATCTTCCTGCTGGTCCAGTACACCACCCTGTTCCCCATGATCACCTACCTGCTCAGGGTGCAGTTCATGCACTGGGTCTACCGCCTTGTCTACCCAGGGTAGGCCCCAATGACACTCTTTTCTTCCTCCCATTATTCTTGGTGACCCTGTTACCAGACCCAAAAATGTTTCTACCTTAAAGGAACACTGACAGAATATTTATGCTTGCCAAGGTTTTTATTTGTACATAACAGATGAGAGCTCAACCACCCAGGAAAGAATTCGCAGGTCGAAATTTGTTTTTTTTCCCTCCCAAAAACCGCCGATTGAGAAATGGTCGGTTTGAGTCGCGCTCACTCTCTTCTCCGTGGTCCCATGCCGTTTTCTACGGTTTAGACACAACCACCAAATATAATCAAAGTCGTGGGTCATCGAAGGCACACACACAATAATAAAAATAGAAAAGGAATGTGATACCCATTTTTTGTGGCTTCTAAAAAACTGCAAATGCATTGATTAAAAAAAACAAGTTCGAGGGCACCTAGGTACTTCCTATGAGTTGTGAATGTGAAAGCATGAATGTCGTTCTTCCACTCCCTTAGTTCGTCTGCGGCGTAGTCGTGTGGACGGCCACATTTCCCCAGCGGATGGCCGAGTCTGCACGCTCGTGAAGTGGCCGCGCTGTGCTGAGTTCAGCTGTGCACCCTCCCTGTAGTTTGCCCAAGCAGGCTCTGCCGCCAGGTCCGCACCACCGCACCGCTCTTACGAGCAGCCAGGCCGCTGCGTGTGCTATGCCACCATGGAGAAGGTTTCTCTGGTGGCTTTTTTTTGGAACTATGCCACACAAGAGCCAATGGGAGCCTTGTTCCGTGATGACGCACGCCAGCCAATGGGAGCATAATCCATCGGAAATCGGCTTCTCTTGGGAAAGGGGATTTTAGGTGCCATTTGGCCAACGCTTGGCGTGGTTTCAAAGCTGATGACGTCGGTTTGGTCCATGGGACAGTTAACGCTTTCGCATTATTACCATATTTTTGCAATTCTAAGCACCCCTCCCCCTTGACTTTCAAACATAAACACCCGAAAAAAGTTTGCATGCGAATGTAAGCATGTTCCGAATCTAAACACCCCCCCCCCTCTTTGAACATCGTGGGTGTGAAAAAAAAGGGGGTGCTTAGAATCGAGTAAATACGGTAGTACTACACTTTTTGGAAAGAAATGGTGTAGACCTTGGGATAGTCATGAACCATTAACTAAAATTTCTTTAATTGACCCCTTTAAAGGGCTACTCCAGTGTTGTTCTTAGCTACCCCAACTAACTATCTTTTCTGAATCCTTGGCCTTTACGGTTTGGTATCTAGTATCGCAAAATTCAGAATATGTGGTTATTATGAAATAGGTTAATGAGGGGGATGCCAAAACTAGCATTCAAATATACCCGCACTTTTCAGTGCCATGAAGTCACTGGCAGGCAGGCAGGCTTGCAAGTTGAGCTAGAAGTCTAAGAAACTGAGTATGCCGAGCATTTCTTTCGTTCTGCTGCGTGGGTTCTGGAGTGAGGCACCAAAGCATTCATCTGACACCGTGCAACTGCTTGCACATACGAAACGGAATACATCGTAGTGTAAGGCTCAGGGATTTCTACCAGGAATGGTTTCTTTATGTGCACTCAAAGGTTACCTCACCGACGTTTACGCATTCGGACTTCATCTAATTGGGTCCGACGCAGTAGCTGTAAAATCCGCGACCTCCTTACAAACCCACTTACAAGTAGAACTCGTTAACTATCCCGCCACCTCGGCGTGTAAGCAATTGAAGGAACAGTGGGGAGAAAATATAGCTTTCTTTATTTGAACTAGCCTTCGGTAACTCAAATTAGACCCTTAAAGAAGTTTTAATTAGACAAGATACGGAATATGAAAAACACTTCACCGAACGCAACGCCAGAAGGACGGAATAGGATAAATATTAAAATAGAAGAGTTCGCTGTCTCACAAATATGTTAGCTTCAAGTGCCTATACGAAACCGGATGCATTATTATCAAACTCCACAGCCTTTTCTTTTCTCATTCCCATGGAAGCAAGCTTCAAGAACTTGCGCGTTCTAGAAACGTGTTATGAAATGAGCACACAGCAGCATTTAGGATTTACGAGATTGTAGGAAAATGAAATCCCGTGACGCGATTTTTTATTTTTTGCACAGCCTTCCAATTCTCTTTCTTCCGTGCAAGCCGCGATCAGCGCAATACTGGTTCCTATGTCAAGATTCATGGATGCAGCGTTTGTCAAGATTCATGGGTGCAGCGTTTATATTCCTAAGACTGAGTGGAGAAGAAAAATATGTAAGCGAGGTGTGTGTCAGTTGACGGCCTTTAAAAAACAAATGGCATTGATAGCACATTCATTGTCAACAGCGCGTGGCCGAACCGTTTTGACATGAGCCGGTAACCGTTATTTTTTTTCCGGTTCAGTTCCGGTTCGGGTTCATCGCGATAACAATATAACGGTTTGGGTTCAGTTCCGGAAAAATACCGGTTCGGGTTCATCGCGATAACAATATAACGGTTCGAGTTCAGTTCCGGAAAAAATACCGGTTCGGTTCCGGTTCGACACCCTGATATATATATATATATATATACACAACACGGGCACTTCACGTCATCGTACGTGGTCTCCGAGGGGGATATAAACGAATATGTGCAGATGAATGAACCGTACTTAATCCAATGAATTAAAGAATCCAAGTTTTCAGGAACCCGGCGAAAGCCAAAAAATGGCGGAGCCAGGATAAAAAATACCGGTTCGGTTCCGGTTTTCGGTTCGGTTCCGGTTCGACACCCTGATATATATATATATATATATATATATATATATATATATATATATATATATATATATATATATATATATATATATATACAACACGGGCACTTCACGTCATCGTACGTGGTCTCCGAGGGGGATATAAACGAATATGTGCAGATGAATGAACCGTACTTAATCCAATGAATTAAAGAATCCAAGTTTTCAGGAACCCGCCGAAAGCCAAAAATGGCGGAGCCATTTTTTGGCTTTCGGCGGGTTCCTGAAAACTTGGATTCTTTAATTCATTGGATTAAGTACGGTTCATTCATCTGCACATATTCGTTTATATATATATATATATATATATATATATATACATACTTGGCCTAATATTCGGGTTACTAATTGAGCAATGTTTCTTGGTTTATATATATACCGTATTTACTCGCAGAATGAACGCACTTTTTTTCCGAAAAATCGATGCAAAGTTGGGGAGGGGGGGCGTTCATTACGCGAAGTAAAATTTTTGCGTCCGTATTTACTCGCATAATAAACGGACCTTTTATCCTGAAAAATCGAAGTAACTTCTTATCTCTTTGCGCGCGGCGTCCGACCCCAAAACCAAACTAAGCTGCGCAAAAAAAAACAAAAAAACTTTTCTTTTTTTTTTTTAGTTTTTTGTTGTTTTTTTTGTCGCCTTTCGCAAGCTGTTTTGTTTGCTTAGGCGAGGGCTCTCCGCTAATCTTTCTTATCTCCTCGCGCGCGATGCACGACCCCTGTAACCAAACTGCGCTGTGCAAAAAAAAAGAAAAAGGAAAAAGCTCCTTTTTTCTTTTTTTTTTTCTCAGTTCAGTGGGTTGTTCTTTTTTTTTTTTTTTCTTGCCGCCTTCCGCAAGCTGTTTCGTTTGCTTAGAGGGCTTCTCCGCTCCTTTCTTACCTCCTTGCGCGCCGCGCAGTGGCGCGCGAACCCAAAATCCAGACTGCGCTGTGCAAAAAAAGCAAAAAAAAAAGCTCCTCTCCATGTTTTTTTTTTCTTGCTTCTGTTGGATCTTTGCGAATTTTTTTAACGCCTCGCCCACGCTGCCCATGCATTCGCGACCTCGCTGCACGAGGATAGAAAAGTGTGTTCATTTCAGTGCGTGGGGGGAGGGGGTCAAAATTTTGACGTTGGAGTTGGGGGTGCGTTTATTACGCGAGTGAAAAAAAAGTCGAAATTTTGAGAGCCGATTTGGGGGGTGCGTTCATTACGCGAGTGCGTTCATTGTGCGAGTAAATACGGTACATATATATGTATACACACACACATACTTGGCCTAATATTTGGGTTACTAATTCAGCAATGTTTCTTGATGTGCTTGGTCAGCTTTGAGGCAAATCAAGGATCACGTCAGTCAATCAGCAATTGCTGCTGGGGCCCGGAAAACCCGCGGAATGTGGACGTTCCCCGGGTATTTGTGGCAATGAAAGGCATGGGGATGAAGGGAAGCGAACCGGCTTTCAGACAAGACCGAATTGACCGTGATCAGACGAGCAGGAGCAGATCGGCGCAGGCGCAGAGTTTGACTACCGTGGAGTACCGCGCATCCACCCATTCCACACTAAGCGCCCATGCTCAAATTTGTAAGTCCTGAAAAAATATGCACACTACATTTACAGTTAAATCTCGTTAAATCAAACTCGAGGGGGACCAAAACTTTGTTTGAAAAAAGCAAGGTTTCAATTACCGGGAGTTTCCTCCCATAGGAACCGTGCGCATCTAATTCAAGCCCCGACCAGGGCGCCCCTAGCGGCAAACGGGTCCATCGCATCGGGGAGCTTCTGCCAGTCGCTGCGTTGGTTGTGCGTTGTGGTGGGTTAGCGTTGTAATTTCTGAGATGGCTATTCCGCACCAAGAAAGTCGCAACAATTGCTGCGTGGTCGGCTGCAACAGTACGTCGAAGATCGCACACGGCACGACGTACTACATCGCCCCTTCGAAGCTGTACGGCCGTACGAGGCGGAGTACTGCGCGACTTGCAGGTGCGACTTGTGCGTCCATACAGGTTAGTGGCGTTTCTTACCTTTCTGTTCGCGCTTTGTTTAAGGTGCTGACGAATAATACAATTAACTTCTTTCTATTCTAGCGACGATGGAACAGCATCGACACCGACGGCATACTCTAAAGTATGCGGCAAATACTTCACCGGAATCGAGAAGCGGAGTGCGGTCGCCCACCTAAGCCTACACTTGCATGTTTCCATCAGCCTACAGGAAGATAGTAGTGGGAATCGCGGAACGGCGCGAAAAAAATCGCCCAGTTATTGTCAAGTTGATTCAGAAATAAACGTACATGATTACCACAGTCCACTCAACGCCAACTACATTTTTTGCGGGCGCGCTTAATTTTGTTAGCGGAGTACGGCGCTCCGTGACATCCACTTGTCCGTCGAAACGGACCTCCTTCACGTCGTACACGCCGCCAGATTCACGAAGGAGTTTTCCCTACTTTATATTGGTACTAGGGAAAAAGCTTTCTAGATTCGTAACCGCCTTAAACCCCGTCGTAATCACCCCGGGAACACTGTCCACTGTGCTGCTCATCGCCATTGCTTCCCCCCGATGATTCTGCACCGGCTACCGAAGAAGTTTTCCGGATTCGTAATCGCCCCCTGTCCTCTGTGGTGTTTGTTGCAATTACTTCGCGATGATTCTGCGCCGACGGCACCGGCTTCCGAAGGAACTTTCCGAATTCGTAACTGCCTTAAATTCCTTCGTAATCACGACGGGGACACTGTCTGACGTGCTGTTCGTCGCCATTGCTCCCCGTTGCTCCTGCGGCGGCTGCCGCTAGGTCGCGGCGAACAATAGGCGACCGCCGCGACACGGCCGGCATGCTCGCTTCCTATAGAGACGCATAGGATGGGACCTGCATGTTAGTTTGAATTATCCAGAAGTTTGAATTAAGAGAGTTGGATTTCACAAGATTCGACTATATATGTAATATGGATGACCGGACAAGCGCCCATCACCTATTTTTTCGCGTTTATCTCCAAATTTTGAGTGGGCGCTTGCCTGGTTTTTTACGGTAGTTTTTGTCTCAAATCCACGATACCGGCTGCTAAGGCGTCATAATTCGCGTGTTTTTTTTCGTTTGTTTTTTTCATATTTAGACATTGAATTAGAGATGTAAACTTTGCAAGCACGTACTTTGGATTATATTCAACCCAAATATGTGATTGAAAAGAAGAAAAAAAAGAAGGTATTGCAATGTCTTACTATTTCAAAACCCAAGTCTCCCCTTAATCGTGGAGCTTATTTAGCAGCTCTGGGTGCAGTAAGTGTAACCTTGTGGTTGCACTTTCCGCACCCACTTGTTGTGGAGGAAGTGGTGCCATTTGGCACTTTGGCCGGCATAGAGTGCAACACAGTCAGCTTCTTCCCACGCCATGTTGCAGGCTGAAGCAGGTGATGGCCTTGAATGCGGTGGTGGTGGTCATGTGCGTCCTCTTCGCCATCTTCTTGCCCCAGATCGGCACCATACTGCGGTAAGCTCCCACCCCAGATACCAACGACACAATCTCCGAATGCGTCTCCTACCGGTATGTCTAGCTCCCATGTGGAAAGTTTCAAGAGGAAGCACGAGAAAGAGAGCGAAGGAAAAGCGAAGAAAGGAAGCGGACAATAGGTTAGGCGTGTTCGTTTTGCTGCGACGTGTCGAAGTTACCTGTGTGCCCGTCAACTTTATTCCTTATAATGCACGATGCCGGCCTTATTGCCCAGATTAAGGCTGGAAAAAAAAAACTAGATGCAGACCTTGGAATTGATGTTTTCTTGCTTCTTTGCGTATGTCGAAGTGCTGTCAGTGATGTGGTCTCCTCAGGACCATGGACGTCCGCATCTATGCCCCGCCATTTTGAAGCTGCCAAAATGTGTAGAACCTTTCCCTCTAGGTTATTATCGTATTTTCACGAATATAACGCGAGGGCAGGTTTCGAAGCCCTTAAAAAGAAAAAAAAATTGCGGTGGCTTAGCTCGGCTATGCCAGGATATACGTAGCGTGAGCTTATGCATACAAAATGAGAGGCGCTATCAAGCGGCTCTGGTGCAGCGTCAGACTTGGCTACTGCGCAACGGAGGCGAACAGCTGGGCACGCGGCGGCGCCAGTGCGTCTGCCGCGGCTATGACGTCACTCCTCTGGAATGCGCAGACCGGCTAGGTGGGTGCGGCGGCGGCGGCTTCGTGTGGCTCTCATAATGAGCCGCCGCCGCCGCGTGCTCTGCATAATGAGTACGGCTCATTCTGAGGGCCATGCGAAACTGCTCGACCTCGGCCAGTGTAGCTAACGCTACAAAAATATGATTAGTACTATTATAACGCAAGCGGAGGCCGCAACAATTTCTCGCACTTGGGGCATAGCAGAAGTGAGAAGTCGATGGAAATAGAAGAAATATCAGTTTGTGTTGTGACTGCACTCATCCTGACTGCTCAGGTCCTTCCATTTACAATCCACTTGGTGACTACGCAGATCAGCAGCAGCACAGCACGGCTTGTCTGGTAGTTCCTTTCTCTTCGGCGTGAGCTCCTCGGTAGCCCACAATCCAAGCAAGGCACAAAGCAGAAGCACAACACACAAACACCAGACCACTCTGGAGCAGAAACTAAACAATGCGCAGGCAGAAAAAATACTGCTGAACCCGATACACGATCACACTTCTTGTTCTGGTCCCTCCGCATAAACAAAGACCTCGTGTTGCACGATTGCCATAAATGCAGTCATGCAGTCGGTGGTCTTGGCTTGGCTTGTGTTGACTCGACTTGGCCTGGCTTGGCTTGAACTGGCCAGTGCCTGCATGGCGCGGGTTTTGTGGCGTGTGCGCGTTGTACAAACACAAAAGCAATAAAAATGTTTTTTATGTTTTCTATTCGCCCCTTCACGTGGCCCGATAGCTAATAAATTCCCTGCCACACCCCAACTTCCTCAGCGGGAGGGATGGCTTTCTTCTCTGGCTTTCTCTTGACTTTCGCCCTCGGTTGAATCCGATTCCGAATTTAACGCGAGGTGCGTTTTGGAGCACGTAATTCTGAAAAAAAATTTGCGTTATATTCGTGCGAATACGATATGTTAACTCCACGCATGCGACCAATCATTCGCAGAAAGGCGCGACCGTTGTGGCGTCCCGAGCAATGGCCGCCGTAGCTTTCGGCGCCGTTGGGACAGCCAAGGACCGTCGGCAGAGCATTGCATTAACACCAGTAACGGTCTTTATTTATGCTCCAGAGGAGGAAGGGAGATAAGAAAAGTCAATCAAACAAAGAAAACATGCTGTTGACGCACCGACCGGAGACGTGTCCCGAATACAGTGATGTGATTGCTGCGCCAATTGCACAAAACTGTGCCAAGGGGCTAGCCCTGATACATCGTGCTACATTTTGCTGAAATATGGATAATTCGATCACCTTTCAAAACCGCAACAAAACTGAGTACCGTGAGCTAAGTGGCGCAAGCGGCCACCCGACACGAAGTACTTTGCATCAATCCTCCATCTGGTCTTGCATGGGTTTTCCCGCCGTCCAATGCTGTCGGGCCTCAGTCTCTCGTTTCCTGCCTCGTTGCTTGTTTCAAACTTTCGTCTCGTATAGGTCTCGTCTCGCGTCTTTTTTAAATTTTTGTAAGGATAGGTGCAAGCGTGTGCGGACGCTCTGACGCTAGCGTGCCGGGTACCAGCCATGCCGTTGTGATGTGAAATGAAACCATGTTTTTGCACGGCGGGAGTTGCTTTATGAGCTGAAGCACTCGCTCCTGAAAGCAAGGGCCGTGGGAAAACCATAGGTGGTCCCTGCCTACCGGTCAGCGTGGTTGAATGACGTCGGGTGTTGCCGTCCCCACGTCGCTGCAGATATGGCGCTTTCTACACTTAAACATAAGGACTGCCGCAAGGTCATCATCATTCCTGTCCTTGTTTAAATCATACGCTACTACAAAAATCCCTCTTTAATTCAAAGGCTGCTGTGTCAAAGTATTGATTACCTGGGTTTCTTTTGGTGGGCTTCCTTTTGAGAGAGACCCTGGTGTGTGAAAAGTTTGCCGCAAAAGAAGGTTGGGGAAGAGAAGTGAGCTAAAGCAAAAAAACGCAATGTCTGCCCGATGAACCCGCACAATGCGCTTGCTTGTCTCGAGTTCAGTCGTTCCACAAAGCGCTCCAAGAACTTTTTGACCCTGACTCTCAATGTCTTGCATCGATACGCTAAAGTTCTTCTTTTCTGTGTGTTTAGCTTGTACTACCTTGTTTGCTGGCCTGGCAAGCACGCGCCGCTGTACTGTTTTTGTCATATGCTGGACCGTTACATTTTGCATACAATGTTGGAAACCAGTTGGCGGCGGAGCGGGGTGGCATGGTTTTAGTTTCAATCGAACAGCCGTCTCCGCTCGCACGATGAAGTGCGCGCAACTACAAGCTGCCGAAGTTGCCCTCATGTGCATGCGAACATGATTGTAGGACAGAGGCACCAGCCAGGATGCTTGCAATCGACTGCTTTACGTTTGCTTTCTTTTGACGAAAATCTGGCACGTCGGGAACCAGTAAAATGTTTTTTTTTTTAATCGCTGGGCAACACTTACAGCACTGTAAGCGTTACCCTGATCATACTTCCTGAGTTCTATCATCTGCTGAGCCGTCTGCTTGCTTCCGTGTTTCCCAACACTGAGGATGACGCCAATGAAGAATCGCTTACAAGCGTGCAAATAGCAGAAATAGTAGGTGTCACCAGCTGCACTGCAGATGGCTTTTTAAATACTGTAGCTTTCAGGAGTTGGAAACTGGTCAAATCATAAAATTGTTCTGTGAAAGCTTGTCAGTAACATTATCACAAAGAAATCCTTTATTTAAAGTGCCCTTTTTGAAAAGTTTTCTCAGTCATTGGTGAAGCACCCAGTATACTATATTCCAGGGGTGGCCAGAGTGACATAGGGTTACAGCTGCAGACATAACACAAAATTTCAAAGAGCCGCAGGGGGAAACAAAAAAGGGGGGAGGGGGGCTTGGAGCAAGAAACAATATGGAGGGAACAGTCTTTTCCAGATGCGAACCATGCATTTATTTTTGCTTAGTGGTTGAAGAAACGTTCTGCTGCCTGGTGTTATTTGTTTAATGCATGGTTCGCTAGCCACCAGTGGTCCCGACGATCAATATGCGTATACGGTTAGAAATTCTTTCCAGAACAATAAAAGAAACAGGGTCACTGAACACACGTGTGTCAAAAACTAGTTTAGCTGCATGTACGTAATGTAGGACTTGAGTGCCAAGACTGTTGGCTTTTTCCTTTTTTTTCTTTTAATCCTAAAGCTTCTTTTTGTCTTGGGTACACAGGAGGGGAGGGGGCGGCTGCTTACCAGGGAGCCGCGAGCCCCACTTGGACACGCGAAGAGCCGCATGCTGCTCGCGAGCCGCAGTTTGGCCACCCCTGCTATATTCTAATATCATCTTGAACCTCCCCAAAGCAGTGGTGTAAAGACATAGCTTGCCAACATAATGAATGAAACAAACAGATCTTACCCCTTTCACTTGTGTAGTAGTTTGGAAATCTATAGATGCATTTTGGAACAATGAATAATGTCCAGATTTAATAAACCTTGCAGGTTCTGTGGGGCCCTCTCGGGCCTGGTGTACATCTTCACCCTGCCTTGCATCATCTACATGGTGGCAATGCGTGGCAAGCTGACTGCCTGCAGCATGGTCTTCCACAGCTTTATCATCCTGCTGGGACTGGCAAACTTCGCATCCCAGTTCCTGTTGCAGTACCTAGAGTCTCTGGCCTGAGCCAAGACCCTCCTCCTCCTAAGGGAGACATGCTCTCTTATTTTCTGAAGCTCTGTCCTCAGCAGGACACGAGATTTCAGGGCATATCCTCTCTTTCTTGCTGAAGCTCCGTCTTCAGCAAGACCTACCCGAGATTCTAGGCAGTGATCCTGGGACACGCTCCCATCTGTACTGAAGCTCCGTCTTCAGCAAGATGCGAGATTCCAGGGCATCCGCTTTGTTTCTTGCTGGAGCTCCATCTTCAGCAAGACGTACCTGAGATTCTGGGCAGCAATTTTGGGGCACACGCTCTCTTCTTTGTTGAAACTCTGTCCTCTGCAAGACCCAGGATTCCAGGGCACATCCTCTTGCCGAAACTCCGTCCTCAGCGCGACCTGAAATTCTAAGGCGCTTGTTCCCTTCCCTGTAAGACGAATTGACTCGAGTCTCGTGCCAGACCCAAGATGTTAGGCGATCGTCACCCGCCAACACCGCCCGACGACTCCGTTCCAGCCACCGTGAAGTGTGCTTCACCCCTAAGCCGACAGTGCAATGGTATCTATAGGCTCATTGGACCAATCATAGGTCTTTTTTGCCATGTGATCGTGATTTCATACCAACACTTTCTGGTAGCAAGGACACAGTGCTGAATTTTTGGCGTCGCCTATCGGAAGCGAGCGCAGGGCACAGATTGGACACAAGTGCTGCATCAGCGTTCGGCCGTCCACTAGGGCTCATTCAGCGAAGACAAAGTCCCGGCTGAATGCTGATGGAGTGCTTGTGTCCATTCTGCGCCTGCGGCGGCCTCTTGTGGCACCGAAACTTCAGCCCTGTTATCGCATTGTCATCTGGGAAGTGTTACCCATACCCATGCACAGAGTGGCGGCTGACAGGATGAAAAGGAGTAGGTTGATTTATCTTGCAAACATAGTTCCCACCGCATTGTTAACCTACGGGTGAACAGAGTACAGTGGCAGCATTGAACAACCAACAGCGTCCGACTGAATTTTTTGTCGATCCACCAGCCCGAGTTGTTGTTACACCTGCTAACGGGCATAGCCGTCCCGGTGAACGGCACGGGCATGCCTTGTGTGCAGCCCTTTAAACTACTCGGAAGGTGTGATGTGGGTCGTGTGACGTATCGGCAGAACCGCAACGTACTCCCGGTAGGCTCCGACCATTTAGAACTCGTACTTGTACAAATTTCCCAGTGCCTTGCATGCGAGTTGAGCCCTAAGTGCGAGATTACTTCTATACGATGTTTACCACTTTTATAGTTTTATTGCATGGAGTATATATATTTTTGTTATACAATAAAATTTGAGCAAACGTGCTGCTAGTCATTCAAGTGGAAGGTGTGGTTTCTTGACTGTAGTATTAGGACAGGTGTACAGGAAAAACTTGATTGTTAGACTATTACAAAAAAATGGTGGTATCACTAGCGCCCCTCACAACAGTTGTGGTATCCTAGCCAACAACGAACAAGGCCAATAGGAACTTCGGTAAGTATTTCTCACAAGTTCTACTCCATTTTAAATTGTACACATAGCTGAAGTGTGTTAATAAAAGTTGTAAAACAAAACTTTAAAAAATAACTGCTAATCGATAGGTATAGGTACTTTTGTCGTACCTGAGGTACAAACCTAGGCACTTTTATTTCTCTATCTTGGGTACATTTTCCACCAACTTGTAACCTAGTAGAGTTCCTTTTTGCAGATACTTTTTGTTCGCTTTAGCCAAATTATCGAAAGTATGAACTGAAGTATTTAAGGCTGAGCCGAAGGTCATTCACTCTAACGAACATTGAGATAAATTCAGCACCTGGTTGTTGTGATCCCAGGATGAAGACATTAATTTTGACAACGGGAGACTGCATGTGATCGTCGACTGCACACTGCGTCGTAGACACTACCAAAAAGAAGTAATGAAATATGTTCCTCGTTACTTGCAAATAAAGGTTCTTAAAAAGCAACTGAAAAAAAAGAAAATTTAAACAGTGGGTACGACGTGTGCTAAAAAGATTTTAGAGCAATATTGACAGTGCGATTTAGTTGGTAGTCGCCTCTTTTACACATTTTCTCAGCATTTTGGGTGGGTGGAGGAGACATGGATCGGCTTGACCATCACGGTGAGGTGGAGAGTGACCATCTCGTTGAGGTGGAAAGAGTGTATAACCAAGCCATGACGTCATGGACTTTGCACGTAGAATTAGAAATAAATCGCGCTATCAATTTTGCTCCAAAAAACTTTTTTTCGCATAAAATTGAGTTTTTGGCACGCATGTCCTAACCAGGCTGTTTAAAAAAAACTTTTTTTTTCTTTTCGGGAGTCCTTTAAAGAAACACTGACCATGACGACTGAAGTCCGGGTAGTCAGAAAATGCAATTTGTTTAGGTATCTCAAAAAACAGCCGGAGTACCTTCGCCACTGTAGCTGTATCGCTGTATGCTCGTTTGTTGGCGGCATTTGGCGTCGCGACTGCTTGCGCCATCTCTTGTCTCCCGTGCGAAACGGCGCCGTGTTGTTTGAAGACTGGTGGCTTCACTGCGTTTCCATCGGAGCTAAGCCTTTTTCTTTCTTTACTTTTTCCTCAGGTAAGTTCGCTCTTTGCAAATTTTACAAAAAAAATGCACCATCTGTGGCCAACGCTGCACAAAGTCGTAGCGCGATAGGTCAAGAAACCGAATTTTGCGGTCGATTTAAAGAGCCTGGCCGCTCCTTGAAATACCCAGTATATGGCGGATGCATTTTTGAAATTTTCAAGAACGTTTGTCTTAACTTTTCATAAGAACGGAGCTACGCCAAGAAATTTCACAGGAATGCGTCCAGGATTAAAATGCACCTTCATTGAAAATGTGAGCTCTCTACGTGCAGGCGCCCGATTTTCCAGCGCATTTTACATCGACACCGTAGATTGATGCCACCGTATAGCTACTGCTATTGAATCAGATTGTGTCAACATCTCATTACTTAAGAATGTAGGGACACATGGTATAGGAAATGATAATAAGTCTTCTATAAACTAAACTCTTGGTAATGGCTGTTTTTTAAATTTTAATTCCCCCCTTCCCCCTTTATTTCAACCGCTAACCCTCCCCCCCTCCCCCCCCCCCCCCATGTAAAATACACTTCCGGGGTCGCTGATAATGTGGTTAGATAACTGATGCTCGACCTCATTATGGTCTGGCCATAACGTGAAACTTTGAGAAAATAGTTTGTAGTAGGAGCTGCAGAGCTAGAAGTGTCACCCTCGTACGCCGCTTCAACCGAAACTAAAATGGAAAAGATCTGATTTGCCTTGTCTTGCAGAGATGCATACAATGAGATTGCAATGCTAAAGTGCACGGACAGGCGACCATTCTAGGGGAGCTGTCGAAGAAAGCGCACTTCGAAGAAATCGATCCAGATGAACAAAGCACCGCAATAGAATTATGCACTGTGCATCGACCGGGATCCCTCCCAACCGAATCAATGAATCAGTGGATGTGTTTCATTATACTCCCTTTTGTTTCAGGTCTGACCACAACCGACACTACGATTCGACAGAGCCAATCAAACAGCGCCAAAAGTGCATCATCACAATGCTCGTCGTCTTTGTTGACCGGACGCAAGGAGAACACACTTGGATAGCATCAAAACTAATTTATTCGATACAAGGAACGTAAGTTGATCATATTGAAAAAAATTGGCCTAGAAAATATTGCACTGTGCAGGGGGACGCAAAGGCAGGCTCAGACGACGGGGGCGAACACCAGGCCCACCCGGCTGGGGATGTACGCCTGCGAGTAAGAGAGGGGGGGTGCTACTAATGCACCTGGAAGCCTCAGAAGTGGGGGGCATGGCAGCAGGGGATGCCCCTTTGTCATGCACGTGACAATTTTTATGAAACGTATCACTTTGTATCTATCGGAAAAATTACAGTAGCAGTTTGTCACACTTTATGCGGGATCGTGCACCCTATTCACCAAAAAATTGTTAGACAACAGGAGTTCGCTATAATTGAATCCATGAGAAATGAACCGGATAGTTTTACATCGTCACACGTGTGCTTTTGCAGAAAAGTCGTTCATTAAAAGGTGTTTGACTAGCATGGTATAAACCAGGGGTCTCAAACATGTGACTCGCTGGGTGGCATCCCGCAGCTGTGAGCTGTGATCCCCCGTTCCCATATCGTGAGCGCTACATGTGCCATAAAACAATAGTTGCACATCATGATTAATTTCTTTTTGAAAAAAAGCTCTGCTCGTAGTTGCAATATTGTTTTCTTTTGGACTGAGTACAGTGAAACCCGTTTAGAATGAACCCACGTACAGCGAATTATTGTCGATATCGAACTCACGGAATATTTAAATAAAAATGCATGTAAAAAGTACTTTTTATAACGAACAACATATTGGCTATATCGAACCGTTTTCCCCCTGGAAAGCTTCCAAAAACGCGCAAACAATCGTCTTCTAACTCCCCCCCCCCCCCCCCCCCCCAAAAAAAAAAGAAAGAAAAAAAAAGTAGGAAAGAAAAAAAAATCAAAAGCTCGAGCTGCGAAAAAAATTGACAAAGAGAAGCGATTCAGAAGGGGAGTATCTAAAAAAACACTACACCCACGCACCAAAAAAAAAAAAAAAGACTTCATCCCAAAGGAAGCGAAGAGATGAGAAAGAGAATCACTCGCCTTACAACAAACGCATTGTGAAAGTTCGTTGTAAATGTTTTTTGCTGTATCGAATTACTTGCTATATCGAACTGATCGTAGCGTTTCCTGCTGTTTGTTATAAACGGGTTTGACTGTATTGCTTCATCTAAATATTTTCTTCTCGGCCCTTTTTCGTGTAAATCAACCGAAATGACAACAGTACTACTAGGCTACAAGGGCAAGCTTTACACAACGAGGAACCTCGGCCGCATGAACTGCCAGCACGTTGGCATTTGAAATCTTATCACATCAGTCGCGGGTCTAAAGCAGACGTGTGTATGTAAATCAAAGCTAAAGATGTCACTGTCTAATTAGCGAGTTTACAAAAAGCAGAGCATAAGGTCCCTTTTCTAGAAATCCCTAAAGGGTCGCTGGGAGAGTCGGCTGCTTTCCAACATAACACAGTATTGCTGTTTTTTTTTTTTTATGCAAAAGCATTAACTGTTCTATGGAGCGAACCAACATCATCAGCTTTGAAGCCATGCCAAACGGTCCCTTCCCCTGTCCCAATGTCGTCTGTAGCAGAAATCTGACAGATAGGCTCCCATTGGCTGGCACACGTCATCAATGAACGAGGCTCCCATTGGCTCTCGCGCGACTTAGCTCCGAAAATGACACCAGAGAAGCCCTCTCCATGGTGGCGCAGTGCACGCAGCGGCCCGGCCGCCAGTAAGAGGGACTGGTGGCGGCAGGGCCTGCCCGAGCTCTGCCGTCACGAAACGTGGCCGTCCACGCCACTACGCTGCAGACAAACTAAGGGAGCAGAAGAACGATCATTCATGCTTTCGCATTCACAACTCCTAAGGAGTGCTCAGGTGTCCACAGACTTCTTTTTTGCTTTAAAATGCCAAGATATTGCCCCCCCCTTCTCGTTTCCGGTTGGCCCTCGACCTTTACGGGGTGGGCTATCTGGCCCCTACACTACGAGTTTGAAACCCCTTGCTATGAATTTTGAAAGATAGCAGAGGAAAGGAATGCAAAAAGGTCAACCTTTTTCTGAACTATTTTTTTTCACTCAATTTGATGAATATCGAGTTGAGTTTATAAAGGTCCCCAACACCTTCCGTTCTAGTTCATCTGAATGCAGAAAAAACTGCTGTATAATCGATGAAGCAGCAGTGCAAAGATTTCTATTCAGTTTTAAAAGGCAGCATGATGTTCGCTGTGGAAACACTAGCTGCGCTGCACAAAATCCGTAATATGCACCTTGTATAAAATAAAGCAATCAGGCAGCAACAGCGCAAAAAGACCAGGAGAAGAGGGGAGACACACGCAGAAGACAGGGAAAGGTGCTGACTAGCAACTCGTCTGCATTGATCTCCTACTTCTTCGCAAGAAGCAATGCCATGAAACTAAGCAACGCCCGTAAAACCTGCAACCGTCACACTGACCCACTCGCCAAATACAGTACAGTGTAGACCGCATATAACGTATGTCGCGGGAGTCGCGAAAATCCGCACTATAAGCGGTACCGCGTTATAACCAAAACATCAATTTTTCAGGCCAAAATACATGCCATGACACAACTTAATTACCTTTGTAAAAGAATTTATTTTATGTTAGATGAAAAATAAAGCTTAGTTTGAGGAAAGTCTTTATTTCACCAGACTAGTACAGTTCTGTCTCAAGTGTGTCACACATTTTGAAAGAAATTAGCGGCTTTTGCCTGGCCCAGCCTTTTAACCCGCGGACGGACGTTGCGAGCGTTCAGGATTGCTAACCCTAATCACGTTTCTCCGGAAATGAAAACGCGTGAAAAATCGCATCCTTCATACGTTACGCGCCAGTAATACCTTGAACTTCAGCACACGCATGAAATGCGCCAAATAAGAAATCCGGGCGATGTACTGTAGTCGAAGTAAACAATCACGACGACACGGGCGTTTCTGCCGTCTTGAGAGCGCCGCCACGACATCGCCGCCACGACATCGCCGCACGAGTAGGTGAATCTTCCCTTCTAGTACATGCTGGGTTATCATAGCGACACACAACGAAAATTCACAGTCAAGGATAGCGCTTTAACGCAGAACGATGAGATGAACTCCGTCTACGACGACGATCACAACCGACACCATGTTTGCGGAGAAGCAGCCGGCCCGCGGCCGGCACGCAACGCGCGCGAACACTTCTCCTCGATCTGCGATTGGTCTGTCGGTGCGGTTGTTTGTTACGCAGCGGAGGTAGCGGAGGGACGCACGCACGTGAACGACACGTGCGTGCGTCCCTCTGTCGCTACGGCGACTGAAGCCTCTCTCTTCGCTTCTCCCCACTTCTTCGAGCAACATCCTCGCCCCGCGCCGTCAGCGCCGTTATCTATAAGGGAAGCGTGCCCGCTGCTCCGGTCGTCGGCGCGGTCGGCGGGCTGTGCCAAAAACCGCACCATAGCCGGTATTTCCCTTCGCGCGCCTGCATTTTAAGCGGTATGTAAATACATGGAGTTCTATGGGAGGCGAACCGGTGGTTTAAAAAAACCGCGTTATACACGGTCCTGCACTATAAGCGGTTACGTTGTAAGTGGTCTATACTGTAGTCGATGTGATTAGGCTAGATTTTGTGGGTGTTGTATAATCTTGCGGAACTGTTTCTCGTAAAGAAGTGGTAGATGATGAATACAGATGAGTTGTAAGTCAGCATCACACCTGCTGCCCTCGTCCTTTCACACTGTTGCTTCCTCTAATGCAAAGCTACTGAAGTTCAGCTCCTAGGAACACAGGGCTTTACCAGAGCACCCCTTAAAGGGTGCTCCCAAATGTCCTCGACCAGCTCTCCTCTAAGCAAGGTGTTTTTCCAATATAAGCGCAAGATTAGCAGGCTTCAACCACCCAGTGTTTCATAACTACCGTAAAAACCCGCACACGATACAAACCCACATATAATACAAAAACAATACAAAGCTCGTATAAAAAGGCTCGAGGTACACCTAAGCACTTCTTATGAGTTGTGAATGTGAAAGCATGCACGACACTCTTCGCTCCCTTCTTGCGTCTGTTGCGTACGGCGCGCTGACCTTGGACGTGGAACGGTGGAGCTGCTGCCTCGCGGACACGCAGCGCCATCAGGTGAGCGATCGTTGAAACTGACGCACAGCCGCCAATGGGAGCCTCGTCGACGCGTGCCAGCCAATGGGATTTAAGCAGAAAATACATCAGCTTCACTTCGCTCCTTTGCGATCGGGGAAACTAGGAGCCATGCCTAGGCTTTTTGAGTGGTTTCATAGGTGGGCGCTGGCTTTACTTGGAGAAAGGATTTAAGGTGCCATTTCTGCGCTTCAAACTGATGACGTCGGCTCGCTCCACGAGATCAGTTAATGCTTTCACATTAAAAAATGTTTGACCTGCACATAATGTGGCCTGGACACCACAGTTCCACGGCATTTGCCTGCACAAGTGCCCTAAAATTTATAAAAAGGATGGTTACTGTGGCGCGCACCCGACCAGCTGTCATATCCTTGCCATATCAGTCAGACGTTGCGATGTCATATTGGCACCTAATATAACATTTGCACTAAGTGTGTAAATGCAAACATTTTACCCCGTCTAACGAAGGAACCCCCAAAATATGTGTCAATTATTTGGCAAAAAAGGTGCGTTCATTATGCAAGTAAATACAATACGTAGATTTTGTTTACAAGGCCTATAAGCTTCTACAAGAGCTCACTCGGGCTTTTCGATTTTTCATAATCTGAATGTACAGCAGCCTCTCCTGTCCAGTGTTTGGAGATAATCTGAGTTCAGAAAACGTCACCTCAACATCACAGCTTACGTGGACATTTGCAACGCACAACAATATCACTTTGGTTGGAAAGGAACAAATCAACTGCTGTTCCTTCGAAAGCAAAGTTTTAAAAATACTTTCCCATCCCTTTTTTTTTTTTCTTTCACTGGTTAAAACGGGAAGAGAGAAAGTGCGAAGGAGGCTTCACAATAAACATAAAAGAGACACCTTGGGGCTCTATCTATGTCGCTGGAGTTCAGTTAAAGGGCAACTCCAGTTGAAGACGAAACCGAAATAAATGACTGGTATCACTTTGGTGGCACAAAATATGATCACAGCCGAAATATTATGTCAAAGTGAAACCGCATACTCAACTAAAACTGATTTTAAAGATACGACCAGCTGCTCTTTAGCGGGCGGCAAGCGGGTCAGCTCTTAGTCAAGGAACACTGGCGCAGCACCCTTGTGACGTCACGTTGCAGCCGTACGGCTCATCAGTGTTGCCATCCGTCTAGCAGATAGTTAAGGTTTTGCCATAGACAACCAAAGCCAAACTTTGAGCTGTGATATATATAAAACTACTTGCAATAATAAAAAAAAAAAAAAAAAAAAGTTTTAATTTAGGGACATTGCCTTTAGCTGAAAACAGTTGCAACCCCAAATTTAAAAATATTGACCGGATTTGCCCTTTAAAGGACACATGCAAAGGAAAAAAACCTTTTTTTTAAACAGCTTAGATGGAAAAAGGATATCATAAAACGATTTTACAACCAAGAAAAAAAAATTTTAGAGCTACATTTACGGCGCTATACGAATTTGTAGTTGGCGCCGGCGGGCGCCGCGGAAAAGAGGCCCATATTTGTCACGTGGTGCTTGCGCTCTTTCGGAAGCTTCGTATGGCCTTTAAAAGTAACTTAATCTTTTTTGTCTGAAGTATAACAAAAAACTAAGATGAATAAGTAACTTTTAGAGCCCAAAGGAAACTCCTGAAAAAGCGCAAGCAGACGTGATAGACCTGTGCGCCGGTCAGACGATGGCGGCGGCGCCCCGAAGCAGACGAACTTGTGCGGCGGCAGCGACGGCGGCGTGGAGAAACGCGTTGAAGCGGCGTTCGCACAACGCTCAGCGTGCGGCGGCGATGCAGCGCGGCGGCGCGCGGGCCTACCACGTGACCAGCGGCAGCTCCCGCGAGCGCCAACTACAAATTCGTATAGCGCTGTAAATATAGCTCTAAAAATTTTTTTCTTCGTTGTAAAATTGTTTTATGACATCCTTTTTCCATCTAAGCTGTCTTAAAAAATGCTTTTCCCTTTGCATGTGTCCTTTAAGGCAAGTGAATCGTTTCCGAAGTCTGGAGCAAGCCCACGCATTCCTACCAACACTTTGTTCCCTAGAAAATATTTTCGGATTAGAATATCTGGAAAATGGTAGAATTTAATTTCCGGATTCAGAGAAAAATCAGGCTTGACCCGATACTTAGGAAACATGTTAGAAACATAAATACTGGGAAATATCGGGTTTCACCCGAGGACAAAGAACCCCAAGTGCAGCGAATCACCAGCTCACACTGAGCCTCCGCCTAAAAGTTCCCACGAGTCAAAAGGTCGCACCTTGATAGAATGCCTGCGTCCCGCGTAGGGCTGGTCGAAGGTGAAGCACCTGACGCCGTGGTCGATGCGCCTGTGGCCGCCGAATTCCTCGGCGTCCGTGTCCAGGACTATCCTGTATCTGGTACCCACACGTTGAGGCACGTTTCGCGCGCCAGCACGTGGAGGAATGTGTCGCGACACTACACTACCCAGGATGAGTCTTCAAGTCGCGCGCTTACTGCCCTGTCCTGCCCGTGCATCGAAAGGGGTCTTGAGGCAGCAACAAATTGTGTCGCAGGAGCCGGAGCGTCGCGATTGTAACATCCGACAACACGGCACGCCGGCTTCTGCGACATCACTTGCTGCCACTTGGGAACCTCTTCCGATGTGTAGGCAGGATAGGATACTAAACACGCTAGCCAGAGATACGTTTCAGGCGCCGTACCAACGACGTAAAAATACTCGACTCCACACCTGCCCTCGAGGGGCAGACCGGCCCAAGGATACTCTCCCGGCACGTCGATGCCCAGCTGGTAGTCGGTGAAGCTCTTGCACGGGTGCAGGCCGATGACGAATAGCAGCCCCGCCCTCTCGAAGGCAATCACCTTGTCGTCCTCGTGCTTCAAGCTCACGTACGCCTGCATTCACATCCATCGTTCGAGTCGCAACCTTTTCGGCAATCGCGTCCCTTTGTCCACGTCAAAATTAAAAGTTTACAGGCGTTAGAGGGGAGCTCCAGCGGCTTTCGAGTTACCCAAACCAAACAAATTTACGGAATACCCAGGCTTTAGTGTCTCGCACAATATCTATTATCTCTCGATTCAAAAGAGCTATCGCAAAAACGGCAAATGAAGGTGATGCGAAAACCGACATTCTAATTTTCCCACGCTCCCCGGCAGGGCGGCGTTGCACGTCGAGGAGGCAGTCTAAAAAACGCGGTATTTAGAACCATTGTTTTCGTTTTGCTGACACAGGCTTAACCAGCATCCAGCGATCTGGATGAACATTGTACCTGCGTGCGGTCATGTATCACTACTGTGTGATGCACGTTAAAGATCCCAGGCTAGCGGCTGTACAGCACTGGCTAAATTTCTCATCCACAGCTGAGACACCAGACACCCACTGAGGCAGACTAACTTCCAGTTGTATACACACAACAATGTTTGTTTCGATTTTTGAAAAAGAAAAAAAAAAACGGAGACAACGAACGAAGAGAACAAACACAAAACATGTCAAAGACGTTTTGTGTTTCTCCCCTTCTTTGTCCGTCGCCTCCAGTTTTTTTTTTTTCAAAAGTGTCGTCACGTCGTCAACCAGTTCGGCTGTTTACTTACTCGTTCTTCAATCATGTTTTCAGTGCCACCAGCAGAGCCTTCCAGCTTCTCAGATAAAATTTCAAACTTCCATAACTTCCCCCCCCCCCCCCCCCCCCAAAATTATTGTGACTCGTAATTTGGGCTACTAATTCAGATGTGTAAAGTATTAACTTGTTGAAACAATTTTGACGCCAATCGGCAACTACTGAAAATTTGAGGAAGCTCTCATTTGCCCACCTAAAATTGAAAGCAAATTGGACGAAAATAAGGAGTAGGCTAAATTTCGGTGTGTAATACAAAATAAAGTAAAAAAAACGGCTAATTTTGAATTTTTGTGATTTGCGAAGCTTGTGATTGAAGGGAGCGGCAATGAACCAAAGACGACCGTCCTTCCCAGCCGGCAACGTTTGATTATCTCCTGCTGTGGCTAAGTAAGATCGTTCCTGACGACGTCATCGCTGGCCAGGCCCTGAGATTACAAGCGTAAAATCCCGAGAGATGGCCCACCTAGAATCGAAAAAAAATTGGGCGAAAATAAAGGTTGAAAAAAAAAAACTATTTTTAGATCATGTGTTTGTCAAACTTGTTACTGCGGCGAGGGGCAATAAAGCAGACGACTGTACTTCCCAGTCAGCAATGTTCACTTATATCCCGCCATAGCTAGCAACTAGACGCATTTACGTTAAGATCATCATTGATCCGAACACTACTATCACTAGGTGTGGCCGGACTATCTTTTGGTGCTTAAAAAAAAATAGTATATAAAACCAAAAATAGGGGTGGGTTACCTTTCAAGGGTTGGGGCATCTCTCGGGGATTTTATGGCAGAAGGGGGCCATCTTTGAAAAAGTAGCATATCATTCCAAAAATAAGGATCTTTCAGGGAAGTTCCTCTTCTCGTTCGATGGTGCCCTCTGGTGTCTGTGATAGTTCCAAGCTAATCAATCTTTGATATTGATTTTAATTGAGAAATCGGCCAGGCATAAATGTGACGTTCGGTTTTTTAGAACGATTAGAACCCATAGCAACATCGTTTTGAGTTTGAAACTGGAAAACGTTTGAAAAATGAGGCCTAACTGTATGGGGAAGACTCGTCAGATGCTTAAAATATTGACATACCCGTGACAAAAAATTGGCCGCTGCAGGTCCGGCAGTGCTTGTTCGATTGCCACGGAGAGCAATCCGAGTTCGTTCCCCTCACGGAACCTATCCGAACTTCTATCCTACCGGGATGCTGCTTGGTCAACGGAAATAAAAAAAAACATGGTGTTCCCTTTCCCGTTCGAATGATCTGTGCAGCCATTGGCAACACAGTGCGCCGGCATACGAAAAACAGGACGACACACGACGTAGTTCTCATTTCTGCAGTAGCGTAGTACGGCGTAAGCCTGTGGCCCGCCATTCGCTTTCAGTCAGACAAAAGCGCTGGCGTCTCCTGCACAAGTGTACAGTGCAATCCACTAATAACCATAATGAGAAAACCTGAAAATGCAATTGCAGTGATGTGATTGGCCTAAGCCATTTTGGAGCACCTTTTGGAGCAGCCAAAACAGTGTTTTGGAGCAGCGAATGTGGCCTTTGGAGCAACCAAAACAGTGTTTTGGAGCAGTAAAAGTGGCTTTTGGAGCAGCCAAGACAGTGTTTCGGAGCAGCAAAAGTGGCTTTTGAAGCAGATATTCCTATAAAAATAAAAATACTAATCGTTTTAAGTGCTGTACAAATGAAGGGCACTTTGTGTTGTGACCTGTGTAGTATTCTAACATGACGTGTTGTGACGGAACTCGCTGCTTGTGTTTTTACTGCTGAGACATCCCACAAGTGTATAGTGCTGTAGGTGTTGCCCAGCAATTCCGAAAAACCGCTTGCCACCGTTTTACTGGTTCCTGACGTATCAGATTTTCGTCAAAAGTAAGCAAGCGTAAAACAACGGATTGCAAGCGTCCCGGCTGGTGCCTCTGCCATGCAATCAAGTTCGCAGACACGTGAGGGCAACTTCAGCAGGCTTGCAGTTGCGCGTGCTTCGTCGCGCGAGCGGAGACAACGGCTGTTCGATCAAAACCGAAACCATGTCACTCCGCTCCATCGCCAACTGATTCCCGAAATTGTATGCAAAATGTAACTGTCGAGCATACGACGAAAAAAAGTCCAGCGGCGCGTTATTGTGAGGCAGGCCAAACAAGGTACAAGCTAAACACATAAAAAAAAGCAAAAAGAACCAGAGCGCATCGATGCAAGACATCGCAAGCCAGGGTCAAAAAGTTCTTGGATTGCTTTGGCTATCTGCAACGACTGAACTCGAGACAAACAAGTGCGCTGTGCGGGTTCAGCGCAGACAATGCCTTCTTTGCTTTAGGTCACTTCTCTTCACCAACTTTCTTATCGCGGCAGATTTTTCACGTACCAGGGTCCCTCTCAAAAGAAAGCCCACTGAGAGAAACCTAGGTATTTAATACTTTGAAACAGCAGTCTTTGAGCTGAAGGATTTTTGTAGTAAAGTATGATTTAAACAAGAACAGGAATGTTGATGAACATGCAGCGGTACTTAGTTTCATTTTATAGAAAGCGCCATATTTGCAGCGACGTGGGGACGGCAACACCCGACGTCGCGCGACCACGGTGACTAGAAAGCAGGGACCAAATATAGTTTTCCAACGGCTGTTGCTTTCAGGAGCAAGTGTTTCAGTTCACAAAAAAAGTTCCCGCCGCGCAAAAACGCGGTTTCGTTTCACAGCATGACGGCAAGGCTAGTATCCAAAACGCTATAGCATCGGAGCCTCCGCACACACCCGCGTCTATCGTTAAAAATAATAATAAAAAAAAGCGAGACGAGACTCACGAGACGACGAGTGCGCAAAATGCCAGATGGCGGGAAAACCACGCAGGACCGGAAGGACAATTGATGCAGGGTACTTTGTGTTGGTCGGCCGCTTGCACCACATAACAGACGCATGCTCAATTACGGTGCTCAGAATAATTTCAGTTTTGAAAGGCGACCGAAATTGGTCTTTTGGCGCAGGCTTGGCGCAGATTACCTATATATTGGCAAAATGTATCAGGATGTAGCAGGGTTAGCCCCTTGGCGCAGTTTGGCGCAGCAATCACATCACTGAATTATCATAACTGATTATCATTGTATCTGGACCAGAAGCTGGTTGTTTCTAGTCTAGAAACGCTGTAAACTGATCGTTATAAGCGGTATATCGTGGAGTGCACTGTAGTAACTTCTTTGCAAGAGGCTGACTGCGCCCACTTTACACTATGCAACAAAATGGCGGTGCTCGCGGAAAGTCGAGGAACGAAGCATCTATATGCAGTCTAAGCTCATTACAACAGACCTGGTTACAACGGACATTTGGATATAACATACCGATTTGTGAAGTGCGGTTGGTTTTCCTCTATGTACCATTGACTCAACTTCATATCTGAATACAACAAACTCCTCTTACAACAGACCGAAATCTTGATCAAGACCAGGGTCTGTTATAACGAGCTTGTACTCTAAGGGCACAACTCGTTTAGTGACTCCAACATCCCCCGTGGACTCACGGGCGGAGAGGGCAGCCAGTGGTGCTGCTCTTCGAGGTGGTTGAGGGCGCTGTCGAAGCGGTTCAGGAACTTGTAGCGCAGCAGGTCGTCCTCCACCAGGTGCCACTGGCGACGGGCGTGGTGGTAGCTCTCGTCATTGCCCGCCCGCGGGAAGTCCAGCCACTCAGGGTGCCCAAACTCGTTGCCTGTGTCGCACGACAACAGTCTTGCGATCGCAACACGTTTCGAACGAGCTACCGAAAATGGTAAACAATGCGCAAAGAACAGAGACTGAGAATAAAGGCTGGTTCATGCATTTGCATTCGAATGTGCTCAAGTGCACTGCTTTCCTTGCGACCGCCTAACACACTCCGAACTGGCGACATCTATTGGTAACCCTGTAATACTCCCACCCTGCGTATAACTACCGTAAAATACCGAGCATCTGCCTATTCCACAATAAGCGGCCACCCCTCGCTTTTGCACCATTTGGAAAATAAGCAAAGGACATATTTTTACATATTATTGATTTAAAGGGATGGTGAACCGAAATTTGGAATTAAGAAAAAAACAATGCAGGAGATGTAGGCGGGAGGCTACGATCCCTACAACACTAGTCGTAAGGCGATATCTAAATGGACGGCCGCCTTGTTGGAAAAAGAGGCCGAGATTGAACCAGTCTGATGAGGCGTGTGACGTGAAGATACCTCGTTTCCTCCTCTCTTCGCTTTGCCCCCTCAAGGTGGCGAAGCGGAGAAGACGCAAGGGCGTTCCCTCTCCTTCTCGGAGAAACATGACGTGAACATTTCTGTTAAATGCGCCTCCTTTTTTAGAAAAATGTGGTCATCCGTTCGAGATATCACTGTATGAGTGATGTTTTGGTGTTTGTAGCATTTCGTTGCACGCTTTTGCCGCGTGTTTTGTGGAATCCAGATTTCGGTTCAGCATCCCTTTAAGGAGGACTCGTCCCCCAGGTTTACACGATTTATCTCCAAATATTGAGTGGGCGCTTGCTCGGGATTTTACGGTGGACTGAAGGTTTTGCGGTATTTGCGAGATTTAAGCTACATGCGCTCTCTCTGAAAAATGGTTGCTAATGACATTATCAAAATTATTTCGGGCCCATGGTGAAAAAATTATGCATAGAAAATTATTTAAAAAATCGTGGCAAAGGCAGTGGACAAAGAATGTGATACAGTGCCGAGCTAGACGCTCGGCGCTACGTCGCATTCTTAGACACTTTATTTTACACTAAGAAGCAGCCAAACATCACTTGGAGGCTCTGTACCTACCGTATTTACTCGAGTAATAGCCGCACTATTTATGAAGAAAACCTGAGGGTTCGCTCTTCCGCGGAGCTCGCGGATTGCAAATCACCGCGATCGACAGCATGATTCCAGCGGTTTACGGGGCAGAGATAACGTCTTCGCGCGGAGATACCGTCTGTGAAGATTGCATTTGTATGGAGAATCGTGTTCTCGATCTAGTGATTCGCTATGCTATTTATGCGCAACACGATCATTGGCTGTATATGTGTTTTGCGGGAAAGTAGACGCAAGGGCCTTGTTCATAAATAGTGCGGCTATTACTCTAGTAAATACGGTAGTTGTTCTCGGCTTTATTTTGCCCATAAACATCGGCATCATTCGCAAAAATGAAGGCACTCGAAATACCTCAGCTCATCACGGCAAAGCGAACATGCCTAACCGAAGATAAAGCAAGTAGGCAGGAAAGCTGGTTAAGGATAGACGTGGTAACCCTAGAGTGAGGGGACAAGAAGGGACGGACAATAACCTAACCTATTGTCTGCTTTCCTTCTCTGCCTTTCTGCCACTCTCTTTCATGTTCCTTTCCTTGGGCAGCCCGGAGCTCACCCTTTTAGCCTCTGCTAGGAGTAGAACATTGCTCTATATCTGATCGCGTGATGTAACCCTCAGGGAGGAAGTAACTTGGATGTACTCGAGCAAGACGTTCAGCTAGCACTAGAGTACAATCCGTGGGGAGAGGAGCGCTACGTCACTGTTTGGCTGTATTTTGTTATTTCTCGGTCAAATCTGGCGTGGAGTCTAAATTGGCATATAGGCCACGAGACGCCTGATTTCCCCGCTTGACTTGGCAGGAAATGCACAGACGGACTGACAAAATTTCAAAATTTTGGCAATGGGTGGGGGGGGGTGTTCTGTTAGAAAGCATTTTATGCTTTAAAACAGGGGCTATCACAAACTTTTCAGTCTCAGGGAATGCCCATTGGAGGCTGTAAAGCTTTCCAAACAGCAATGCGCATATACAAAGTATCTGGCTCGTAGTCACGCATTAATGGGCAGCTTAGACCTACTAAAATAATGCTTACTCTTAAAAAAACCCACTTTACTTAGGGGGAGGGAGGGTCAAGGATATCTAAAAGCTCGGGAAACCCGCGTAAGCGCTCTGAGGAACCACTGTGTTCCTAAGAACCCAGTTCGAGAGCCCCCGCTTTAAAAGAAGAACCCACCGATGAAGTTGAGCCAGGCCTCGCCCCCGAGGGCGTGGGTGAGCAGGCGGATGAGCTTGTGCATGGCCAGGCCCCGGTCCACCACGGGTGTCAGGGGCGTCAGGGTCGACATGTGCGTGTACATCTCCTTGTCCATGAGCCAGAAGGCCAGTGTCTTGTCCCCTACCAGAGCCTGCATGCACGCACCGACCAACCAACTTCTTTAAAGCCGACATTACGCACACATCGTAGAGAAGACACAATGACGAATGTATCTGTGGACCCACCTCAAGCATGTTAGAAGTGCTTTACACATGTGCATGTTCGAACATGTCTGTCTTCGAACGTGGCAGGACCGCCGTACGAGGAAGACAGTGTTTGGATATTATATTCCTAACGAGCGTGTTGGTAAGATGTACTAGATAACAGAAAGTATAAAACAGAGAGAGGACGAATTTACTCGTCTGTGTTTCGCTCTCTCTGTTTTATACTTTCTGTTACCTAGTGTTTGGACACTGTCTCTCTTACAATGTATGAGCATGTTGGGGGGGGGGCACGGCACACAGGACAACATTTGTGCCACGCATGACAAATACATACATATCCGATTTGGCACACGTGTACAATTTCAGCGAGGACACAAACCACGCTGCTGGATGCAACACAGTATGGCTTTCCTCCTCGCCTTTGCCGTCGTCTTCTCCCTTTTCTTGTTTCCGGGACATTCGGCACAGACAAACAGCTAGCAGAATGCTGCAAATGGCTGCGTCCTGGAACCCATGTCACGAGCGTGTTCCAAGGACGCAAGCGGACGGTCGCCTTCCTTTGCAGAAAGAATCGTTCCAAAACAGATTGGAAGCGGAGAACCTACACGCTTTTTATCTGGCACGGGTCAGAGCGACTCGTATCATGTGCGAACGGCCCTTAAGCAACCCCCCAGGCACAACCCCTCTCACTTGTCTCTCGCAGAAGTGTTGCTCAACCCAAGATGTGGCTTCCGCAAAGAAAAGATACCTTGGTACTCTGGATAAAGTCGGTACTCATAGGATCTGTTGGTTTGGCATGGTCCACGACATTCTGCTTCTTGCACAAGCGGCATTTGTGCCTGTGTTAGGTACCAGTCTCTCTTGTAGGTGCCACGACACTATACTGAGCGTTTCTCGCCTCTCGCAAATCTTTTGCATCTTTCCGCGACGTCAAATCACCCAATATGATTGTACGATGTAGCCATCTGGTCACCTATACGCTTCTCTATAGCCGCGCAACCTGTACGTTAGAAGCGACTCTCAGAAAAGTTTTATGTGGCACAGGATTTTTCTATTTCATTTCTTTCTTTAGCTGTCTGCAGAGCTTATTTTATTGTCATTTCCTGGGTCTGATGTCAAGAGTTTATGTGGAGACAAGAGTTTATGTGAGGTAGTCTAAGTATAGAGTGGTATACCTGTCTGGCATATTTTATTTGTCTTTCTTTTTTTAACGTGAAACCTTCTTCAACCAGTTGCGCCAGATTAAGTGAAGCCAGACTTCGTGAAGCCGTGGCCTGTGACGTCATGTGGCTTCAGTTTCCATGCTAGATTTATCGCGAAAATTAGTGCCACGTGACCTACAGACGAATTCAGTTTACTCACTAAATTTAGCGGGAAAATTGATGCATGACCGGCCGCAGCCCATCATTCCCCATACTCAATTGACAGAAGCACAGAGTACAGCTAACAAACGTTTAGCTTCCGTATCCAACATACTTGCCTAGCAATTTACCACACAATTTTCTTAAAGGGTTAGGTACTCTTATTCAACAGACTACTTGTTCTCAAACACCAGTTTCTAAGTGTTTTCGTGAGTTAAATAGAATGCATGTAAGCTGCTAAAAAATTAAAGTTGTCTCAATCATTCTGATAAACTGGGAGAGCACCAAATGTGTCCTGCATGCAATATGCTTGCATTACGCTTTGTAATGCTTGGTTACAGATTGGTTTGGGTAGTTTCAGATTCGTTGCACACATGACACATTCACATACTCATGGTCTAGACTGGGTGTCGGCTAACTTCTGCAACAGCAGGCAGAGTCGTCGTAAAGCCGACATGGAGGGGGCCAGACAGCAAGTCGAGTGGGGGCTCCATGTGCCAAAACAACGAAGGGCATTTGGCATGCCCCAGCGCAGGACTGAATATTAATTTCAACCATTTGGGGATCTTTCGACGTGCAACCGAAAGCTTGGTTACACGGCGCTTTCTCTGCAATATGCCTCCGTCAGATTGCGGGCACCTTGGCTGGGATTCAAACCCGCCACCTGGCGATTCGTAGGCCGGCGCTTTTGCCTCGGAACTGAGGCGGCCGACGGCAAGACGAGAGGAGGGGGGAATAAAAAGCAAAAAAGGAAGTAAGAGGCCACATAGAACCGCCTCGGGGGTTGTCGTCCCCTGGTCTAGTTCAGGACCCATAATGTTGCGAGATCACATAGGAAGGTACTTTCGTATTTACTCGCATATTGAACACACCCTTTTTCCCGAACAATTGACACATATTTGGGGGGTGCGTTCATTATGAGGGGTTAAATTTTTGCACCTACACACTTAGTGCAGATGTCATATTAGGTGCCCATATGGCACGGCAAGGCACTGTGGCATGTCTCCACTGATGGAGGCGCACCACGGCTGGTCAGGGGTGTGCCACAGTAACCATGCTTTATAAATTGCAAACCTTTTTAGGGCATTTCCGGCGTGCCTTTTGCAGAAGAAAAAAACGTCCTATGAAGCTCACTCAGCACAAACAGCGACACGACCATACTTAGGCTTAACCACTTTCACGATTTCACTGTCCAAAAGCGGACCACAGACGAGGGCGTGTTTGTTGACGTCAATGCATCCGATAGCAGTGATGTGTTTGGCCTAAGCCATTTTGGAGCACCTTTCGGAGCACCCAAAACAGCGTTTTGGAGCAGTAAATGTGGCCTTTGGAGCAGCAGAACAGCGTTTCGGAGCAGCAAAATATGGATTTTGGAGCAGATATTCTTAGAAAAATAAAAATATTTGTTTTAAGTGCTGTACAAACGAAGTGAACTTTGTGGTGTGTTGTCATGTGTTGCGTTGGGATGAAACTCGCTGCTTGTGTTTTTACTGCTAAGACATCCCACAAGTGCACAGTGCTGTAGGCATTGCCGAGCAATTCTGAAAAACCGCTTGCCACCGTTTTACTGGTTCCCGACGTGCCAGATTTTCATCAAAAGTAAGCAAACGTAAAACAATGGATTGCAAGCATCTCGGCTGGTGCCTCGGCCGTGCAATTATGTTCGCATGCACGTGAGGGCAACTTTGGCAGGCTTGCAGTTGCGTGTGCTTCGTCGCGCATGCTTCGTTGCGCGAGCGGAGACAATGGCTGTACGATCGAAACCGAAACCATCCCCATTCCGCTCCGTCGTAACGTGATTCTCAAGACTGTTTGCGAAATGTAACTGTCGAGCATACGAGAAAAACAGTCCAGCGGTGCGTGCTTGCCAGGCCGGCAAACAAGGTACAAGCTAAACACACAAAACAAAAAAAAAAGCCTGAGCCCTGGCTTGCGATGCAAGACATTGCGAGCCAGGGTCCAAAGGTTCTTGGAGCGCTTTGTGCAATGACTGAGCTCGAGACAAACATACGCGCTGTGCGGGTTCAGCGTGCAGACATTGCCTTATTTGCTTTAGTTCACTTCTCCTCATCAACTTTCCTTCGTGGCAGACTTTTCACATACCAGCGTCCCTTTCAAAAGAAAGCCTACCGAGAGAAACCTAGGTAATGAATACTTCGACACAGCAGTCTTTCAGCTAAAGAGGGATGTTTGTAGTAACGTACGATTTAAACAAAAACAGGAATGTTGATGAACATGCGGCGGCAGGGCCGTACCCAGAAAAAAATTTCGGGAGGGTTTTCGGGGACAACGGCGGCCATTTTGAAAGTGTCTATTGTCTTATTTTCGCCTATGAATCATGTGCATCGATGGCATATAATGGAGAGTTACAGCAAACTGGAGAACCGGTCCCGGTTTGGTACCCGGTAGCTGACCGGCGCCACTGCGCGTGCGCAGAGGGGGAGATTAAAATCGACTGGCTGCAAGTGCACCGACCAGGGCCGTACCCAGAAAAAAATTTCAGGGGGGGGTCAGAACCCCCTAACCCCCCCCCTGGTTACGGCCCTGTGCGGCGGTACATAGTTTCATTTTAGAAAGTGCCATATCTGCAGCGACGTGGGGACAGCAACACCCAACGTCGCGTGACCACGGTGACTGGAAGGCAGGGACCAAAAATAGCTTTTGCACGGAAGTTGCTTTCAGGAGCGAGTGCTTCAGTTTACAAAATAACTCCCGCAGTGCAAAAAAGTGGTTTTGTTTCACAGCATGACGGCACGGCTGGTACCCGGCACGATAGCGTTGGAGCGTCCGCACTCACTCGCCTCTATTGTTAAAAATAATGAAAAAAAAAAAAATGCGAGAGGAAATTTACGAAGCAACGAAAGCGCGAAACAGCGAGACAACCATACAGGATCGGATAGACAATTGATGCAAGGTACTTAGTGTCAGTCGGCCGCTTGCGCCCCCCAACACACGCCTGCTCAATTACGGTACTCAGTTTAGTTTCGATTTTGAAAGGCGACCGAAATTGTTTTTTGGCGCAGGCTTGGCGCACATTACCCATATTTTGGCGAAATGGAGCACGATGTATCAGGGTTAGCCCCTTGGCACAGTTTGGTGCAATTGGCGCAGCAATCAGATCACTGTGATAGGCGAAGAATGTCCGGGGCTGGGCAATTCCTCGACCCAAGCTTCGTCAAGTGTGCATGCTACTCGGTTTCATGGTTGATTACTTCCGCAACTACGCACTTGCAGCCATCACAAGAGCGGCTTGGCTTGGCCTGGCCTGACTGCTTGGCGGCGAAAGAAAATTGGCTTGGTGGTTAGCTAAGTTGGACGCAATTCAAGACTCATGGAGCCGAAAATTGGAGGTGCGTGCATTACGTGAGGGGAAAAAAAAAAGTTCAAATATTGGTACCTGTTGGGGGGGGGGGGGGGGGGGGAAAGGGGGGGGGTGCGTTCATTATGCGAGTGTGTTCATTATGCGAGTACCGCATTTACTCGAATGTAACGCGACCACGATTGTAACGCGAGAAGTGACTTTTCACAGCGCAAAAAAAAAAAAAAAGAACACGAATGTAACGCGAGTTAAGTGAGGGGAAAAAAAGTACCTTAAGAAGTACTACAACGTGGTCCGCGGAATTCCTTTCCGTTGGGTTTACACTTGAAGAGCACTTCACGCTGGAGCCTCCACCCACGGATAGTCGATTCTGTCACATCTACCCGTAGAGCCGCGGCAGAGTTTCCGATTTCCTCAGCCATCATAATTGCACTTCTTTTAAAGCGGGCGTCGTACTGAGCTCGTCGCGTCGCCATTTGCTCGAGAGTCCAGTCGCGGAAGCACGTAGCAGCAGCTCACAAAACACGGACAACACGGGCACATGGGTACAGTAACCCTAACAGAAAGAGAAAGCGTTGCGAAGGTAACCCGTAACCCTAACATGGGCGCAACGAGTCGCAAACAATAGGATTGAATCGGCTGTTTTCAGCGTGTATATGTTGCCAGCACAAGATTGAAAGATTGCGAGATTTGTCGTAGCCATTTTAAAGAGCCTGTGCTGCGACACCACCAAGGCATATTTTGAGGCGTTGCGATTATAACGCGAACCCCCAAATTAGTTAAGGGAAATTTGAAAAAAAAACTCGCGTTACATTTGAATAAATACGGTAAGTATGTAGTCATTTAAAAGTTAGCTGCACGCATCAACAGTCACCTACTACCACAGGGTCCCTCGAATCATACTTAGTCCAGCTGCCTCCATCCTGTTTGCCTCCAGAGGCTCCGGGTTGCGGATTGCATGGTTCAGGGTTCAATTCCTGCTGTTCTGCTCGTTAAATCTAGCTAATTATGATTAATTATGACTAAGTATACTTCCATATGCTTTGCATGCTTATGCACTGCCTACTATGGGCCATGTGTGATTTACGTTACCTAGCCCTCGTGTAACAGCTTTTCGTTGGATTCGAGCATAACGCCTTTTTCCATTTTTACCCCGCTCCTGGGTTACCACGTCAGTAATGAACAGAGAATCTGTTAAAACTAGAGATCAGCCTAATATTATTGTTGTCATCATCATTATTCTTACAGTCTAAGTTCATTACAACAGACCTGGTTACAACAGACATTTGGATATTACATACCGATTTGTGAAGTTCGGTTGATTTTCGTCTTCATATCTGCATACAACAGACCGAAATCTTGGTCAAAATCAAGGTCTGTTATAACGAGCTTAGACTGTATTATTAATATCATGTGGCTGCAGAGCGACCACTGACCTGATCGTGGGACTCTGCATATGCGACGCTCTTCTCCATCCACCTGCGGTTGGTGAGGGTGTGCACAATGTGGCCCATGTTCCAGTCCTCGTCCTTCTGCTCTTTCAGCAGCTGAAGAGAGGCAATCGGGCACATTCAGTAGCGGCTCCGGGAGTCAAGGAGAAAGCGCTCCTTCTACTGAACGGCAAAAAACTGCTTCCGGAGCACGCAACTCCGAGTTCCCGGAGTCAAGCTCGTGTGCACCGAGTCTGGAGACGGTGCATTAGGAGCAAAAAGAGCAAGGTATGACATATTTCCAGATTGCAGACAAAGTTCCGATGCTGAAAGAGAAACAACAAACAAAATGGCAGGAGAAGCTGCATCAGCTGTGGTGTGGGTCGGCGATTTGCTCGCTTTTGTTTATGAAAAGTACTCAAGGTAAGACGAATAACGCAACCAGATTTCCTTACATCTGGTGCAGTGTTTTAATTGCCGTTGCATGGAAACTCTGCAAATATCAATGATAGTCCTGTTCATGCTGAACAGAGCAGGGCAGGTCTGTACTTCTCTAGGCCAGTATATGAGTGTACTTACTTTGGTGCACGGTTGGACACTCACATAGAACATGATCCCGATTAATGTTCTGTTTGCATAGCTAAATCGGGTGTATACAAGTATGGGACGTCAACCGACGCTTGCTTCGGCCGACGAAAACCTTGATCGCCAAGCGCGGCTGACTTTCATCTGTATACGAATTCATTTAAGGTATAGGAAGTCAGTAAGGAAGTGCAGAAGAAACATATGACCGTATAAATATATCGTAACCGGTGGCATAGATACACCGAGCTCCATAATTTGCTCGTGTTGATGACTTTTTTTTTTTTTTTTTTCTAACATTAGCAGTTTTTTTTTTTTTTTTGTTTTGCAAAGGGTTCTATTGCTTTGGATTGCTTCGAACAGCAGCGCCGACATCTACAGTCACTCGCTTTTTCTGTAACGACCTTGCCGAGACTTCTTCGATGTCGGCGTCAAATAAAAGTGATTGTGCGCTCGGCATTGTCTGCTTTAATTTTATTTGGAGACCGTCTGCCACAGGGGAAGAAGTGGAAACTGCATAAGAGTAGCCGAAGAGCCGTGCTTCTTTTGCCTTTCAGTAGACTCTCCGAAAACTCCGACTCAAGTTACTCCATTCGGAACTGAGGAAGCCGCTACTGAATGCACCCATCCACATCAGCAATCTCGGGAGCACGCAAGTGACGCCTTTCTTCCAGCCTGTTGCCAGTCATTGCCACATGGTCGAGGGCTCAAATACGCTCGTGACTGAAGAAACCCACTGGCTGGATGGATGGAGTTACACATTGTAATCTTAGAATTGAGTGTTAACTTGCACAATACGGCAGTAGTTATTAAGTCCAACTAGAGCAACGGACAGAAAGAACCGATACCGACCATCTTCAAGCACACGCGGCGGGCACGTGAAGCTACATTTGGGAGGCTTGCAATCACTCGTGCTTACCTCTCAATCACCAAGAGACTGCAAGCTTGCTAAAAGCACCTTTATGCACACGCTGCATGTGCTCGAGGCCTGTCAGTGTCGATCGTTTTTGTTTGTCGCTCTAGCGGGACCTTGGCTTTCAAGGAACTTTTGTTTATCCGAAGACCCTCTAGCATGCCTCCCCAATACTTGCATTCGAGCGTAACATGACATTAACCTGTAGCACCAAGCTGAGTGACGAGGCGCGTCCACAGGCTATAATTTCGTCTGGCCACAGCTATGGCACAAAGTTTTACAACACACGTGACAGAGATGCACAGCCCTGCGACACCTTTGCAGCCAGCAGATGAGTAGAGCACGAAGAAGATAAAGTAATGAAGCGCACGAAACGTCTTCCAGACGTTGGCCTTTATAGGCCTGTTCAGACATACAACCCAGCACTCCCTGTGTTATTGGTCAGTGCTGACCTTATGCTATATTAGTGATACGGCACTAATAAAGCGCACAACATCAGTGCTAAGCTATGCTCAAGTTGGTGCTACATCAGCGCCGATTCTAGTGCTGATGTAGTGCTGTAATCTACCTGTGATTTGGCCTCAAAACATGCAAACAGCAGCCCAAGCAAGACTTGTTTTAGTAGCCAGAAGTCGCCAAAACTGCAGATATTTATGCCACTTAATATTCAAAGCAAGCATTTTTCTTGCATTATCTGTATTATGTTTGCAATCACCATATCGGGACGTTTCTATTTATTTTCAATAAATCTGAAAACAAATGTCTGCCGACAAAATCAGCCTTGCAAGAGAGAAGGAGCAGTGACCTTGATCCAGAGGTCGGGCACTGCCATGGCCAGCCGGTAGTCGAAGCCCGTGCCCCCTTCCTCCACGGGCCGGCAGAGGGCCGGCATTCCAGAGACGTCCTGCAACATCAACCTCCAATTTATGAACAAAAAGTAAGTGTGCAAATGAGCTGGTGTATGTTGAACATAATTACAAAAGGACTACCGCAATATCCCGAATCATCGCCCATCTTCCACCCCACTTTAGGCCGAATACCATTTCCAAAACAACGCCGAGTGATTGCCCAAAAAAATGCCGAGTGATTGCCCACGTACAGAAACGCCTGCAATCTGCAAACATTCATCTTACCCGAATGACACCGCCGTGGACCACACAGTTGGAGGACGTCCGTGACAAAGTAAAACGAACAAGGGAAAAACATTTGTCTTTTGTTTACACATTCCCTCCCCGATTTCCGCGACCCCGAAGTCGGAGTACTACACGCGCGCGAAATGAAAATGATGGAGATAACAAAATGAAACTTTGTTTTGCTGGAGAAAAAAACAAGATCGGAAAAATGACAGAAACAGTAACCCATTCAGAGATTGGGAGGTCAGCGAACGGCCTATATCCTAGAATGTAACTGGTCACCACAAACCCAATCCTTCTCTCGGAATGTTGTGACTGCGGTTCGTGAGATTATGCACTGTTAAGACAAAGCCAACAAGTAAAACAAAATTTGGTGTCCCATTTCAAGCTCCGTCTTCGTGGTGCCATTCACGCCACGTAGCAACGCCGCCTCAACCCGCGTCGATAGCACGCCGCGCACAAATGCACGGATGTATGCACCATACAAGAAAGTTGCGCAAGAGCCTTGTACTTGCGATTGACAAGGCGCCCAACTTGGCCCGAAGCCAAAGCATTTGCCAACGCGATCGCCACTTTCCAACTTCTTCAGCATCCCTCTTCGTCGCTTTGAGATAAGCGAGGTACCAAACTTTCACTGCACTGATCTCGAATTGTGGGAATGGAGCTTTTCTAACAATTGCATCAATAGACTTTGCACTCACACAATGCCACGGGGAGAACAAAACGAATGTAAGAAAATGATCAGTGAGCAACAGTCATGAGACGGAGACACGAGACTAGGGGGCAAGAAAGCAAGAAAAAAAGAAAAGAAAATATAATGCTGAAATTGCTTACGTCTCTATGTCAATTCTAGATGAAATGCTTTAGCATTTAGCGCAGGGGTTCTGACTCGGCGAAGGATGGGAATTCCATCCTTGCAACGATCCGAATATCGCTTTTTCGAAGAGCCAGTCTTTTTTCCCTTAAACGGTGCCTACGGTTTGCATTTTGTTGTCCTCAAAAAATCAATCTTTCCTCCCGGGTGTCAGCGGTTTTGCACGAACAGCTTCGTCGCTGCGCTTCGGTTTTACATTGGCACGTACATTGTGCCACAACAGCTTCCTGCTCTCCAGCTCCCGTGGTACATCGCAAAAAGAATGCTAGAAAACTTTTCCCCTCTTGTAAGAGGAAAAGTGGATGTAATGAGCGAACGAACGAAGAGAAAGAGCACGGCAGGAACCGTGCCGCAGTCACACGAAATCAGCCCGGTTCAAGCCACGAACATCCAGACGAAAGACGGCTGCATGTACCGGGGCAATAAATACTAATGCATTTAAAACCAAAAGAACGCCCCAAAAGAAAGAAAGAATAAAAGAAAAACACAAACAGTGGACGATAACGTCGAGTGTGAGGGGGAGTGAAATAGTGGCATAGAACACCAAGCCAAGGCTTATGGGAGGAAAAAGAAACAAGACAACCATGTCCTTGAGGAACACGCTGCTCCAGGCATTGCCACGCACATGACACCAAACTTTTTGTGCGTCGTCGTGCATGCAACGATGCAAAACTTTTGTTTTTCTTTTTTGTGTTTTTGTTCTTGGATTGCTGTCTCTGTCACCTAATGTTTGGGCCATTGCTTGCTCTCCCCTGCTTGTTGTCTTTTTGCAATCTTTGTTGACGAGACTTTGAGATATCCGAGGTTTGTCCTGAAAACTTTTCGAGATATGGGACTAGTAAATGCATCGTGCCTATGAAAGTTCATTGCATGGCAAGGAGAGCTTCTGACTTTAACAATATTTCGAGATAGCCGAGTTTGAGCAAACGACGGACTACCGTACAACCGAAAGTGGTAGTGCGAGTGACGTTCCCGTGCTCCTCACTCGAGAGATGGTGCGATTGAGAAGCACTCCAACCTTCAATTTGTTTAATTTTTTTTTTTTTTTAAATCAAACTAGCGAGCGCAAGAAACAATGGACTTCTGTTTTTCGTTCTATAGGTGACATAGAACAATTCCTGCAATTAATTGGGCAAAGTTCGAAGGCCGTTGTGCAACCATTTTTCAGCCCAGTGCTTACCTCTGCGATGGTGATTGCAGTTGGGTGCAGCTTGTGGACCACGTGGTTGGCGAGCATGAGGTAGACGAGGGACTCCGTGTCCACGTTGAGGCCGAAGTACTCGTTGTAGTCCCCGCTGAAGCCGTGGCCCATGCCGTGCGAGTGGTACAGCATCGAGGTGACCCCGTCGAAGCGCAGGCCGTCGAAGCGGTACTCAGTCAGGTACCAGTTCACGTTGGACAGCAGGAAGCGCAGCACTTCCAGCCTGCGCCCAAGGGAGAAACCTCTTGAAACGCCCCTCTCGCTCAACGAAGGCATCTACCGAACTGCTCCTCTCAAATTCTCAGACTTTTCCGGGTTTTTCCTTCGACCGTTACAGAAGTCCAAAAGATCACCTGCACCACCATCCATACAGAGCCGTATATAATGAATCTGCGCGTCATGCGACACAAGGATGTGACTTACCGCATCGGTGATACAACGGCCACCCTTTGTGTAAAGAGTGAAACACTGTCGATTATTCGAAAGCCAATAACAGCCGTGCCTCGTGTGAAGCGGAAGCGGACACGGAAAGGAACATGGAGAATGTGCCTCAAAATTAGCGGACTCATTTTAAGCTTTCTCAGTAAATAGGTACTATAGGAGCTGTAGTCACAAATTTCATAACAACAACGAGTGCTCTCTGCTCAACCTAATACAAATGGTTTTCACAGTCCCACAGGGACAGCAGAGAGGCCCCGGCTGAAGGTAAATACAGGGTGCCGCAAAAGAAAATTTACAGGGTTTTTATTTCCGCAAAAAATAAGCTAGGCATCGCCGAGAGCTCATTCTTCGCCCAAAGGTAGCGCTAGAGGTCACAATCAGATGCCAAAGTTTCAGCCCGATCTGATACCTTATTCAAAAGTTGTAAGTGATTTTCTGAAAATTTCAATGGGAAAATGGTGGCCGACGAAGTTTTCGAATACATGGGGCTCTATGGCACCAGAAACCGAAAACGGGCAAAAATGAGCTCCATTCCTTTTCCCATTGAAATTTTCAGAAAATCACTTATAACTTTTGATTAAGTTATCGGATCGGGCTGAAACTTTGGCATCTGGTTGTGACCTCTTGAGCTACCTTCGGGAGCAGAATGAGCGTTTGGCGATGCCTAGTTTATTTTTGCGGTAAAAAGATCCCTGTAAATTTTCTTTTGTGACACTCTGTACTCGGCCAAACCCACAATGTCAACCGAAGTGACAAAATTGGTTGAAGTGACTACATAGATCGAAGCAACAACATTGGCCAAAGTGACATCTGCCAAAGTGACAATACTAGCTAAAGAGACAACACTGGCTAAAGTGACAACACCGGCCGAAGAGAAAACACTGGTCAAATCGACATCAGTCAAACTGACAATACAGCTAGCTGGCAAAAATCAGTCCACTTCCAGCTGGATTATGGAACTGGAAATGAGGCAGTCCAGCTGGATTCCAGCTGGGTCCAGCTGGGTCCAGCTGGAATCCAGCTGGACTGCTTCATTTCCAGTTCCATAATCCAGCTGGAAGTGGACTGATTTTCACCATAAGCGGTTACGTTGTAAGTGGTCTATACTAGTATAGACCACTTACAACGTAACCGCTTATAGTGCAGGACCGGGTATAACGCGGCTTTTTTAAACCACCGGTGTGCCTCCCATAGAACTCCATGTAATTACATACCGCTTAAAATGCAGGCGCGCGAAGGGAAATACCGGTTATAGTGCGGTTTTCAGAACAGCCCGGCGACCGCGCCGACCGACCGACGCTGAGAGCACGCTTCCCTGTGCGACACTAGATAACGGCGCGAGCGGCACTCGCGGGGCAAGGAGGTTGCTCGATGAAGCGAAGAGAGAGGCTTCAGTTGCCATAGCGACGGAGGGACGCACACACGTGTCGTTCACGTGCGTGCGTCCCTCCGCTGCGTTGGAAAACAACCGCAACGACAGACCAATCGCAGGTCGAGGAGAAGTGTTCGCGCGCGTCGCAGGTCGGCTGCTTTTATCCGCGAACATGGCGTCGGTTGTGATCGTGGACGTAGACTGCATAGAAGCTCATCGTTCCACGTAAAAGCGCTATCCTTGACTGTGAATTTTCGTTGTGTGTCGCTATGATAACCCAGCACGCACTAGAAGGGAAGATCCACCTACTCGTGCGGCAATGTCGTGGCGGCACTCTCAAGACGGAAGAAACGCCCGTGTCGTCGTGTTTGTTTACTTCGGCTACAGTGGTGCTTTCTAAGCATTTGTGTTTTCGAACATCGCCCGGATTTTTTATTTGGAGCATTTCATGCCTGTGCTCAAGTTGAAGGTATTACGGGCGCGTACCATATAAAGGATGCGAATTTTCACGCGTTTTCATCGCCGGAGAAAAGTGATTAGGGTTAGCAATCCTGAACGCTCGCAACGTCTGTCCGCAACCCGCGACGCCGTTAAAAGGCTGCGCCAGGCAAAAGTCGCTCATTTCTTTCAAAATGTGTGACACACTTGAGAGAGAAGTGTACTAGTCTGGTGAAATAAAGACTTTCCTCAAACTAAGCTTTATTTTTCATCTAACATAAAATAAATTCTTTTACAAAGGTAAGTTGTCTGATGGCATGTATTTTGGCCTGAAAAATTGATGTTTTGGTTATAGTGCGGTACCGCTTATAGTGCGGATTTTCGCGACTCCCGCGACATACGTTATATGCAGTCTACACTGTACTGGCAAAAGCAACATTGGCCGAAGCAACATCAGCCGTAAAGAAAAGTAGCAATGTCAGCCAAAGCGACAAAGTTGGCCGAAGTGACAACCTCCGCCAAAGCGACGGGCCATCGAGCCCTTTCCCATTCCAGAACCCCGAGCAGGCTTTACTGACTTTGTGTAGTCGAAGAGGCGGCTGTCCCAGAGCGGGTGGTGACCCCGGCCGCCGTTGTGGAAGAAGCAGGCGTCGGTGCCATCGAAGCGGTTCAGACCGTCCAGCACGTTCTTGGAGGCATGGCTGTGCACGATGTCCAGCAGCACATACAGGCCCATGCCGTGGGCAGCGTCCACCAGGGCCTTCAGCTCTTCGGGGGTGCCGTAGCGGCTGTGCCCACAAAAGAGGAGAGATATGCTCTTGAGGCCCATTCGTTTGTATGGTGCAGTGCGGGCCCAATGCGGAATCAACGTTAGAAACGGCACTGATCCAACACTGCCTCGAACATAACTTGGCACTAAAATCCTCCGTTTCGCATCGAGTCTGACCACAGCCAACAGTATATGATCCGGTGGAGTCTATCAAGCACTGCCAAAATGCATTGTCACGGCGCTCGTCGTTTTGTACGTTTGATATCACCGGCTGAAACAATAATGCGCAGGAAAAAGCGCAGGATCATGGGGCATTCGCTGTGCGCGATTGATTCGGCCGGGGATAGGAAACATGCAGACGATAAGCGCCGTCACGATCCCCTTTTGCTGCTGCCGGATTGGCTCAATCGGATCTAGGCATTGGCTGTGGTCAGAGTCAAGATGAAATGCAGTATGGTTTTCGGTACATCTCTGAAATGATTGAAAAGATTAAGTACTACTTAGTGTGCAGTGATCACCAAACTTGTATAAAACGTGCAAACTGTGTACAAGTTTGGCGAGCACTGTATAATGCCAAACTTATCGCAGCTTACACGCTGGGCGACGCAGTTACTGTAAATACTACAGCACTGGCACTTTAGCACACTTCATGCAAGGGGGTTAATGTTTGAAATCAAATATTTTTCGTCCAAGTGGATGCCACTTCAATGGCAGCATTCTAGTCACGCGAAAAAGAGATAATCCGTGAGTGCATATTCCGGCATATCGCATGAGCACTGTACCTGGAAGCGGCAAAGAAGCTTGTCACCTGGTACCCAAAGCTGGCGTAGTAAGCATGCTCCATGATGGCCATTATCTGGATGGCATTGTAACCTGAAAGTAAAAGCATTCAATGTACTTCACTTAATTATTAAAAAATTCAAATGCCAACCAAGCCCTTCATAGGGACCCTACATTTCAAAGCCAACTTGGCCTCTTCTTAATGGGCAACTATGGCTATGGCCATTGAGGAGCAGTGTCCTTTTCTTTTTTTTCTACGATGGTCATGTGGTCTTCTACAGCTGTACCCTTTCAATAAGGTGATGAAATCCGTTCATATATGCGGATGGTAAAACTCTGAGAGACTGATTGATGTTCTGTGATGTTGTATGAAAATGCTAGGATTCGAGAAACAGTCTCTTTTGGGGATTTGTCTCAACGTCAATGATGCATGTTTTGTCAAAGTCAATACGAAGGTCCTCGATGTCGCAGTGCTCAGCGACCGTGCTGCGCTTTTTAACAATTAATTACTCCCAACCAGACAGATCTGTGTCAAATGTTTACCTTTAGATGTACTCCACTGTAGAACCAGCCTTCCCAGAGAGCTCTACAAGTTTTTCACACAAAATAAATACCACACTCAAATATAAGATTAGTTTTTTTCTGAAAATAAGAGGCCCTACTAGCATTGAAGGTCCTTTGCCCTTTGCACCCAGTTTAGAACTGGGAGTAAGAAGCTCAACAGGCCAGATCAGCCTTTACACTAAAAAAGGGAAAGAGAGAAAAGACCAAGGGAAACGGACAGACTCTGGGCATTCAAAACACTTCAAAATTCGGCCAAATCGCGAGGACCCAAAAATGCTAAAGTTACTGGATGTAGCATAGTCAGAAATATGCTCCGAGAGTAAAAGAAAAGCCAACAGAAGAAGCCATGTTGCATGGGCACTGAACCAAGAACAGGCACTCCTCTCTTTGCCTGTTTTGACAAGGTTGGGTGCACCCGCAATGTCCTTCAAAGCAGGTTCCGTGTGTAAGGACAAAAACAACAAAAATTACAAGAGGCCACTCAAGACTGCTTACGTGTAGGAAGGTGGAAGCATTATAGGGTGATTCCACGTCAATTCATGCAATGATGGTCCGGGTCATATTTTAGATATTTTTGTTAAAAATATATATGAAAGCCATGTTTTTGGGAGGAACATTCAGCTAGATATGAACGCCGTAACAATTTTTTTCGCTGAGATATAAAATAGAGAAGCTTAAGGCGTGGAAATTGAGAAGATTTCACAATGCTACTTTGCACAGTCGTCATTTCCTTATCGAACCTTTCACGGCACCATAACTTTTGTAATAGGTTTTACAAAAGTTATACAACACATACATAAAAAATTAAAGATATCCATAAAATATTTCAATGCAAACAAAAATATCAAACATGGCACAAAAACGCGTTTTAGAGACATATTCACAATTTTTTTGCAAATAAACCATCTTTTATAATACTTCACAAAACATATCAAAATGCGCGTATTTAAATATTCTTTACGAATATATAAATATAATATGCCCACCCTTAAACATATTTTTGTTATCAACGCGGAAATTCGGCTGATTTCTCAAAATGTGGCAAGATTGGGCGTCGATATTTAAAAAACTCCATCTTTTATTTTCTTTAAACTCCCCTTGGCACTTTGCAGTGACTTGAACTAACCTGTGATGGCAAAAGATTGAGTAACATATGACCTCCAAGCGGGTAAAGCTACGACAAACCTTCACTCGGAGCGAGCCGACGTCTTCGTCATAGCGGCTTTGCCGCACAGCACCAAACGTTTTGAGCGTTAGTTATGGCATGTATTTTATATTATTAAAATTATTTTTTTCATAAGGGCTGAGTATTAGTGACGCGAAAATGGACTTTGAGCTGGAATACCATTAATTAGCTTACAATTCACAGGAACAAAACGGCCCCACTGTGCGAATTCGCTAACTATGCATAGATAAGCTTAAAACTCTCAGTTATGCGAGTGGCCATGTATACATCCGGCCTCTCGGCATATGATGACTTCCACAGATGAGAAGCCTGGATTCCTCTCACAGGTTTTATGGTGGTCCACTCTGCTTGCTTTACCGCACGAAACTCTCGAACCTGTTCCACAGATAGGTGGAACACGCAGACATTTGTTACTTTTTTACGTAGCACTTCCACAAAGTCTTCAGCGGTGGCAATCGTTGAGTTGAGCGAAGATCTCAACTTGGTGAGCGTTGGTTCTTCCACCTACTTCATCACAAGCGCTTTCTCCGTGTCCAGTGGCTGAAAAGATCCATCTTGCTTAAGAGTGCAGCTTCCGAGACAATTCGTGGAATTGGAAGCGATTCTTGAAATGCGCCGCCGCTCCGTCTGATACAAAAATTATTTAAAAAAAGACTGGGAAATGAACATTAACATACTCTTTTATGGCCTATGTGGCTAGAAGAGCGCGAGCTGTGTCATGTTTCGTGTACCATCGGTGACAACGGCAAAGCTTTGCGTGCCTTGCGTGGACGTAACCACACTTGTGGAGAGAGACACTCGAGTTTTTTTTCAATGAAAACTCTGCACTGTGGTTGGAAAGAGTACTGTCCATTTTTCCGCAAAATCGAAGTGGAACATCACTGCCTTGGGCGGTAAGGCGGTTCTTGTGTCATGTATCAGGCTTCGTTCAAGGTCAAGGATGTAAGAATGCCTCATATACTTTTCGCTCTCCTATTGCCGCAGGAAGGCACAAGTGTCCATAACCTTTTTGACGAGTTCGCCAGCGTCCCATAACGCGAAACAGATCTCTTGGTCTTCGTCGAGATGAAGCGACTGCAGCGAGATGCTCTGCGTTTTTGGGCACTTTTCGCAACGGCGCAGAAAGCAATCGTTCTGTGGAGCGCAGAAGAGGTAGATGCGCTTGAAGTCGTCTTCAGTAAATGTCTTCTTTGGGGCATTTGTTATTGCCGTTAAAAGCAACTGAAAATTGACGCAATATATGCATGCGCACACCTCGTGCTCGGGACTTTTTTTTTTACCCATTTTGGTCGTAGGGAATAAAATTTGGAGATGCCTAGTTCGGGTTGGGGTTGGTCCTTCCTAAACAGCTGGTAAGCTTCCTTAATAGAGCGGGTCATAAACCTTTTTACGACTTTGAACATGTCGTTGATCATGGCTTTGACGACGTCCTTTTTGTCGGGGCTTTGAACAGAGCATGTGAGGTCGTCGCGTGTGTAGTACTCAATTGCAACCCCACGTCTTCGGCATTCGCCTTTTTCCCCATGTAGGGATCAGGGGTTGCCCAAACACCACCTTTGCGCTTCAGTTTTCATGTTTGATCAATCATGTAGGCAGTCGCACCCGACACCAGACGCAATATTGTTTTCTTCAGGATGATTGGTGGCAGAAGCACGTACAATCGCTTGCGTTCCTGGTGGGAACTACATGCCTTCAGCACTTCGCAAAACGCGTCAAACCACTCTGTGCAGTGCTCACAACTGTCTTCGAGTTCGAGAGTTTCGTGCGGTGAAGCAAGCAAAGTGGACCACCGTAAAACCTGTCAAAGGAATCCAGGAAACTCATCTGTGAAAGTCATCATATGCCGAGAGGCCAGATGTATACATGGCCATTCGCGCAACTGAGAGTTTTAAGCTTATGTATGATGCATAGGTAGCGAATTTGCAGAGTGGGGCTGTTTTATTCCTGTGAATTGTAAGCTAATTAATGGCATTCCAGCTCAAAGCTCCTTTTCACGTCACTAATACTCACCGCGTATAAAAAAAGAATTTTAATAATATAAAATACATGCCATAACTAACGCCCAAACGTTTGGTGCTGTGCGGCAAAGCCGCTATGACGAAGACGTCGGCTCGCTCCGAGTGAAGGTTTGTCGTAGCTATTCCCGCTTGGAGGTCATATGTTACTCAATCTTTTGCCATCACAGGTTAGTTAAAGTCACTGCAAAGTGCCAAGGGGAGTTTAAAGAAAATAAAAGATGGAGTTTTTTAAATATCGACGCCCAATCTTGCCACATTTTGAGAAATCAGCCGAATTTCCGCGTTGATAACAAAAATATGTTTAAGGGTGGGCATATTATCTGTATATATTCGTAAAGAATATTTAAATACGCGCATTTTGATATTCTTTGTGAACTATTATGATAGATGGTTTATTTGCAAAAAAATTGTGAATATGTCTCTAAAACGCTTTTTTTGCCATGTTTGATATTTTTGTTTGCATTGAAATATTTTATGGATATTTTAAATTTTTTATGTATGTGTTGTATAACCTTTGTAAAACCTATTAAAAAAGTTATGGTGCCGTGAAAGGTTCGATAAGGAAATGACGACTGTGCCAAGTAGCATTGCGAAATCTTCTCAATTTCCACGCCTCAAGCTTCTCTATTTTATTTCTCAGCGAAAACAATTGTTACGGCGTTCATATCTAGCTGAATGTTCCTCCCAAGAACATGGCTTTCATATATATTTTTAACAAAAATATCTAAATTATGACCCGGACCATCATTGCATGAACTGACGTGGAATCACCCTATAGTCCCGCGGGAGAATTGTTTTTGAGTAATGTTTCTACACATATTAAAGTTTAGGATGACGTATGGGACGACGTCCTAGAGATTGACGCCAAGTACGGCATCTAAGACGACGTCAAGGACGGCGTCTAGGACGACGCCAAGAATGACCTCTCGGACGACCTCAAGGACGACGTACAAGACGACTTCTAGAGCGACGCCTAGAAGACGATGTCTAGGACGACCTCTAGGACGACTTCAAGGAAGTCTAGGGCAACCTGAAGGATGACGCCTAGAGGATGATGTCTAGGACAACCTCTGGGATGACCTCACAGAAGACGCCAAGGATGGCGTCGTCCTTCAGCATGTGATTGCGTGGCGCGTGCTTGACAATATTTTTATGACCATCTTTTGGGTACGACGATGCCGTTTTTTCGCCTAATAAAACAAGTAAGGCTTTCACCATAAAAAAAACCAGCCAGGTATACTAGTTGTCTAGCTGTCTGTCCGAGCCTGGATGCAAACTAGTAGCATGTTGTGACTGAAACATGAGGCTCCACTCGAATCTTAACATTTTTGATGCTCACAAGTCACGTGCGCCTGCTGCCTCATAGACTGTGTATTGCCGCTTGCAAATAGCTGAGCCAGCAGCGTGCTTGACTCCCACGCCGCTGGATAGCGTTTGATCTCCACGAGCACTTGTCCTTTTTTTCTTTTTGTTTGCATGACTGAAATGTTCCAGATGACTCGAGAACCTTGTTTGTTCGAGCTCAAAAACTTCTGGATACCTACGCGCTTACAAAGGAGCTCCCTCAAGCAGCCATACAAAGGTATGGCTGCTTGAGGGAGTTGTCTTTCCGTCACCATCAAAGTATATGTTACTTTATGTTTCTCAAAACAAGTTTGCCGCATTAAAGGGATGCTGAACCGAAATCTGGATTCCCCAAAACACGTGGCAAAAGGGTGCAACGGGATGCTACAAACACCAAAACATCAATCATACAGCGATATCTCGAACGGATGACCGTATTTTTCAAAAAAAAGAAATGCATTTGGCAGGAACGTTGACGTCATGTTTCTCCGAGAAGGAGAGGGAACGGCCTCGCGTCTTCTCCGCCTCGCGGCCTTGAGGGAGCGAAGCGAAGAGAGGAAAAAACTAGGTATCTTTTTGTCACGCGCCTCATCGGCCTGGTTCAATCTCGACTTTTTCCAAAAATACGGCCGTCCATTTGAGATATTGCCTTACTAGTACTGTTGTGGGGATTGTAGCGTACCGCCTACATCTCCAGCATTGTTTTTTTTTTTTAAATCCAAATTTCGGTTCACCATCCCTTTAAGCATTCATTTTAAGATTGATTAATCAGGTTTATGTTTTTATTCGTGACAGTATGAGACAAGTGCCAATTAAAGCCCTCAAGTGAGCAACACTTCAGAGTAACACCACCTTACCAATCTTGTGCAGTTATATGAAACTTCATCTTCTGTAGAAAACAGATATCACCCAAGCTTGCTGACACCATATTTAGAAATCGGGCAGTCGCATTATCGAATCGCAGCTCTTGTCAATAGTGCCCGCTCAAAGGGTAACGAAATGGCGGCGTTCGTGAGGCAATCGGAGAGTGAGGTTGTCAATACTGTAAGCATAGCTTATCTGGAGGCTCCAGTGCAGGGGTCTCAAACTCGTTCTAGCGTGGGGGGCGGATAGCCAACCCCCAAAAGGCCGAGGGAAAACAGAGGGGAGGGAAGGGGAGGAGGGGACAACAAAAAGCAGCAGTGGTGCTTTTACATTGAAAAGCAGCCGACTGCCCCAGCGACACCGCAAAGATTTTTTAGAGAAGGAACCTTGTGCTCTGCTCCTTGAAAGCTCACTGTATTGCCAGTATATTTAGCTTTCATTTGCATATAGGACTACTTTGGGCACACACCTGATATTATAAAAAGATTTAAAACACCAACATTCTGGCAGTTTTTAATAGAACGAGAGCAAGCACACTGTCCTTGCCCTTTCACACAATTCACTAGGCTCAACAGGCCTAGAAAAAAATATCTCTTCATACGGCAGTTTTCGCTTTCCTGCCGATTTTTATAGCAGCATTATAAGAAAATACTCATATCTTAAAGGTATTGTCCGACAGTTAAAAACCCGAGATCGTAGCTTTATCTTTGGCAGTCCCACCTGCCAAGCGAGAGTTCGAGTAGCCGAGGTGCCTCCTTGAGCAGAGAGCTCGTGCTTGAAGACCAGTAGTGGCATTGCCGTTTCAGTCGATTTACACGAGAAAGGGCCAAAAAGCAAATATTTGGACGAAGCAATACTCAGTCCAAAAGAAGACAAAACAGTGCAAAATGCGTGAATACGTTGTATGAGCAGAGCTCCTTTTTTAAGCAAAAAAACGAATCTGACGATATATTATTTATGGTACACGTAGTGCCCGAGGCACAGGAAAGGGACCTCACAGCCACGGGATGCTTGCGGGAGTCGCCCAGAGTCGCCGGCCGCGTGTTTGAGACCTCTGCTTTAGTGCCAATGAAGAGAAGAACCCCAGCGAGATTTTTATTTGAATGCAAACATGGCGGCGAGAGTGGCAGGTTTTGCATAAAATTATTAAAATAAAATAATAAATAAAAGAATTAAGAACAAAAAAAAAAAAAAAAAACTAAAATAAATAAATATATAGTAGATAAGAAAAATCTAGCACAAACCACACATGGTCTGTAATTTGTGTGCGACAAATCCTGTGCTCCCTGGTCTTTGTAACCACGGCCAAGCCCGTACAATTTTTTTACGACATTTTGTCGTTAGATGCTTTTTTGTCAGGTGTGGAGCCTGCCATATTCGTCTGCAACGGTGTCAGAAACAAAAACCACTGAATTGGATCGCAAATCCCGACATCCCTCTCCCTAGCACCGCGTGGGTGTGACCGACGAAGTCGAGGAGGGATTTTTGCCTGCCGTCGACGACGTGCGTGACCCCAAATTTCTACCTAGCGTAGGGTGACCAGACATCCCGTTTTGGCTGGGACAGTCCCGTTTTTAAGGTCCGCTTCTGCCGTCCCGTCTTTTTGTCCCAATAAAGAATCATGTCCCGTTTTCGCAGGAGTGCATAGTTTCGAAATGGGCACCAAACGAGTTGAAACAAACCGTTACAAGTATATTTCACAAAAATGACCGTAGGTATTTAAAATATTTACCTAGAGAGTAATATTTAGAACTGTTCTTGCCCACAAACACTTTTTCTCTTGCGAAGACGTGAGTGCAGAAATATTTTTCTTTTTTCAGTTACCGGATATAGCAATCATGTGCGGTTGAACTTCTCATATAAGTGTGCAGACTTTTACAACTGAGTCTTGCAGAAAAAAGTCCTGCTTAAGAAACTTCAGTCGTCGGCAAAATACGCCCACACCAACGAAGGACCCGAAGCAGGACCTTCCAAATGAGTGCATGCAACTGAACTGTGTGTGTGGCTGTTCCCTAGGCCCTAGGGCATTAGTGCAATATGGTAACGTTTTGAAATAAGAGCTGTTATATCTTTTCATTTTTTCTACCAACCTCAATCTTTAGTATTCCCTCCTCCTCCCTCCCCCTGGTTGGGATGTCCCGTTTTCTACCTTGAGGAATATAGTCACCCTAACCTAGCGTAACTACCGCTTTACGGTCGCCGACAGAAAGAAAATGGCGGGGCGCATCTCTCCGACGCCTGGCCTCCATCGCATGCTCCGTGCGTCCTGCCGTGCATTGCCTGCATGCGCACCTTCAAGGTGCGCAAGACGCCCAAGCGTCGTCGAAGGTGGGAAGCCTGGGCTGTAGGCGGGACGATCGAAGCCACTCCCCGCCGTCCTCGCCTTGTCGGCGACCATAAGTGCAAATGGAGCTCACCCTGTGCCTTGATGCGCGGCAGGACGTGGGAGGTGAAGTAACTGTAGTTGGCCACCCAGTAATCCTCCGAGGCTATGCCCACGTGGCATTCGTAGATGCGCAGGCTTTGGGGAGCGGCAACCTTGGGGTGCTTCCACTGGTGCCGCTGCCACAAAGGGAAATGCGTGCATAGAGATAAAGAACTAGTAGTTACCACATTTCCAAATCTGTAGATCGTGGACTAAGTGTTTAAAAGTAGGAATTTTACGTGGTGCGAACTACACAAGGATTTGTTTTTTCGGGATTGTTTGTCGTAATGATACGCGATAAATTTTGTGAATGAGAGAGTATATTAACAATGGTTTTGGTGTGATACGGCTTTTTTATGCATTCATAAAGCAGGCATTTTTCGAGGTGTGCCATGTACGACAATTTTTTATGTGCGGAGTATGCACCGGGTATAGACTACCATGAGAAAAAAACTTTTCAAAGCCAACATTTACTCCAGCAGACCATGCACCTGCTGCAAACTACAGTCTGGACAATATAGCACCGCGAGGCATGTGGCATTGACAACTAGTACAAAGAGGGAACGCACTAGCCTGACTATTGGAAGCATGCAACGAGACAGTGGCATCACGGTGCAGCTCCTAGTAGAAGCCTTTTGCATTGAACACAATCAGATTGGCAGCCTTTGTTCTTAAGGAATGTCAGCTTACCCGAGCACAGCGCTATACAAGACGTTTGGGGCCGTACTCGGCGCTAACCGTTTTTACACAAAGCCTAGAAATTCGGAACAGATCCCTTCCATGCGCCGGCAAAAAAGGCTTGAGGTACACCTAAGCACTTCTTATGAGTTGTGAATGCAAAAGCATGAATGCCATTCTTCGCATCCCGGCATCACATGCATCAGGAGGGCTTCTTGCATCTTCGCCATATGCATAGCCTTTTCTACGTGAAAGCTGGACTTCTATGGTGTTCTTGCCCGAATAGAGTTTACTCTCAAACAAATATATTTAATGTACTAAAACTCTCAAGAAAAGCTCTTTCCAACGAGAGTATGGTTATCATTCTAGGGCATATTGGTGCAAAGTTACAGCAGTTTGAAAAAAGAAAACATAGAAGTTTCACATTTCAAAAACATGATTTTGCATCGCTGGCTTACCGAAAAAGTTTTATTTCTCCGTAAATACTTTAGATATTGCAACAAAAATTTGCAGGAGTATAGACTATTAGTTGTGGAACCACAATACATAAAAATAGAGAAACTTTTTTTCTCATAAACCGCAATTTTAAGGTGGTGTCCCCCTTAATGGACGGCTCAGAACTGCAAAAATAGGGCTTAAACCGTACAGACACCTTCCTCGAGCATGGGGACGGCCAAAGAAGTTTGGGAGCTTGGGGAACCTAGAGCCAGTAAGCGAGCTTCGCATAGCGAATCGGCGCTCCATTCCCCAAATTTCTCGTGGGCACCGCCATCTTGTTGCCTCGTGCCAAGCAGGGGCAGCTGGAAAACGTCGCTATTAAAAAAAAATGTGACATCCAGAGCTATAGATGTGGTGTCACAAAGCTCGGGCGACATAATTTTGCTCTGTCGTCGACCGTTTTAATGCAGGACGAAAAACTGTTTCTGCAATTTCAAATAAAGTTTCAGGTAACTAACTGGCAACCATGATTTTGAGCACCAAGATGGCTGCAGTGTCGTTACTCTTGTTTAGTGGCTCTAGGGAAACTTATAAAGGCTGTCCGGGGAGTCCCCGAGTTTCCAGGACCTCAGTCTAGGCCATGTCCCCCGTCCCCCGCCATTTATGGAAATAGAGTCACCTCCTCTGGTGGGGGATTCCAGAGCCGCTGCTCGTACTGCGGGGCGTCTTTGCCGCGCACCACGTAAGTTGCCCAGGGGCTGTTGCGGTCCGCCAGCTGCCCTGTCGTCCTGTCCAGGACCACGATCTGGGAGGGAGAGGCACGCTGACACTGTCTTACAAGTACAAAACGGACTTGCCTGGGCACGGAGCCAGCACTGTGCCCCTTAACTCTTCGATCGTCGTCGCCGTACATGTACGGCGGCGATCACATGTTTGGAAGATTCCACCCAAATGCGAAACTGCACACACACCTGGGAAGGGCTGCCATTTGCCATGTCTTTGGGAAACTACAAACATTGTATTTGCACGTGCAGTTTCGAAATTAGACGCTCCACGCACACAATACGTGCAAGCTCCGGTGGTAGCGACAATCGGAGCCCCAGCACTTCTGAGTCGGACATTAAACGCATCTCAGAATTGAATTTAGAAGCCGAGAGCTTATCATCCAATCGAGAGGTTTTGTAGAGTACCCCCTGTTCGGAGGTTTGAAACCATCAAAATGTCATGAAAGAGTGCATGCCAAAATGAAGTCCGAATGAAAGAAAGAAAGCAACCTTTTGCCCTCTATACTATCACGAATAACAAGGTGAAACAAAGAATACTGGGAAAACGGAAATGTTTAAAGAGACGAATTTGTGCCCAAAAATAAAAAAAGAGGGAACAGAAGAAAGCAGAGCGTCCCGAGCGTCGAGGTCGGCGTGACAGCAGATTTGAACACTGGGGCGAAACTGAGTCCGGCTGGTTACGCGGAGCCCCTCTTGTACACGTGTGGGCTTCTGGAACAATCGGCGTGTAGAACATTCTAACCTCGAATCAGCAACACAGTTCTCGAATTTACCAGAACAGTACATTAGAGTCAACAAAAATGCGTACCCGCGGCCAGGAATCGAACCCTGGCTTTCTGCGTGGAAGGCATGCGCGATAACCGTTAGGCCATGACACGCTGCCTGCTTAGTCAGCTGCGTTCGTGGCAATATTTCCATTCAATGCATGTCAATCTGTACAGCTTGCAAGAACTATACGTGCTCCCATTAGATAACTGAAAAAAAAAAACTGTGCATTGACTCTTCCGCTCCTATTCCTTTGGAGGAAAACAACCACTAGAGCACATATTTAGAAAAAAACAAGCAAAAAAAAACGGAATCACGAAAGGGTTTAAAAGGACACCACTGACAGAGCATCTATGCTCGCCGAGGTTTTCATTTAAACATCACCTATAAGAGCACCACTACCCAGAACGCAATATGCAGCTCGATTTTGCTTTTCTTTCCGCCCAAAAACAGCCGGTCGAGAATTGGTTGGTTTCAATCGCGTTTACTGTATTTTATGTGGTCATGTGGCATTCAAACTATGTGTATTAAACATATTCAAAGTGTCATCTAATGCACAGATACAGTATTAAAAATAGAAAAGTACAGGGTGTCACAAAAGAAAATTTACACGGTCTTTTTCACCGCAAAAATAAACTAGGCATCGCCCAACGCTCATTCTCCGCCCAAAGGTAGAGCTAGAGGTCACAACCAGTTGCCAAAGTTTCAGCCCGATCCGATAACTTAATCAAAAGTTATAAGTTATTTTCTGAAAATTTCAATGGGAAAATGGATCCCATTTTTGCCCGTTTTCGGTTTCTGGTGCCATAGAGCCCCATGTGTTTGAAAACTTCGTCGGCCGCCATTTTCCCATTGAACTTTTCAGAAAATCACTTATAACTTTTGATTAAGTTATCGAATCGGGCCGAAACTTTGGCATCTGGTTGTGACCTCTAGCTCTACCTTTGGGCAGAGAATGAGCGTTCGGCGATGCTTAGTTTATTTCTGCGGTAAAAAAGACCGTGTAAATTTTCTTTTGTGACACCCTGTACATGAACCCCCCTTTTTTGTGGCCTCCGAAAACCTGCAAATATGTTGATCAGAAAAAAAAAAGTTGCACAGATCACAGAAAGTACATGTACAAGTCATTCTCAATATGGCGGCGCACGACGGACCAACATTGTGACGGACATGGGACCGCTACTTCCAAACAGTCGTTTGCGGTACCGGCCTATCTATCTTCAAACGCAGAACATTGAGGGGCAGGGATATAAATGCGAAACAATTGCACGACAAATGGCGCAGGCAACTTCGTATTCATTATCGTCTGCTTCACACGTCAAAGAAATGGAGGTATGAGCCATCCATACTCGTGTTTCGGTTTTGAGCAGTTGAGTTTTTTTACTTTATTAAAAATATATGCGACTCTGCACCAAAATATTGATTGGGTAGTCTCCTGACACTGTATTAAATTACCTGGCAAAAAATTAAACAGAAAAACATTTTTTGGGGAGTGTTTGTGCCCTTCTAAGCTCAATGCCCCCCAGGTGACTGCTCGGCAAAATGTGTTCCAGCTAGCAGATCACGTTTCAACTCCCCGCCCAGCTGATTCCGATTGAGTCATTGCAAAGTTCCGACATTTGTGGGCCGGCACCAGCCTTGTAGAGCCATGTACCAGTCATGTTTTGTGAACGCGTACAGGGTGTCACAAAAAAAATTTAGAGTGTTTTTTTCACCGCAAAAATAAACTAGGCATCGCCGAACGCTCATTCTCCGCCCAAAGGTAGCGCTAGAGGTCACAACAAGATGGCAAAGTTTCAGCCCGATCCAATACCTTAATCAAAAGTTTTAAATGATTTTCTGAAAATTTCAATGGGAAAATGGCGGCCGATAGATGTTTTGAATACATGGGGCTCTACGTCACCAGAAACCGAAAACGGGCAAAAATGGGCTCCATTTTCCCATTAAAATTTTTAGAAAAGCACCTATAACTTTTGAATAAGGTATCGGATCGGGCTGAAACCGTGACATCTAGTTGTGACCTCTAGCGCTATTTTTGGGCAGAGAATGAGCGTTTGGCAATGCCTAGTTTATTTTTGCAATAAAAAAAAAAACCTGTAAATTTATTTTGGTGACATTCTGTACTTCTGTTTCCCCCAAAATTGCCCATAGTGAAAGTTGTTTATATGAATGAGACAAAAATGCACATATTTACCCAATTCAACCCCAAAAATTCTGCCCATGTAGTGTCTTTTGTCGCACTTACCTTCTCAGCATGCGTCTGCCGAAGCATCAATTGTAAATATGAATTCCAGATTTTTTTCTATTCTTCCAGTTTCCACCTTTCTCAAGGAATCTTTTAAGCTAAAATTGAAGGGTTTGTGAGAGCTACCACAAACTCCAGAGCACTAAAAAAATGGCAATTTCAAATATTACGTCAAAAGGCCATCAGGGCTCACGAGGACATAAGCCTGTGACCACGTATGCCCACGGGAGGCCGCACCTTGATCCTGGACAGGTGGTCGATGGGACAGGAGCCATCCGGTTTTGGCGGCAGCGTCAGCTCCCATTTGCCGAAGGGCAGCTTCTTGAACGGATGTGTCAGCCGCTCCCAGCCGTCTGCAAAGAATGCCCTGCTCAGCAGGGTCCTCCCGGTTCAGCTAGCCGGACGCTTTGTCAGTGCGACCTCTGCTCGAAGTACGAAGGCCACAACGTCCACGGTGCCTTCCGAACGTCTTTTGTCAGGGTGCCTCCCAAAACGACCTTTTCAAATTCACTGACTTTTCCCTGACTATCCGGTGACCTCACATTTGCCCAATTTCTTTTGCTCCTACTATGTCTTACCCAAAGGGAGTAAAAATCGAGATGGGCCGATTGTGAACAACCATAATGCTTGGACGTACCTGAGCATGTAAGTCACTAGTGCAGAATCCAAGGCTTATGCTGTCGAGCTTATTTTCAGTCTTTTCATAAAAGCCAGGTCATTAACAAACACCCACTTGCTCAAATTCACAAGTAGTCTTAGCCGCTTGTGACAGAAAAAAAAAAGCAAGACATGCTTAAATGACATAGAGTCATTCTGCTTGAAATTCTTTAACCGTTTTACGGAAAACCAAATACAACGAGTGCTGTGCCATGTAACGGCTCAGCGCACAATGCGCGAGTTAAATCAGGCAACGCTGACCTCAGGATTGTTTGCCCAGATTTTTATTTAGTATGATAAAAACCTGGGACGCTCTGTTGGTCTTTCTACCATGTTGATAAAAATTGAGAAACGCACAGTGCCTGGTTCAGACGGTCGCACTCAGAGCAATCTACGCAGCACGCAGCTCAGACTAGTACAACAGTAAGAGCAGAGTCAATGGCTGTCCAATCAGGACACGGCAGATGGCGCAAAGCGACACTTCACCAGCATACAAAATGAAAGTTGCTGTTTGCCCGTCCGTTTTCAGTATGGACATCGATCATGCAAAGGACACAGTTTACTCCTCACCTCCTCTGCGGTATTGGCACTTGTCACGATTGATGTCACACGAGACCTGCCAATGGTGGGCCGTCCCTCTGTTCTGCTGCGGCCGCTGTTGCCAAGGGAGGAAAGCTGAAGAGGTTTCACCTCTTTGCTTTTGTATCCTTCCCTTTCCATATTTGGATGGCACAGACCTCAGCAGTGGAGGCCTTGATTGATAGCCAACAGAGTGCAAACGAGTTTGTCATATGCCGTTGCTGTGTCGTGGTATGCCATCCTACTGCATCCTTCCGAGAACCGGCATCTATTCCTGTTTGGACAGCCCTTTACCGGGACAACTGTTTACCGTACACAACATGACAAGCGAAATGCAAGGCATACCTAATTTATTAGGCAATGGGGAACGGTTTTCTCTGCGATCCTGTCATTTTTGTTGCTATGTGCACAACCAGTGCAACTTCCCTTGCTTTACGTTCCTCGCCATCGTGTCGATTGCCAACGACATGCAATCGAAAGTGCCACCACAAGATGAGAAGAAAGTTAGCAACCTGTTCTGATCTATTTTCCCGCTAGGTGCCGCAGGTCTTGCTGGAGCCACAAATTTTTCTCCATCTGAGACAGGTCAGCAGCGCAAGTAAAGTGACCAACCCAACCACATTTTGTGCCCGTAGCCACGCCGCATACAAAACACCGTTCTCCCAGTGACTCTGTCGTTGCTGCCGTTCTGGCTGCCCCGAATGCAACCGACGCAAACGTCTGACCTTCAACTTAACACCAGCCACGGATCACCAGTTTGAAGGCGTGAACTGCAGCAAGCCGATGCGGGTTGTTAGATGACGTTTAGCAGTTGCAGCAGAGGAGCTTCCTGCCCTTGACAGCATGAAGTGCTCAAGGTCCGAAAACATAGGGGCGGCACAAGCTTCATTCAGGGTGTCAGCGCGGTCAAGCGGAATGAAAAAGGCTCACTGAAGTCTCCGCGGAGGAAGAGTGCCTCGGCGCCGGGGGCCCACTCCCTGATGCGAACGCTGTTGTCCGGCAGGCAGTGGATGCCGTATTCTTCATAGCTCTTGCAGAACCTCAGCAGCCCTTCGACGTTCTCGATTTCGGTCAGGCGATCGGAGAAGCACTTGTACCTGCGAAAAACAGGGCGGCTCGCAGCGGCCCCTTAGCGCGAAGGTGACCCGCAGCTCACCGTCGCCTGATCTCCTGCTCGTAGTTTTTCAGATACGGGTCGAGGTCCAGCAAGTTGCCGATTTCGGGGACCTCCATTTTCGGGGCCAGGAAGGGGGGAGTGGTCCAAGGGGGCGGTGGGGAGAGCACTGTCGCCACTTGTCGCCGAGCGCCTTACAACGCCAACTCGCTTGACATCACGATAGCGAACAGCCGGCTTCGCGCCTTTCGTAAACCGGCATCTGTTCAATCTATTTGGGTTCCGGTGTTTCGAAAGCAACTTGCCTCAGGGTGGGTAGGTGGCGCGGGCTGAGCCAGCTGAATTACTGAATGAGCTGTATTTGGCCGGATATAAACTAACGGCTGGAAACACTGTAGAAAATGCGCGCAATTTTTCGGGGTGATTTGACGGGATTTGACGTGCAATGCAACCGCTCTACTCGGCTCTGCTCGATTCGAATCATTTTTCTGTAGGATTCGACGAGGATCGAAAGGCGACTCGAGGTCTGAGCAAGGGCAGACGGGGATAGGCGACGGCGGAGATGCGTTCATCGTGCGACCAGGCTAGCCGTGAGTCCAGGTGAGTCCTTGGAGTGCTGTCGGACGGCCCAGGGGCGGTACGCTGGTGAATACGGCTGTCTCTCGCGACCGCTAAAATAATCGCAAGAAGGATTTTCGGGACACATAGCCGGCATAGTGGGGACAAGGTGGCAGTCAGGCAAGAATTTAATAACTCCATGCGAGCAGGCGTTCTTTACTTTGCGTGCGACGTACACTGCAGAGATTTCGGGCTCGTAGGCTGTACGTCGTCGCCGCGACGAAAAAAAAAAAAAAAAAACAACCCTTCTTTTCCCTTTTGGCGCAGAAGAGGAAAGGAGAAACCCTTATTCTCTCCCCTCTTGGTGCGGAAGGGGAGAGGAGAAAGTGGTGAAACCCGTTTTCTTCAGACTCCCCTCTTGCCGCGAGGAGAGGGAAGTCGGGTTTTCCCGTCGGCCGCGCAGCGCGGGGAGAAGAAGGGGTGAGCCCCGGCATCCCGCCTACTCCTGCAATGACCTCACATAAGGTTGCAGTATGCGCAAATGAACAAACAAATAAATGAATAAATATTTTTATTCACTTTATGTGGGAGAGGTAGCCGCAGTGATCAATTAACTGCCCCAGATGCTTCGTGTCATCTCCATCTTTTTTGTTTTTTTATTCTTGGGACTCGGTGCTTGTGCAGTGCTTCGTCCACTTCCTCCTTCCTCTGGAACCAGCTGGTATCTGGAAAAGCAGTCGCCCTGGGCCTTGACGTCTGCAGGTGAGTCTCTTGGCCATGTCTATGTACTGCCTAACTTCAATTCACTTGGCCTCACTTGTGGTTTTGATGAACCAACAGTGCCTCAGCGATCACTAATGTCGCGCACGATGGATATGGCTAGATTATGAAATCGTAAGAGGGGAAAGAAGGCAATACAGTACAATACAATACAAGCCCGTGTGATGTGCATTCTGGTAGAATTGGGATGTCTGAAAATCCTGATGCCTTGAAAGAAACTGGGGATTAGTGTGTCTCGGGTCCTATCCACACACTTTTGAGACACCGTGCTGAACTTAGCCTCATGTAGAAATATCTGCAGCTGATATTGTTTTCCCTTTCCCTCTTTCTGTGCTGGTTGAGAGGAAAAAGAAGGTAAGCCAATACCACTTTGGTATTGGCTTAAGGAATGCTGAACCGAAAATTGAATTTCAGAAAACAACGCAGAATCGATAGGCGGGGCGCTACAAATCCCTAAACATCACTCACAAAGCGGTATCTCCAACGGATCGTCATATTTTTGTAAAAGAAGCGCGCTCTCACAAGGCCGAAAAGACACGTTACTTCGCGATTCTCATTTCCTCCTCTTTTCGCTTTCACTCCGCGAGGGCGCTGAGAGGAAAGGGAGCGAGGCCATTTCTCCTCCTTCTCAACTCTTCTGCGAGAAGATGACGTCAACATTCTCCCTTATTCACTCCTTTATTTTCCAGAAATCCGGCCATCCGCTCGAGATATGGCTATATGAGTGATGTTTCGGGGTTTATGGCACCCTGTCTAACACTTCTGCAAGCTTATTTTGTGAAATTTGAATTTCGGTTCAGCACCCCTTAAAATAAACTACCGTATTTTACAGACTATAAGTCGCACCCTTGTATAAGTCGCACATCCATATGTTAAGCTGTTTTCATGGAAAAGTTGGTATATAAGTCGCACCTCTTTGCACGTTTCGCATAATGAGTTCTTTAGTTTACGCGCATTGGTATTGCGAAATCGGAGTTTCGTATAACTGCTAGATCGCACATACTGTTTGACGCACATTTCGACTCGCGAGAAATGCCCATAGTGTGGTGCTGTCTGGCGGGGGCAATCGAGTGTTTCACAGCAAAAGGACGTAAAATGTGCAAAATGAGACGGTAGTCGACTTTATTCGAACTAATTAATGCATGCCGAGCGAATGAAAGTTTAAGGAGCTAGACACTCGCGAACCAAGCTTTGGAGCACTAGGCCTAGCCTAGGCCAAGTCCCGGAGACGACGCGAGCATCGATGCTCAGACAGAAAGATAAACCTTGACATAGTTTTTTTTGGTACCTATAAAAGATTGGCTAGCCACAATCCTTCCTTTTATATGTAGCAACACAGCTGGAGCGTGGCACAAAAAATGAAAGCCGTTTACAACTCCCTGTAACGCCGAATTAGAGCCCATCTCTTGAGGAGGAGGAGGGGAAGGATAATGAGGAGAAGGTATACCCCCTCCTCCCTCCCCCTCACCTCTTCATCCTGCCTGCTACTCCTCCCTCCGAGCGGCGTCGGCGTAACCGTGAGGTCATGTGACATCGCGTGACCCTTGTGACCTCACGGGGGTCACGTGACGTCACCGGGGTCGCGTGACTTCACAGTGGTCACATGACCTCATAGGAATCAAGTGACGTCACCAAGGTCACGTGACATGACCTCACGGGGGTCACGGGAGCTCCCCCTACTCCTCTCCGCGCGTTGCACCATGAAAAATGTCCCATAATGCACCGCGCGAGACCCTCGTGACGTCACGAGGGACCCGCGCGTTGCATCATGGGGCATTTCCCCTAATGCACCGCGTGGTTACGCTGACGGTGATGGCGACGTCGCTCAAGCCGGAAACGGGCGCCTAAGAGCTGCGCTCTAAAAACAGCTCATCAAACGGAAACTAAGACGTTACAAAATATTCTCCAATGAGCCCACTTACTTTTCAGTGTTACGGGACTGAAGCAAAAGAATATGGAACTATGGCTGCACTAAGCAACATCAATAACATGCTCTAAATGCTTTACTCTCACTGTATTGCTTATCCACATATCTCGCATTCCAAGTCACAATAGTGTGGCGACAGCAGTGCCTCCTAAAGGGAGAAACACCACCTATGGCTACGTAGTTATGGTGCTCTACAAAAGATATCGCGCGGCGTATAAAAGAAATAACATCGCACCTTGAAACAAAATAATAAATCTTATATAAGTCGCATCATTGTACAAGTCGCACCAAAAAAAATGTCTGAACGAAAAAAAAAACAATGCGACTTGTACTCTGGAAAATACGGTAGGTTGGGTAAAAAAATGACGCTTCAGAGATCAGTCGAGGTTGCTTTAGCTTAATCTAGCCATGAAGTAGCGGGGTGCAGCACGATGTAACAAACTTGCTGGTTGTCGGAAGGCACACCAATTCCAACCAATCACCTTCAAGCCACAAATTTTAAAAATTTAATAGTGTCTCAAGTACATGTTTTCGGCCGGTTTTCTGGTACATACAAGTTTTTCTCCTGGCAGTTAAAATGGCAGCAAGAGAGATTTTGAGGTCACGTGACTGGCTTAGTGAGGACAAGGAACTAAAGGTGCCTAGTGTTCCAGGCAAATGGCTGCCGTGAGTTCGCCCTCGCGTCAATTATTCAAGCCCGATTTTGCGTGCAGAAAGAGGGTGGACAGGCTCAAATTGAAAGTGAGGTTAACCGCATTTGTGTCTTTTGGGAGCACCATGTAAGCCCATGTTAAGTGAGTATTAAAGAAAGTGGATGGTAAGGCTTACGTCTACTGAGTGGAGTGGGCTGGAACACTACGTTCTTTCTCCCCTCGGAGGCAGTCACTTCGCCTGAAAATCTCTTTTGCAGCTATTTTTACCACTGGGAGAGGTAACCACCGTTCACCATCAAACCGGTCCAGAGGAGTTCCGTATTACGTTAACGGATGCCATCCCGTCGAGTGACTATAAAAAATATGAAAGCAGCGCACAAAGGACACTGACTGATAAAAGTACACAGGAGGAGTGCTGTTTAGAAATGTTTATTTTATTGACACATGGTGACCATGGTTGAGCAACATGTCATTAGTAAACTGTTAAAGGGGTGACGCAGAAATTTTTGTACTTTCCGTAAATACCGCTTAGAATTATTCCTTGACACTCATAACCTGCGATACACGCATTGTTGTGGTTTCTTTTCCACACCACGGCAGTTGCAGAAACATTTTGAGATAAACGAGCAGTGTTCACCCCATTAACCTGCAGCTAGAACAAGTGGCCACATAATCTGGTGCCGATTAAATGCCGATTATATTTGACATAGCCATGCTCTATGGTTGGCAATGCAAAGGGCACACACTCAGTTCCACGCATTGTTAAGGTTTGGCTGTTCCAGTCGTGGCAGTGATTGGGCCCAAACCACTAGCCAAATGCATTTCTAGGCATTGATTGTCACGAGCCTAAATCAAATGATTATGCGGCGCTCATGCCCACTGTATGAGCCGTATTTAAACGTCGTCACCGCGGGAATCGCAAGGCTCTATGAAGAAATCCTGGTGATCGCACTGTTAACAAGGCCAGCAATGCGATCCCCACAGCTCCGTCATCAGGTTTTGCGAAGGAGAGACTGAAAGATAACGTCTGTTTTTAGCCTTGAAGTTCCACTGCAACAAAGATACTTCTTGGTCAGTGGCATTGCACAACTATTCTTGGGACCTTCTAGCGCATCTAAGCTTGTGTAAAGTGAAAAACATTCCAACCTATTACCGTTGCACGGGACCTTTGTTGTATCTGTGGCTTTTTTGCTTGCGTTGTTTAAAAGTAAATGTTTACTTGTCACAGCACTTTTTCTTGCTCTTCTTTCGTCAGTCCGTGTCTTCTACGCGCATTTTCTGTATTTTTATCATCACGAACAAACTTGCTTGCATTGCCACTTTAGTTCTGTTGAGCGACCATTTAGCAAATCGCGGTCGACTCACTGAATGGTCGCTTCTGGGGTGACCACCGTTGGAAAGCGGGACACAACTTGCGAGCGAGACTGTGGTAATTGGCAATAGTTTATTTCAAATATTGCCACGCGCGCGTGGCCCAGTGGTTACCGCGCTTGACTTTCACGCGGAAGGTATAGGTTCGATTCCAGTCAGCGGACTGTCCTTTTATTTATTCTTTCAACTTGGGCTTCTCGTAAGTACGAGAACATTCTCGACTGATCGTGTTCCGATTGCTATACGCACCGAAAGTTCTACGCTGAATAATCCAGAAACCAACGAGGGTACATAAGGGGCTCCGCAAGGAGAGCGGAGTCAGTTTTCGCCCAGCGTTCGACTGTGCTCTTTCGCCGACTTCGACGCCCGCGACGCTCTGCTGTTATCTTCTGTTTCCTTTTTTATTTTTGGGCACAAGTTTGCCCCCATTAAACGCTTAGTTTCTTCAGTTATTATCGCCTCATCACTTGTCATTCGTGACAATATGCTGTTTTACTGTTATACTGTTTATATACAGTTTAAAAAAAAAGAGTGTGACTCAGATATGGCTGTACTACTGTTGAGACCGGTTGTAATGAAGTCAGTTATAACGAAATATTGGCTACAGCGAAGCGATCACAATCACCCGTTCCCCTTTGCACTTCGTTATAACTGAAGTCGGTTATAACGAAATAGCGGATATAATGAAGTGATTTCCGATGACTTCGTTATAACCGGTTTCGACAGTATGTTACTCAACTAGAAAACATGGTATATAATACATGTCTCCAACTTGAGATGAATTTTTGTAAGTTGATACGAAGCCAGAAAAAAGATTACTGAACCAGAGGTTCCTAATACCTTTCCTTTCAGGGCTATTGGCTATATCTCTGGCCACGCTAGGTAAAACACACACTTTCCTTCACTGATATGACTTGCAGCTGGTTCATTGCCCCCTCTCCTTCGCGATTTCGGACAATTTAGCAGAGTGTAGAACGGCAGAGTTTTCACACCAGAGACATCTCTACTTCGTTTCGCCGTAACTTGGCAAAGAGCGAATGTTACAGCCTCAGCGAGCCTATCTGAGCGATTGCAGCGAAGCCTGTGGCAGCCTTTACCAAAGGTACAGGGGCGAGAACATAACCCAAGCAGTTTGAGGAGAGAGAGGAAGGAGGAACCAACCTCTTACCCAAACCCTTTTTTGTGTGTTCCGGACGTCGCTTTTGTTCCCCTTGGAGATTAGACCGTCACTCACATTTCATACAAAAGCAGCTTTCCCCTTTCTCCTGCCCGGGGCTTTGACAGCACTGCACGCAACTAGCGAGATAGTTTTGTGTCTCCCTCAAACACAGAGACTGACTCACTGGGACCGTAGCCTTTGCTGTTTGCCAAATTATGCTTGCTTCCCTATGCGCTGGCTACTTTATTTCCCCAGTGTTCTGTACCCACCAGGGGGAGTGCCGCTCTCGGAGCAACCCCCTGTTCGAGAGTAGCATGCGCGCCATGTTGTTTTTGTGTTGCTACTGAAGTTTTTCCTGCTCCCACCTTTTGCGCGGCTGCAACATTAAATCACTACTACAAACCTGCTCGCATACAACTTCATTGCCCTGCTCACCATCAACGGAACGAGCAGGATACAACTCCCAGATTTCACCAGACATCGTCTGGTGTAGTAGTTCACTAACCAGGGCACAAAGGCTCGAGAGTTCCACCAGATTTTCAAAGTCTGGTGGCAGATTTCATCATTTGGCAACGCTGGACCCGACGTTTTACTGCTGGGCGGCGCAAGCTACCGTCCGTCGTAAAGGACACAGCCTTTAACATCCGTCCATCCATGCAGGAAGCCACTGGTGAGGCTGAAGGAGCAGGCCCTGAACGCAGCCTTCAGGGTCAGCCTGGACAGGAGCGCTACAGAGGCCCCAGCCCTGCAGGGCACCGTCTGTGCCGGTGAGCAACTTAGTATCTGCGTGGGAACCTTGTTTGGAGGCCGACTCCCCAAAAACGCAGAACATGTTTAGGGCTAGGCAGGGGAGACTGTAGTCACTGGTAAGGTAGTAACTGCAGGGAGGAGCTTCAGCTGTCTCACTTCCAGCCTCCAGCACGAGCATCCCACCTTCGACAACGCTTCTGCGTGTCGTGCACCTCTAGTGCGCACACAGAGCTAAAGCCTCCATTGCTCGGTTTCTTTGCGGGCGCAGCCATTTTGGTCTATAATGCAGAGCAGGCGCGATTGGCTGTTACAATTCGAAAATGTGACTTCTTAAGCTTTAGATGCGGTGTAAGGATGCCCGGGCGATATTGTGTTGCTCCGTCGTGGACTAATTTAACATTTGTGGAGCGCGGAAAAGTGTGTATTTCGATTTCAGATGAAGCTTTGGTCAACTGGCCACTATAATTTTAAGCCTTTAGATGGCTGAAGCGTCGTTACTCTGGAAAGGGGCTCGGTAATTAGTGGATCTATGGTGGGACTGGGCATATCGCTGCCCTAGGCAGTCTTTGAAAGTGCCGCCCCCACTTTCTCCCTCCGGTCGTAGGTAACTTGCACGCACACATATTTCTGCAATGTTTTTTGGGCAAATTTTAGATGGGGTTATCGAAAGTCGCTTTTCTAACTCTACTATGCGGTACTTTGGCAGTTATCTTGTTTGGCAATAATTCTTTGTAACTTTGGAAATAATTCTTTGTAACTTTGGAAATAATTCTTCGCGATAACTTGAGAAGTCGATGCACCTTCGAGATCATTGTAGTAGTTATCGCGAAGAATTATTGCGGGAGGCTCCACTACTATTGAGTTTAGCTTGATCATTTCTGTAGCCACTTTGGGCTTTCTGCAGAACGATTTCGATAAGCTGAGCCCGGCCGTTTGAGTTCATCTGGACTTTACGGGAAAAAGTTGCTGCGAACAACTGCCAAACGTTCTCCGGCGGCACGCTCACTTTGCACGCGGCGCAAAAGTCACTGTTCTGATGCCACGCTCAAAGCGAACGCCACTAGGCATAATTAGTTCTGCGTTCACAGCATATTCGCTCCATTGAGTGGAGCGAACGAGTCTGTCATGATAACGTCGCCAATTTTATTTGTGATGGCATGTTGTACTATTAACATCTCCTCGTCATCATTGGTTGGCATCTCCTTCATTTTCTGCCTTTTCTATGACCTGTGTGCTTCAGTTTATTTAGGGATTCGTATCTGCACTGCAGACTCGCTAAAAGCCACCCTGCTAAATTTGCTGCACCCCCAAACTTTGCTACTCTGGGCAGCTGCCTTCTTTGCCTACTGATAAGTCAAGCCCTAAAAGTAAAATTTCATAAAAATAAAAAAAAAAAAAATCCTAAAAATTACATAATTTTTTTTGCTAAATTATCTGGGAATCATTTGCAAAAATAAAATTACGCAAGCTGGAGCTTGCTGACAAAGACCAGAGAGCACAGAATGTGTTCAGTTTAAACTACGGTACTACCTCGCCGAACCCGACGTCACTTGACTTGAGGTAACATGACGCGGTGATGTCACATCAATTTTCGTGGTGGATTTAATGGAAAACATGACGTCACGTGACCCGAGGTCACACGACATGATCACATTACGCCAATTTCCTCGCTAAATTTAGCAGGGTAACTGACATAATGTGACATCATTTTCACCGCTAAATGTAGGGGGAAAATTGAGGTGACAGTTCTTCGTGATTGTTCTTCACGACTTTCTCGTATAATTCAACTGATAAAACACATTCTATGTTAATAAGTGAGTACATAACTGCCACTGTCTCTTTTATTATGGATCAAGAGCGGTTACCTGGATTGTCGAAGTACAAAACTAGAACACTACGCCTTTGCAACGTGACGTGGCAAAATAGAGAGCTCTTTGGAGATGTCTCGCATCCTTGCCTTGTCTGAACGGTCTGTTTGTGCTATCCCTGCCCAGAGAAAAATGGCATCACAGTGCTGCTAGACCAGCTGTCCACCGGGAGGGCAGCCCTGCCGTCTGGCATTGTCCACGCCCCATGCAAGGTACCCTCGTTTTTCAGCCCTCGGATAGGAAGTCAGCGGAAGTCGAGCGAAGGGACCGGCCTGATGGGGTCTGCTTACTACCTGCAGCAACCTTAGAGTTGATATAAAAATTAAAACTTGCCTCAATACTTTGCGTAAAGACGACAGACACAGAATGCACCTTGTGGTCGTGCCGACTCATTGCGTCTGTTTTACTTGTTAGGCTTTCCGGGTAATCTCTTAGGACAGTGGTTCTCAACCATTGGTGCTTCGCGGACCCCTTGTGAATCGGTGGAGAAGATGGAGGACTCGGTTCGTGGTAAGGTGAAGGGAAAGGTATAGGGTAATCATGATATTGACTTAATAAGTGGATATAACTAAGGGATAGTGTGAAATATACTTCTGTCATTGATATACACACAAGAAAACTCGCCTGAAAATTGGAATTTTTCTCCTCAATCTGAAAAAGACAACTTTTATTACTGGGCTTGACTGATGAGTTAGGGCTTCATGAATCGTTAGAATGCCTTTGCGAACCTCCATTTGAGTATCACCGTCTTAGGACATGCGTTCTCAAGCTGGGTTTTTAGCAACCGAGGGGCTCCCTGGGCTCCCAAGTTTTCTCCATCGTGCCTGTCCTAAAGTAAGGTGTTTTCCCGGTTTAAGCACTATTTGCGCATATCTAAGCCTCCCTTTGATGTACCACTATCAGCCAGGCACTCCTTAGTATCTGCATTATTGTTCACAAGGTCTTTGGGCTTTTGCACCGCTTTACCACATCAATGCCGAGACCGGGCGGGCTTCTCTAGCTTTCAGTCAAGCCACATAGAGGTTCCTCGAGATCAAAAAGTTTGAGAATGCGTATGTTAAAGAATGAGACGCGAACACAAGACACATTCTGTGTCAGTCGGCTATATGCGAAAGTATTGAGGTAAGTTATAATTTTTTGTCATTTTTTCTATGCTCATGATAATCTCTGGGACAATTGAAGCAGTCTTCTTTTTGGGAATTATGGTTTCAGGCCCCATAAGTATGTATACAGTCAAACGCCTTTATAACATAGTCCGCGGGATCGGCGAAATTTTTCGTGGTACAGGTAACCTTGTTGTTGTAGTTTGTGATAACCAAATTTGTGTTATCACACATTGACGTTACCTGCACGACATTCGAGATGTTTTAAAAAAAAGTATACGTAGCGCAAAATATGGTATGTATGAGCGACGTTAGAAACAAGCTTTTCTACGTTGACAACTAACTTATTAAAAGTGAGAACGGTGGCGGAGTCTGCTAGCACATTGCAGTTCGGAGCATGGGGTGCCAGAGCTCATGCTGCAGGATCCTGGTATCTTAAAGGGGCACTGAAGTGATTTTTGAGATCCTCATTTCATTGTCATAACTCCATCTACGAGCTTTAAGCATCCTAAAAGCCCGAAGTTACATTTAATGCACGGCCAATTTGCACATTAAAAAAACAGTAAAAGATCCCAACACTTACCGTGTGCTCAGGACAACAGATGGCGCTACCGAACCTTGCTGAATATGGTTGAGCGACAGACGGCGCTTGTCAGCCACTCGCGAGCGATGGGGTCTCGCATGGACCAACGGGACTGGTCGGCCACTCATTCACACGGTAACGCATTGCTTGCAAGGGGCTAACAAGCGCTGTCCGTTGTTCGACCATATTCAGCAAGGTTCAGTAGCGCCATCTGTCTTTCTGAGCCAACGGTAACTGTCGGGATCTTTTATCACTTTTCTAACGTGCAAATCAGCCACGCATTAAATGTAACTTCGGGTTTTCTAGAATGCTTAGAGCTGGTAGATTGAGTTATGACCATAAAACAAAAATCTCAAAAGCACTGAAGTGCCCCTCTAAGCTCGATTACCTTTTTTTTTTTAAATGATTTTGTGCTGGCACTCGTGCATGTTCTCACCACTGCATGACGCAATTTAAAGACGCCAGGCTAGCGGTTGTACCGCCAGTACTGCCATTGGGAAAATTTGTCATCTACAGCCGAGACACCAGGCACTCCTTGGTGCACACTAATTTCCTGCTGTCCAGACTTCCACACACTTCCACAACAAACTTAACTGACATCAAAATACGAATCGCAATAATCACTGAACCACTGACACCGACCCCCGATCACGCAGCGGATGAGAGACGTTCATTGACAGTGTAAATATGGCCTTTTGTAATTTGCGCAGCGGCTTACACCATCACATGTCTTTCGGAGAAGGCTCTCGAAGCGGCTGCGTTGCTCTCATAGGTGCGGCGCGGCAGCCGTGGTGGCACCACCTAAACAGCGTGGCAGAATCACCCACACTTTGGGCACATGACAGCTGCGCACGGTGCAGCGAGGACAGAGAGGGGCGCACAACCAAACAGACTGAGTCCTTTTTAATATCTGTCCGGCACAAGGAGGGGAGCACATTTTTCTGTCTGTGTCTACTCATTTTGCTTGGATTTTGGCGTCACGGGTAGAGTCACGGATCACATTTCCTCGACTGTACATTATCGCTCCAAGGTAAAACAATTTTGGGACTTGGATTGAGCGAGATTGCGAATCTTGGATCCTGACGAAGATCGGCGTGTCAATCAAACAGCTGCCAAGACACGAAAAAAAAAAGTTTCAACTGCCCACGAAAATATTTTTTTTATATGTATAGATATACTTTTGTTGGCGCGGGTTCTTTCAGATGTGCTGACGTACATGCAAAATAGGAAAATGACTGCAAGCATTGCCGGAATGGAGCGTTTAAAAAAAATTTCATGTTGAAACGGAGTGGCGCATACTCAATCAGTGGCATGAGCAAAACAAAAGCAAACAAAAATATGCACAAGCACACACGCACGGCGGAGGCGGTGCTGCTTGCATTGCACTGCCACTTCTGCATCATGTGTTCTCGGTTTTGGGTCTAAATAATTTGTTAGTGTGTAACCTTATGTCTGGTGGCTCTACGTGACTGCATTGCTGCTTACAGGCTTTCTAAGCAGAAACATAGTTGCACAGCAACGTCTAGACATATGATTGCACGCAAGCAAATGATTTCGGTCCTGAAACGTGCGGCACGACGACTGCAAAGGGGCACAGCGGAGGCGGCGCTGCGGCTGTGTCGACCATTGCCATTCCTGCAATATTTCTGTTCTTTACGCACGTTACCTGAGAGCGACAATTTACGGAACATCAATTACATTTCACCTAGAAAACAAATATTTGTTAAACAGGAATTGGTTGTAGTGTATCAGAGAAACATATTGAACACGTAGGAGATTGTCCTGGGACTTTATTTTACTTTGTTAAACGGGCATTTTCATAGTCGAGGCATTTGTCATAGGGACGCTTGACTGTACTACTCAGCGAGAGTTTGTTGGCTCGATTCCCACCAAGGAACAAAGATTTTTGCATGGACAGCAGACTTTTATCATGTTTTTCATTGCAACCCTTTGTGATCCCGATAAGTCCTCAAGACATCAGTGGTCTTCAACCACTGATGTTTCATGGACCCCATCTGGATCAGCAAAAGTGACGGGGGACCCCATCCACCGGGGAGGGTGGAAGATAATAGACGATTACAATGACAAAAGGGTGAATAAAAAAACTAAATGCATGCAAGCTAACTTTGAAACTCTGAAGCATAGACTAATCAACCCTACTCATTCAATGCACATGTAAGACAGTCAGCATCAATTAGAAAAAAAAAATTTATTACTTGGTTGATAGCTAAGAAGGCCTTTAGGTACCCCAAAGTGTTTGTGGACCCCATTCGAGAACCATTGCCCTAGACCAATGGTTCTCAAATGGTGGTCCATGGACCCTTTGTTGCCTCTAAAGCTGTAGACCACTGCTGATTTCTTTTATAATTCTTGTTGGTCTCAAAAGTATCAATTGGAAAATTTGTGGTGAATTTTTCTAAAATCTTGGAAGTGGCTCGAAAAAAGGGTCTTTTTTGCGCAGTTTCAGAAGCCTGGAGAGCATCGGGAGCCGACGAGGGAAGAACGTCTTGCAAGCCTATCGGTGAGTGACTTCACTAATGACTATGACTTGAGAAATGTGACTACTAGAGCCATTAAATAGGCTATGCTTTGAGTATCGGCACTCCATCACCCCATTGTCTCAAGGGAAACACCATTTTGTTGTCTAGCACAGAGTGGATGTCACTGCCTATTGTTACGACAAGAAAATGTAACTTCCCTAGCTGCAGAACAGTGTCCGGAAGCCTAGGTGACGTCGTCTTGCTCTGTCATGGACTGTTTTAACATTTGTGGAGGATTGTGTTTTATGAATTGAGATAATGCTTCAGATAACTGGCAACAATGATTTTAAGCAAATTGACGTTACCCTGGTGCGTAACTCATTTGGTGGCTTTAATGACTACGAGGTATCTCAAAATATGTTCAAGAAATTTCTGTTTTTCCAACAGCCCTGAAGCCAAATAATCTTTAGCTTGTGATGCTAATCTTATTCTTCTCAAGCCATCTTAAAATTAATTTACTAATTTATTTTAGTTCTTGTCTCTGCGTTTTTTCTGCTTGCTATTTGTACCGGGTACCGACTCGGCCAGCTGCAAATGCTGCTTACTGTAATATTTTGAGGGGCATTGAAATTGAGAGTGAATTGGGTAAAAATAAAATCAACTTTTGGCCGCAGCCTTTGCAGTGCGGCGAAAAGAAGTTCAAAATTAGTGTAGCCAAGCCGGGTTTGCAAAGTCTTCTAAGGATTGTTAAAGTGGGTTTTTTCGCATTCCACTCACACAACTTGTCACACATCATAGGAATGTGAATGTTGGTCTACACTCTCTGGCCCAAACTTCGGATGTGCTCATTTATTCGAATGTGTTCGGGAAACCGTCACTCGCGTCATAAAATTAATGTGCAGGGTGTCAAAACAAAAACAATTGTACAGTTTTTTTTTTATTGCAAAATTAAACCACGCATTGCCTACTGAGAGCCGTATATTGGGAGTCTGGCCAGTAGGTGGGGCGACGAAGTGCTGGAGGGGAGAGAAGTGAAGAAAGGGGGGGAAAGTGCCGAAGGAGCGAGAGAGGAAGGAGGGAGCAAAGAAGGAACGACCGCCATTTTGACGCAACACACTTTCAGCGCAGAGCACTGTTGAGGCTACACGTCGTCTGCTACGGGCCAACTTCTTTTTCGCCTGAATAAAAGTTTGTGGTGAAACGTTGAGAAAACATAATTTGTTAGCTTTTTAACCCACCGAGGAATAACACTACATCATTTTCTTGCAAGAGCCAGTGAAATAAAAGGAAAGAAGCAAAATTTGGATGTCTATCCTATGCATTCCACCAGTAAATGAATGAAAATGGCAGCCCTCCCCACGCAGCTGGGACCAGCCGGAAGTTCACGCGCATGCTCTAGTGCCTCTCACTCTGCGCCGTGAGCTGATTGGCTCACTCGGGAGAGGGGCGTTACGGGCGCGAGATCATAAACTAGCCAAATTCCCCATATACGGCCTTGGCCCAGCCCTCATTCTCCGCCCAAATGTACTGCTAGCCGTCCGAACCAGTTGCCGAAGTTTCAGAACTAACCGTTATCTTATTCAAGACTTATACTAAGTGATTTTCTGAAATTCTAGAGCGCAGCTCTTAGGCGCCCGTTTCCGGCTTGAGCGGCGTCGCCGTCGCTATCGGCGTAATTGCGCGGTGCATTATGGAATGCGTAACGTCACTGGTGACGTCACCGATGACGTCATCGGCATCCGCATCGTCATCGTCACTGATGACGTCACCAGGGGCGATGACGTCATCGTCACGCGAGCTCTTAGGGGTCACGTGACCCCCGTGAGGCTACGTGAACCCGGTGACGTCACATGACCCATGTGAGGTCGCCTGACCCTCGTAAGCCGACGTTGCTCGGAGGGAGGAGTAGCAGGCAGGATGACGAGGTGAGGAGAAGGGAGGAGGGGTCTACCCTCCCCTCAGTACCCTTCCCTCCTCCTCCTCAAGAGCTGCGCTCCAATTCGGCGTTACAGGAAGTTGTTAACGGCTTTCATTTTTAATGGAAAAATGGTGGCCAACTTGAATACGTGGAACCGAATGGGCGAAAACAGGCCCTATTTTTCCTTTGAAATGTACAAAAAATCACATAACTTTTGATTGAGATAACAGTTAGCTCTGAAACTTTGGCATCTGATTTAAACTGATGGTGCTACATTTGGGTGGAGAATGAGTATTTGGCAATTAATTTATGCTTTAAATTTTTATGAAAAAGACCCTTTAAATTTTTTGGGGGAACATGCTGTAGAACAGTAACTGAAGTTTAAGATGTTGTTCAACTTGTTGCCCAGTTTTTCTAACTTGGTCAGCGCCGTTCGCTTACAAGACCACTGCCGTGACTCAAATCGCCTCTATTTTGCCTTTGTGGTCTCGATACCACATCCCACATCCTACACAATAGGGCATTTCAGCCACCATGTCTACCGTTCATTCCAACAACAAGCATGACGTGGCTGCTCTTTTTTAATGCGAAAGCATTGACTGTCCCATGGAGCGAGCCGACGTCATCAGCTTTGAAACCGTGCCAAAGGGTACCTTAAATCCTTTCTCCAAGTGAGGTAGCTCCCAGCTATGAAACCACGCGAAGAACCTAGACAACGGCACCTATTTTCCTTGATCCCAAAGGAGCGGAGTAAAGCTGATGGATTTTGGCTTCAGTCCCTTTGGCTGGAGCACGTCGACGAGGCTCCCATTGGCCACTGCGCTTCAGTTTCAATGACGGCTACCCCATGGCACTGCATGTTTATAAGGCAGTGGCTCCACTGCTCGACGCCCAAGGTCAGAGCGCGCGCTCGACTGTCGACGAAAGAAGGAAGCGCTGAAGAGGTGGCGTGCATGCTTTCGCTTTCATAACTCATAAGAAGTACTTAGGTGTACCTCAAGCTTTTTTTTTGTTCTTTGAATGCGAGTGCTTTCTGCCAGCTGGTCTAGAACCTAAGCAATCTTGGTGAGACGAATGTTGTCTTGGGACAGTTTCGATTGGCGCCAACGAGGGCCCTGACATGTGCAAAAAGTATATCAAGATAACAGTGTTAGAAGAAGCTAGCCCATTATTGCTCAAGTCACCTGGGCAATGCAATTTCTAGGAGTGGACTTTCTTTTGGTGGTTTTGCATGAACTACAAGCTAAGCCTAAATTGGGGGCAGGGCATCTCTCGAGATATTGTGGCAGTCTATGATCTTCAGACTTTGAAGTTTTTTGTTTTTTTTTGGCATTTTAATACCCAGGGAACAAAGCATAACTTGGCTTTTTCTCGGAGATTGGGGCCCAAAATACCAGATGATAACCAAACAATCGGGCAGTGAAGCCCGACTCCAGCCTCTATTCGGCAATTTAGGACCAAGGTACCGAGGCTCTGGCTAAAGAATATCGGCTACAGGTGGCGGGATGTGGGACTGCAGGCTGCCCCAGCGGACGTCTCCCTAGACCTTGGCAATAACAGTCAGTGTTTTTGAGTCATTTGCGGCGCAGGCTTTTTAGTGTGGTTGATGATTTCATTGTTCTAACTAATAAAGTACACTGATTGGACGCATTCAGTCTGCTTTATCTGTTCAAAGAGCCAGCGATTAGTGACTTGTGCTGTAGAAGCCTTCCCTTCCAAAGTAGTGAGCCTTCCTCGGCGAAGAGGCTAGACAAATCAAATGCCGCAAGATGTGTTTGCATCACGCCGTGGCAGGCCCTGTGCCAGGACTGGCAGCGAGTGCCTCTGGAGGAAGGGCTTCCCCTGGTGTTGTGTGCCCCCCACGTGGAAGTGCGCTGCTGTGCCCGAGGCCCCCTGTGCACCGTGAGCGTGGAGCTGCTCACGGCATCCGTCCCGCTCCGCTTGGTGCCTCTCCACCCGGTGCCCGTGCTCCGCTCCGGGGTGCAGGACCGACCCCCCGGGAACGGCCCGGACTTTGGGTGAGGACCCCCCAAGGGCAGATCTGCAACCTGCGAGTTTTCGACTAACCCAAACTGAACTAAACCCGTCTAAACTAGCTTAGCCTAACCTAGATTAGTCTTCTCTGAAACCAACGAGTGAACTATTTGGTGAAAAGAATGATTCACCGAGATTCATTCTACCTTAAAGAGACACTGACACCCCCCAAAAAATTTTTTTTATTTTTTGCCAGGCGCTTTATTATGGTGTCGGAGGACTACCCAATTAATATTTTGCAACAGAGTATCGTATTTTTTTAATAAAGCCAAAAGACGCAACTGCTCGAAACCGAAACCGAAACCCGACGGAGGTCGGAGAAGTGAAGAAAAAAGAGTGTGCGGCTTTTTTTTTTTTTTTTTTTTTCCTTTTTCTCCTCTCTGGTAGCAGACGACACGACATGCGGCGTGCGATGCGGCGTGCGGGAACTGCTTGCCGTGCGATTCTTTTGCAGTTATGTCTGTTCCGCTCGTTGTTCTGTACTCCAAGATGAGTTGTTTTGTACATTGAGGAGTTGGAGATGAGTAGTGAGTGCCCGTGGTGAATTTCCGTGATCGGCTCCGAAAAGAATAAACCCAAGATGTTGCGTGAAGAGCCGGCTCACATGTCCTGCATCCGAAAAAAAGTGGCATTGTGCGACAGAGTTTCCGAAAGATCAATGGGATCGGGACCAATGGCTGGCTGCAATTCCTGTAGAACATTTACGGGCACCTTGGAAAGCGGACGCTACCTGATTTATATGCTCCTTGCATTTTGTGGAAAGTGATTACATTGAGTTCGCAAGTGTCAAAACGGAAATCCCATACCGTTTAGTTCAGCGAAGTATCGTCCACAACATTTGTTTGTTATTTTTTCGTTCGTTTCTTCAGTGATGATTGTAAGAAAAAGAAAAAGATATGTAAACATAAAAAAATGTTTGAAAAAAAATTTTTAAAAAATTCACGGGGGATTGAACCCGGTCCTACCGCATGCGAACCGGACGTCTTTCCCACTGAGCTACTGGGGCATCCCGTTTCTGGTGGATCTCTTTCCTTAGTAATAATTCAGCCGGTAAACTGTAAGCTGGAAAGTTTTTGCTGTCGATTTTTCTCTAGCAAAAGCACTCCCGGGTCGAAGTCGGGAAGCACCACGCTTTGGGGACATTCGCACCTAGTAAAGAAATCGTACGCGTGCATATTCAACTCGAAGTAGACACGTCGTGCTTGACGTTTGAGCGAGCGTTGTCTTCAGCTACGAGAAGGGAGCGACGGCTCGGCGACGTCTTCGTGCAAATCGGCTTGGTGGCCGGGCGTGTCGTACGGGATGAATACCAATTCTTTTGATCAGTCCCAAATCCGGTACCGCGAACGACAGTTCTGAAATAGAGGTCCCACGCCCGTCGTCCGCTGCCATCGCCGTCCCCGCGAGTCCCACGACACGCGAAACGACGAACGCACAGAATGCTTCCGGTTGTCTGTGGAACTTTTTTTTTCAATCAACGTATTTACAGCTTTTTAGAAGCCACAAAAAATGGGTTTCATATTTTTTTCTATTTTTAATATTTAGTGTATGCCTTCAGTGACCCACGACTTTCATTAAATTTGGTGGTCGCATCGATACCTTAGAAAACGGCCCGTGTCTGCGAAAAAGAGAGTGAGCGAGACTCGAACCGGCCAGTTCTTGATCGGTGGTTTTCGGGCGGAAAGAAACCGAATTTCGAGCCGCAAATTCTGTTCTGGGTAGTTGAGCTCCCATATGTCATGTACAACTAAAAACCTCGGCGAGCATAAATACCCTGTCAGTGTCCCTTTAACCCCTTTGAGTGCTCGAGTATACTCGGCGGCACTCCCAAGCAAACCCCCTGCCATGGTTTAATTTTTTGTCTCATAGTGTCTCCTGTTTTTTCCAGGAGGAAAATTTTGTTTTAGGTGACTACTTTCTTGGTTTACTCCTTTGTTTTTTCAGAATGGTGAATCTTTGTCATTCAACCTCGTGCTTCAAGGTGAACACGGAGATCTACAAATTATTGATAAACTCTGACCCCAGCCACTGTGAAAATGAGGAATGTACACTTCCAAACTAAAGAAGATTCTGATTAAGGCAGCCTGTGCTCTCAGGTTGTGAGGTCAAGGTAGGGTTTTGCCTAGTTGTACCGTGTCTTAAAAAGTACAGCACCAGAAAAATGTCTTAGGTTGGAGGCATGCAGACATTAATGAATGTTTTGTCCACAGATAAATATGTCTTTGATAAGAAAATAAATTAGATAAAACATGCCACCATGTTACTGGGACTGAAATGGCATTCGGCACGCAGGAAAACCTCACATGGGGTGCGCATCGGCGAAAAAACCTGGCAGTCAAGGCGTTAAATGCATGACAGTTAAGGGTCAGGCATTTCCAACTGATTCCAGCCGATGAATGCACCTTAATCTAAAGTCCCATAACTAGGGGTGTGCGAATATTTGACTTCGTATACTTTGCAAATAGTGCTTGCAACTCGATTCAATTTGTTTTGCACTACTACTGTTCAAAATGTTCGAGTTTTTCAAATATTTGAAAACTATGAATAACGCAGAACTCGCTGATTAGTGTCAACTCGCGGTCGGGTTCCCTGTTTTGTTTTTGGACTGTGCAATATGGTTTCGAGCTTGGCAAACCCTAAAAGCCAACCTACGGTAAGTGCTTTTTTTTTTTTGTATGAAGCACTGGAAAGTTATTTGCATGCGAAAAAATCTAAAAGTCAAACACACAATATACCTACCGTAAAATACCGGGCAGGCGCCCACTCAAACTTCAGAGATAATCACAAAATATGAGGGATGGGCGTTTGTGCGGTCATCAATTTTACACTTATATGTACTGTGCATATTTTCTCAGACCTCACAAATTTGGGGATGGGCACTTAATGTGGAATGGGCGGATGCGCGGTATTCTGCAGTACAATGGAACTGTTTGGCACTCAGTGGTAGAACATGGGTTCTCAAACTTGCTTCCTAGGAAAAAAGGGTTTCCTTGGGGAACCCTGTTCCCCAAACTCCCAAATTTCCTCTACCATCCCTGTCTTTAAGTAAAGTGTTTTCCGAGTTTAAACACTATTCTAGCGGATCTAAGCCATCCTTGGATGCATAACTAAGAGCCAAACACTTCCTTGTTACGTGCATTACCGTTTACAAAGTCTCTAGACTTCTGCACCGCTTGATTCCATCAATGCTGAGACGGAGGGGTTCCTTGGCTATCAGTCTCCTCAAATAGGGGCTCCTTGAGATTTGTTTGAGGACCCTCGTGCATAGAAAATGATCCATGCTTCCGATTTAGTTTCGGCACGAATACATCGACTATTGTTTGATTTGGGTTGCAGACAGTTTGGATAAAGATAGTGGTTTCGTTCTAGTCTTAGGCTATGATTCTGTTCAGCATAGTGCACTGCTCTTTGGGTTGGTTCACTCGCTTCTATCTTCCTGGTTTGATTTGTTGTCCACGACGAAAGTCTGGCAGCTGTACGTTCCTTTGACCCGCGCTCACACGACTAATACGTCGTACAGAAGGCGGTCTGCCGACAACGCCCGAGATGTGTCGCCTCCTTGTACGATCGTCCCGTCACATTGGTCGTACAGGAGGAGTCTGCTGACACGTTCAAAGCATAGATACGTACGAAGGAAACGTGCTTGCAACGTGCGCGCGGCTTGTCCACACGTAATTCTGTCATCGTGTCTGCAGCTACCACAGTGTATTTTTTAACGACGTAGGGACAGTGAGACTGCGGCACTTGCATTCACTCTGAAGTCGTTTGCAGCATGTTGACTTTTGAAAGCGTTGTACTTTGGTCCTCTGCAGGTTTGCGGCGCTGTGCGCGGACCGCCTCTGCTTCCTCTTCAAGCACCAGCTGCACAGCGGCGACCTTCCTCTCGTGGGCGTGTGAGTGGCCATTCCGCTCGGCACCTCTTATAGTAGTCACAGACGGGGCGAGAGTGGCGGGGAGGGGCTTCGGTCATCCTGCCCCCAAAGTGAGCTTCCCACGTGGACGAGACTCCGACGTCGACGCGCATCCAGAGCGTGGCAGAAGGCATGGAGAGCGTTTCGGATGCCGGGAATTCAAAAGACATGCCTTGCCGTTCTCATCGTGTGAGCCACTGTAGGAGTGTCATTTGTGCACTGCCCGAACTGTCTGTCGCCGTGCACAACGACCGACACCGAGGGAGAGCGTGGACCGCAGAGAAAAGCTCTTGCCACGAGCAGACCTTTGTTGCTTTTATGCCGCAATACACTGAGGAAGGGCCCGCCCAAAAGCCGGAGATGATCACGGAAAATATGGGGACAAGTGCTCGTTAACTTTAAGGTCGGAAAAGTGGAAGGGGCACACAAAAGGCTAGGTCCTTGTTCGACCGGACAAACCGGTATGCGTGCTGTTTTTTTATGAGGTGACACCATCCTGTCCCTGGTGGCAAAGTGTAGGGGAGGCCTTAATCTTGAAAAACGAAAAAGACAAAAGAAAGATTATTATAATTTTGAAGTTATAATTAGTTTAGATTATATTTTTGAACTTTTTTTTCTTGATCTACAAGTCACAGACAACATACTATACTGTAAGTAGTACTATACCCAGAAGTGCACATTTATATAGACCGTATTTTCGTAGGCAGCGCCACAATGAATATTGTAGTGCCCCCTGCACGCTTCGGTTTCTGAGGCCACGCTGGGTTGGGGGAATCAGTGCTTGGATCTTTGCCGGTGCGTCTTACGCGTGCTGCGATTTGCGTATTGAAATGACTTTTTATCCGTGCTTACGGTAGCAGGCACTGTAAAAAAATTTTGTCCGGGATTATGGCATCCACTATGGTATTAGTGGTAGGGACAGCAATCAGGAAACATTTATTTTGGGCATCAAATGAAGTTTTCAGATGTAGTCGCAGTTGCGCCAAAAATGCTTTCGTTGTTCCGTGTGCGCTGCAAGAAAATATAATGCGCATAATGGAAGGACGCCGCCAAATACTATGCGAGATGTGGTGGCGCATGTCTTCGTGGCGAGGGTACACGCCTTCCTCTGCAATGGCGGCTCTACTGCATCCGAATATACATTATTCTTACTGTCGGAGTTGAAATGTTCAACGGGACGAATTCAAAAGACGACTGTTTTCGAAGCACCTCCTTGGTCTAGTTGATTATTTCCTCTTCTTCTGTCGCCCTTTTGGGCTCGCGCGTGGCCTCCTGTGCAGGCCTGGCTTGCTGTTGGGCTTGCCTCGGCCTATGTCGCCACATTACTACCACTGTTGCACTGAAGGGAATGAATAAAGACAGCTCTGGCTCCTTCGTGCATATTATTGCTAACTTTATTTTATTAGCACTGGTGCTTTAAAAATAATTTATTTGAATATCACGCATTGACGGGTGTGTCGCTTGTCTACAGTTAAAATCAATTGCTTTTAGAGCAGACCTATGGCAAGTTCGGTTGTTTGAGATTTATGCATGAGCTCGCTTCGGTATAGGAAAGATGGGTTCTGCATATAAATAAAAGCATTTTTTGTGAAAATTTACATTTTAGCGGTTTTAGCACCACGCACATTGTGTACCTATACACATAACAAATAGGATCCATTTACATTATGACGGTCTGCCTAATTTACTGGTTCTCTGCAGTCCAGCAGGAAAATGCGATCCAGAAAACCCAACGAATAACTTTTACACAAATTCCACCCAACAAATGAATCATTCTTGAGCCACAATCTGGATAAGTAGAAACTAGAAAATTCTGAAAGAAAAAACCGAAACAATAAAATGTGAAACTTTGGAGCACGACACATATCCAGCGGGCTCATCCGGGTCTTCCTCTCATTTGCCCCACCTCAGCGAAAAGAAAAACGCACAGCTGCCCCCTCTCACTTCTCTCTCGCCCTCTTTTAATGAAACATTCTATAGTTACATCAACTCATATTTTCGTGTTTCTTTTTTTTTTGCTCGAGCTGTATATTGTGGTGTCTCTTCGAAAGACTTTCAATTCTGTGCAGGTGGGTGAGTGGGGTGGACTCGATCCAGCACCCGTTCCTCTGGCTGGTGTGCGCCCAGTTCCTCACGAGCCGAAGGCCTTTCTCAAGGTGAGCTCCTTCGGCGGGAGCAGACGGGTGTGACCGCACTTACTGTGGGTGCGAGTCGGAGTCGCACCCTTCGTGCCGCATTATACTCCATTTCCCTTTAAGTCTGATCGCAGTCGTTGCTACAATCTAATAGCGCCTGTCGAGCAGCGCCAAAAGTGCGTCATCATGGAGCTCGTCATCTCAGTGGCTTTGCAATCCCCAATTAAACCAATTGCACGCAGAAAAAAAATCGCACAGATGACCGCGCGATGTGGTCATCCGTGCGCTGGCTGGTGTGACATTTCTATGATATTGCGTCACGATCGACCGGAAATCGAGGCGATGTTGCGTCGCACGGTTTCTCGTGTAAAACGCAACCGATTACGCGCAGAACGGCCAGCACAATACACATACTCTCGGATGCGCTACACAGATCGCTGGGTCGCACCTGCGTGCCCGTTCTTCGCTCGGTAACGTTTTCTTTTATGTGCCTCTTCAAGTTCCCGCGCAGCACGATCTCGACGTCGACTGCGTTTCATCCTAACATCTGGGGCGAGATGATCGACGCCTCTACGTCGCCAACGTTGCCTCCTACGAGCGCGTTTCCGCCGTCGAGCGGCCACCGCCTGCTCCCGCATCCACTTCGACCGCCCCGTTTTTGCGTGCGAAGGCTTAGGGCGCCGAGGGAACGGGCGACTGGAGGCGAGAAACAGCAAAGGGCGAGGAGCGCAAACGCACAATCCCCGGCACAATAGCGATTGGCCGAACCCGCTGCGCCTCAACCGCGACTATTATTGGCAAAAGCGCGAGGGTATCGCCTCTGTGCTTGCCCTCTCCCGGCGTCAACGACACCTGCGATAAACGTGCACATGCTCGGATCTTTTTCGGCAACACGGCACTTGCCTAATACAAGCCAAATACAGCTAACGCTGTAAAAGTGCAAGATTGTGGTGCATTTACTGTGCGTGACTGGTTTCGCCGGTGATAGCGAACGCAGAAACGCATTGTGGCGATGTACTTTGGCATCACTAATCGGCTCCATCGGAATGTAGCGTCGTCTGCCGTTGGACTTAAACAGAAACGGAGTATTGAATGTTGGCAGCTGGTGAAACAAATTGAGGACATTGATTCGGAGCGTCCATGCACTTGCTGGGAGTGTGGTAGTCTCTGGCAGTGCAACGAAGAGTGTCTCCATTGCACGCAACAAAATGACATCTGGAAAGCACTCAATGTATATAAAACAATGCCCACAATATTTAAAAAAAAATATATTAAGAATCTATGTTAGCGTGAAGCAAGGAACCACACGTGTAAACCATAAAAAAAAAAGGAAAGCTTTTTGTTTTTTAGGGTCTTGAATAGGCTTTTGAATACACTTTTCTTTGACAAAGGAATAGCACTTGCAATAAACAAAAAGCGGGTTGGTGAAAATACAAGAATCAAAGAAAGAATAAAAACACTTAGGAACAAGGACAGACAGGACAGTTCATTCAAGTAGTAACAAACATTCACTGATGTCTCCTTGAATACATACATTCTCCATCCCAACTTCTTAAACTGAAGAAGACACATGAAAAAACACCTGGAATAGAAAGAAAAAAAATGAAAGTCGTTTACAACTCCCTGTAACGCCGAATTCGAGCGCAGCTCTTGCGGAGGAGGAGGGAAGGGTACTGAGGGGAGGGTAGACTCCTTCTCCTCCTCCTCCCCTCATTCTTCAATCTCCTCTGGGGGTGTCACCTGACCTCGGGGTGGGGGGGGTCACCTGACCTCGGGAGGGGGGGTAATGTGACCTTGGGGAGTCACGTGACCCCCTCTCCCCGAGGTCCCCTTGAAGAAACCCGAAGTCCTCTCGAGGTCCTCCTGAAGGAACCTGAGGTTCCCCCGAAGTCCTCCCGAAGGACCTCGTGTTCCTTTGGAAAAATTTACCCATAATGCACCGCGCAGTTACGCCGACGGCAACGCCGCTCAAGCCGGAAACGTGCGCCTAAGAACTGCGCTTTTAAACTCAAGGTTTTTTTTATGTATCTCCTTCAGTTTAAAAAGATGAGAGGGAAAATCTATGTATTCAAGCAGACATAGTAAATGTTTGTCGCTAGTTGAAAGAACTGTGCTGTTTGTCCTTGTCCATTAGTGACTTTAATTCTTTCTTTGATTCTACCACTTGCGAACACCCTAAAGTAGGGTTCTGCATTTTCCGAGTATTTTTGAGCAAAATCGAAGGGTGCTTTTCTGAAATTTTTTACCCCAAATCTGGAGTTCTTCAAAGCTATCGTCGATTGTTAAAAACATTCAGAGCTTTTTGGAGTGTGAGGGCCAGATAGCCTGCCCTCAAAAGGTCGAGCTGAATCTTCTTCGAGAGCTGAATCTTCTTCGAGAGGAAAGCCTGAAATTGGTGTGTTTTACTTTTGTAGGTCGCCCCATTTATCTAATGAAGGTTCAGATTACATCCCTTTTTGATACTTGCGAACAAAAGTGGAAATAAAACAAGAAATAGAATTGCAAACACTGTCTTAGGATTCCAAAAAAAGATAAAAACCAGCCGGCATTTACAACTGGCTGTCCCCAAAATCTGAGTTTTTCGGGTAAACTACTATTCTAAAGTATTAAGGTGGGCTAGTTGGATAAGCATTATGAATAATAAAAAGCGCGAAAAACGGACAAGGACAAGAGCGCGAAGACGGGACTAGCGCTAACTCGCAACTGGCGTTTTTTCATTCAATGTCATTTTCTACTGCAAATTTATTTATGGCCTTTTAACACTTTACTGGCTTTAATGTTTCCTATTTCTTCTTTTTCTATCTCTCTTCAATTTTTTTTCAGTTTTGATCCCTATTTTCACTTCCTCCTTCTCTCGTAAGTGCATTAAAACAACAGTTGTGAGTTGCGAATCCCGGTTGTGAGTCCCATGTTACTTCGCATCGCGTTCCATCTCGTTACCGGGGACGTGAGCTCGGACTGCCCGTGTTCCAGGCCGTCTGAGATCTTTGTGGTGGCTGTGCTTGCCGGCTCCGAAACGCTCTTCTACAACTGCTTGTGTCCCCCGGGCCGGCCGCGACTGGAGCTGCAGCTCTGGCAGGGACAGGCCTCCACCAGCATCGCCAGGGTAGGCTTCTCCATGTCCCAGAGTGCTGCATGTCCCAATCCAGGAGCTGCTGCCTTTGTGAGCTCGAACGTGACCACAGCGGCTGAAATGTGACTCTGACCGGCATGCCTGTGACACGTCTCATGCGGAAGTGACGGCACTGCGAAGAAGCAGACGTACCGGGCGTCTGGAGAAAAAAAATTGTGCAGCTTTTCGCCGCAGTGTACGAGGAAGTAAAAGCGATTAGATGTTTTTGCGCGTAGTAACAAACTTTTATGCAGATCCACTTTTTCCTACAATGCACGGCAGTCTTGTGGATTTGGTTTCTTTTGGCATGTAGCCTCGACTATGTCGCAGTGTCGCGTGACTTTGTGACATCACGTGACACTATAAGGTCATGTGATACCAGGACTGCGACGTCTCTATACAATTACAAAACCCCCGGAATGCGCCCTTGAGTGGCCTCCTTACTGTGCCCATAAAAGGAGTGGCTCGAGGAGGACCTATAAATGCTACACATGTAGAACGTTCCTGAGAAATGGCGAAAAGAGAGGCGCTGAAGTCTGTAGAAAGAGGAACATGCTGCACACGTGAGCTAAAGCCCCTGCCTAAGACTGAGTTGAGATAGGTACCGTCGCTGAAACTATCGCTGTACAGTGCAACCCACTTGTAACGATACCCTATATATTGACGTACCGCATGTAACGATCAGTTTCCAGGGTTTCTAAACTAAACACAATCAGCTTCTTGTCCAGATACAATGCCTGGCATCTCACGACTGAGGGGTGAACTATTCTTGTTTGAGGTGGTCACGTGTTATGATAACATCACAGTCTTCTGCCTAGTACGATGCCGCCACAAACGTGGTCCAGGGATAGCTTCAGTAAGAATGCAATTCAGCATTAACAATTATGCGCTATTGCTCCAAAAAAGGCTTTTGACTGCCCCAAAAGGTGCTCCCACGTGACTGACCAATCATGTCGCTGCTTCTTACTGCAGGTCCCCTCTGCGAGCAATTGCACCCTGACAGTTGCCCTGGAGTCTGTGGTCTCGGGCAAGGTCTCCGAGGACATGCTCTGGGCACACCAGCAGCTCTCCAGCCTGTGAGTAGGACAGACGGATTGATTGATTGATCGAGTGACCACAGCCTGAAGTTGTTTTTGACACTAGAAGGTCGTCAGTTTCGGCAGGAACAACTTTGATCTCGTTACAGCACGTTACGGCACATGCCACTTAGTAGCCGAAAATTTGGCATTTGTATCATTAGTGCAACCTTGCTGGTACATTTTTTTTTGCAAACTGCAAAAAAAACAAAAAGGTTGAGGTACACCTAAGCATTTCTTATGAGTTGTGAATGTGAAAGCATGTACATCAATCTTGCTCTACGCACGTTGGTGCGCTGACTGGTGCTGACTAGGGTTCCTGTATAGGCTCCCTACGGTAGCCTACACAGGAACTCTAGCGCTGCGTGTCCGGTAATGGAAGCCTGGTCGATGTGTGCTAGCCAATGGGATTGCAGCGGTGTTAAAGGTGCCGTTGGCTGTGGACGTGCGCTAGCCAATGGGATCGAAGCAGTGTAAAACAGCCGTTTGGCGTGGTTTCAAAGCTGATGATGTCGGCTCGCTCCATGAGACAGTTAATGCTTTCGCATTAAAAGTATGATAAGGCTCTGTGCAGGATAATAAATGCTTGCATCACTGTTTATTCCACATAAATGCTGCTGATCTTGGAGCACACAGCCTTGCTTAAATATAAGCTTTCCTTGCTTTTTCCCAAGGTAGTATTTCGCCTGAAATCAAGTGATGTCTCAAAAATGAAATGTCATGGTTATTATTCTTTTGGCACCTACGGCCAAGCCCTATGATGATTTTTGTCTTCCACCCCTCTGTCAATACAAGCTTCATTAACTTTTTATCAGATTGTGCCATTGTTTACGGTGGCCTGATCAGTTGTGACTGATTGGCAGTTAATCAATTAGATGATTATACACACCTATCCTTCTAACCTGTGGCTCTGCCCGTTGGCAGAATGGCAAAAAAAGATCTCGCTCTAGAGCAGGGTTCTCCAAACCTCAACCCGCAGGCTAGATCCGTCACGCAGAAATTTTCCGACCGGCCGATGGCTGGCCGCGGTCTTTTCAATGAAGCCTGCGGCCCGTAGCCCGCTGTCCAGTAGACATGCTGCTAGCGGTTCGAAATAAAGTGTGCATAAAGAAACGGCACCGCGACACTCTTCAATTGTGCAAGCTAAAATGTACCAGAAATAGCGAGAGAAACTGCATCGTAATGCGGGTCCTCTCGCCATATTATTCACTGAACATTGTCATCACCATGCATTACCATTCTTAGTCCTCTGCTTCATGTCCGTGTAACTATGTTAAAATTTCATTGCTCTCTCATGTACATTGTGCTTAGTGTCCTCTTTCACAACTATTGCATAATATGAGCATTCATTTGATCATTGTCATCAGCTCTTTTGCATTGCGCGAATCTGCCAAAGTTCTTATGTGCTTTGATTTATGACTGGCGAGTTTTCTTAGCCACAAGTGCTGTGTGAGGTCATAATTAACTAAATATAAAATTTTGAATTGAAGCATATCTATTAACCCAATTTAGTTTTCTTTTATTACTTACTCTTACATTCATTTCTGTGTTTAAATGCATATCTAGGTTTATTTATTTAGTTTTTCTCCGTTTATGATTATTCTTTTCTCCTCGACCCTAGAGAGACTGCGAGAGATCGCTGATCCGGCCCTTTAGCCAAAATGTTTGGAGACCCCTTGCTCTTAAACAAGTGTTCTCAAACTGGATTCCTAGGGACCCGGGGTTCCCCAGGGAGCCCGTGGGCACAAATTTTCTTGACAGTCTCCGCCCCTACGTAAAGACTGTTTCCTGGTTAGGCACTGTTTTAGAATATTAGCGCCACCCACTGAGGTATAAATATGAGCCAGTCACTCTCTAGTATGTGCATTATTGTCTAGAATGCCCGTTGGCCTTTGCACAGTTTTATGGTGTTAATGCCGAGCCTGGGAAGGGCTTCTCGACCGCCAGTCGAGAGGGGTTCATCGAGGTATAGAAGTCTGAGAGCGCATGTTCTGAGAGTAAGGTTTTCCAAACTGAGTTCCTAGAAACCTGGGGGTCGCCAGAATACCGTCATGGGTTCACCGAGCTCCCAAATTCCTTGGATCGTCCTTGCCCCCGAGTAAAGTGTCTTTTCAATTTAAACACCTTCTCAGCAGATCTGAGCAACTCGATGCGTAGCTATATGCCAAATACACGCATAGTAAATTATTGTTTAAAAGGTCTGTAGGCTCCTGCTCCGCTTTACTTCGTCAGTGCAGGGACTGAGAGGGATTCCTCGGTTATTGGCAAAAAGAAAGACGCGCGTTCCCCAAGATTCTGAAGTCCGAGATCCACTGCTCTAGACGACGAGCAAAAGGGAAAGCGGTAAATGCCACAGAGACAGCACATGGAGTGAAAGCTCGCAATCTGGATGAGCATCGTGCTGGCTTGCGGTTGCGTATCACTACTGCGTGGTGCATGCCAAAGACTCCAGGCTAGCGGTGGCACTGCACTGGCTCGAATTCTCGTCTACGGCCAAAAACAAGTGTTGCCGCACCTCCAAGGTGGACCAACTTTACGGCAACAAAACAGAAACAAACGTTGCATTTGGTTCGTGGCCTTTTCAGGCCATCCCCAGCAGGGAGCCGGGAACTGCTGTCCCAGGATCTGCGCTGCCCCGGACAGGTGAGGGCCACGTTGCCTACTTCTCGCGCTCCCATAGCACGACCGAGCATGCTGGATGGACGTTTTAGGCTGCCGTCGACTTAGTGGACCGTACCTGCCGAGTCGAGAGACCTCGTCGTGATTTTCTGCGAAGATATGGTGAAGTGACGGATGTGCATGTGCAGGATTTTAGCGTACGTAGTCGTCCCCCTCGGTATTAAGCTGCACTCACACCGCCCATACATTGTACGGAAGGACATGGCGTTTGCTGCGGACATCATGACAGAATCGTCTGCTGACATGCCTCGAGTGTGTTCAAAATATGTTTGCGTCTAGCATGCGTACACTTTGAACGTGTCTAAACACAGTGTTTATACGACCAACGTGACTAGGATCGTTGAGCGAAGAAGAAATATGCCTCAGTGTTTGCAGACCGTCTTTTGTACGACGTAGTATTGGCAGTGTGAGCGTGGCTTTAGGGTAGGCTTTAGGGTAATTGTAAAGAGACACTGCCTCCTTTTGCATGTCAGTCTGGTGCTAAAGCCTAATGAGCTTACAGTGACCAGATAAAAAAAAATAATAAAACACGCACAAAAAAAAAAAAGAAGAAACATTTTCACATATCTGTTGAATGTAATATAAAGCTGGGAGTGACAGGTGGTGTAGTGGCTATAATCAGCGTCAACTATTTTGTTGACGCCGAATATTGCGTCGACTCGTTCGCGTGCGCTCGTGCATCTAGCTGTGGCATAGGTAGTTGGAGCACCGCAAAAGCTACGGTAGCCTCGACAAAGTGGTGCAAAATAGCCGACGGAAAGTATAGCGTTTCACTCGGGTGCCCAGCCCTTGCGCATGACGCCGACGGTGCCAGAGGTGTCCGACTTCTCGGCGGCACCCTCCTGTCTGGGTGCTTCCCTGGGCGACGCCCCCCTGCCGACGAGCGCAGTGGCAGAGCTCTCCTTGCAGGATCCTCGAGCGCCGGATCAAGGCACGGTGAGCACTTTTTTGTCTTCTCTGGGCCTAACCACAGCGAATGGTGTTAAACCGTCATCGCACTGCTCGTACGTCGTACAAAAGGCTTGTCGTTCACCGTGGGCACGACGAAAGATTTATCTGCAGGCAGGCCTCGAGCATGTTGATGCATGTTTGCTTTGTACATGCTTCGAACGTGTGTGCAGACGACTCTTGATGACCCATGTGACGTATGAACAGTGTGAATGCGACTTTAGAATCTCGATGAACCAGTCTCACATTTTGTGCAGAGCTAGCCGTGTTATGTTGAACGACGAGTATTTGGATCCTATTTCCGCACGGGCACTTACCTAATGACAGACGGAAGGACGAATAGTGTTGCAAACTGAGCTGTCAGGTTTGCTACACTAGATGTATTTGTTCACTACACCAGATGAATAGAGGGATGAACGGTGGTGGCTGCACATTTTGTAACGGGCAGTAGGTAGCTTCGTGTTATAGATCCTTACAAGATTGCCTACCGTTACGAATAGACAACCCTCCTCTACACAAGTCTATAAGAATGCCTAAACAGACTGCTGGAAAAAATTTACAGATTTGTTTCTACTGCAAAAATAAACGAGGCATCACCGAATGCTCATTTTCCGCCCAAATGTAGCGCTAGAGGTCTGAACCAGATGCCAAAGTTTCAGCTTTAACCGTTATACTGTTCAAGAGTTACAAGTGATTTTCTGAAATTTTCAATGAGAAAATGGGGTTCGCTTTCGCCCGTTTTCGGTAACTGGCAGCACCAAGAGCTCCGTCTATTATAAGAGGTCCATCAGTCGCCATTTTCGTATTGAAAATTTCAGAAAATCGCTTATAACTTGTGAATAAGATAACGGTTTGTGCTGAAACTTTGGCATTTGGTTGGGACCTCTATCGCTATATTTGGGCAGAGAATGAGCGTTCAGTGATTCATAGTTTATTTTTGCAATGAAAAAAAAAACATTTTTTGGGGGGCACTGTCATAACACTGTCTACTATGTTTTTTTAATTAATCGATTTTTATTTTTTACTTTGCCTTAACATTATAACAGAACACGAAAGGATCTGCTCTGTTCAATGTGAGGGAACACCATCCACCAAGTTTGCATCGATAGACACATTATATTTTACAGCAGAGCTGTAAAAGCTGCAGCAGAGCTGTTTCGTGTCCGTGGACAAACAAATGTGGACACAGAGCTCCAAATAGCTACCGCCATCTATGAGCGACGGCAGCAACCTTTCCAGCCTTTCCACTCTGGTTTTCACCAGAGTGGAAAGGCTAAATTTCTCTAGGCGTCCTTGAGGTCGTCCTAGAAGTCGTCCTTGAGGTCGTCCTAGACGTTGGCCTTGAGGTCGTCCTAGACGTAGTCCTAGACGTCATCCTCGAGGTCATCTTAGACGTCGTCCTCGAGGCGTCGTCCTTGAGGTCGACCTAGATGTCCTCATTCGTAACCACAAGGACGTCGTCCTCATGGTTACGAAATAAATGACAACCCCGTAGCGTTATGTCTGATTCTTGAATCATTCAAATAACCAATTACACCATGATACATTAATCGTTACATTTATAAATACTTCATTCCTACCATAGTACAGCTTGGCTGGTCTTTCTTCTTCACCAAAATAGAAAGGCTGAAAGATTTTTTTTTTTTTCAAAGCTCATTGAGCTTAATTACTAATATACAGGCAGGAATGCAAAGCAAAAGGCCCCGCATATGCTACTGCAACGAGCGAGAGACGAGGTCTTTTTCTTACATGGTCCTGTATTGCCCACGTCCTTACGGCACAACAAGCGCAGTGGAAAAGAGATTATTGGCTTTTTGGATTATTCCACACAGAACCGTTCTGCTTCCTTGCTGTCCCAAGCTTTGCAACAATCTATGAAAGCGTCGAATAGCATACCCTATGTTAAGTATCAAATGGCAATATTTACATAGGCTTATAAGTACTGCAGAGATGTGACATGCTGAGATATCAGTGCAGCTGATAAGCTGTTGGAGCAAACAAAAACGAGACACTGATGCCATATCTGTTCCTAAACAAGCATCATATCCTACAAAAGTAAACGGTCAGCTTACATTATGCATTATGTACCAACTAGCTTAACTTCAGCCTGTAAATCATATCCTCTCTTTTAAAATCAGCCACAGTTAACGGAGATACGTCTTTGGTCCCGAAGCACGTCTTATCAGTAATCATGTTTGTGCTCTTCGTTCACCTGCAGTGAGCTGATATTCGTTTATGATGCTGTTCTCAATCTAGCCTCTTCTGTGCCCTCATGCTTGTTCCTTATATGCCTCTTAGCACTCGTTCTAACTCTTGCCAGCCTCGCGTGCTGTTTGGGTTAGTACCAATTCCATGAAAACCTTCTAGCTCTGCAGGCCATCGGAGACCTGTCCAAAGATGCCCACCAGCCTGCCCGGCACAGGTTGCCTGCATAATGACAGAAAGCCTCGGGAACACGTCACGTCACAGGTACAGTAGAGTCCTGTCTATACATATTTCAAGGAGAAAGACAAATTACGCTATAGCTTGGTCATGCTGACGAAGACAGGAACGCAGAATGTGCTGTTAATGAGCAGGGCACATGCTACGTGTGTGTGGCATTATAAGGTTATATGACTGACATCACGTGACGTTATAGTCACTTGACCTCGTGATATCAGTCGCATAATGTCATAGAGACGTGACCTTATAACATTGTAGTCATGTTACGTCACATGTCACAGTGTCGTGGGACACCATGAGGGCACAATATCATATGACATCAGGGCATCACATGACCTTATGTCACGTAACAGTGTGACATCATAATGTTACGTGTCACCGTAAAGTCAGTGATGTGACATTATGACGTCACAGTAAAACGACATCACATGGCAGTTTTTGGGGACATGGTCCTTGGTGATAGTTCTTTATATTGATTCTTCATGACAGTTTTATCATAAAATTTGGCTGATAAAGCAGATTTTCTGTGAAGTGTAGCGGGAAAATGTGAAATGGCGGGAGGCTGTGCAGGAAGTGAGAGGGAACAGAACAAGTGTGCGCTTTGGAGCAGACGTGAAATAGCAGGGTCTTAGCTGGGGTACGTGACCGCAAGAGACGTAAGCCTTGCAGTACGCTTTTGCTGGAGCCCTAGCTTTGGTAGGGCTTCCTTGCAGAGATACTACGCAAGATGACGTTTGTGCCATCGAGGCATATATGGCGTTACTGAATCCCATTGAAACACAGTCTCTGTTACCACTATGGCTTCCACGATAGTGCAGAAAAGGGATGAATTTGTTCTTTCCCCTCAATTTTCTTGTTCTTTGCCCTCAGAACGTGTCGTAGGGCTGGGGTTTCCTGAGAAAAGCGACGCCTTACACTCGAACATTCGACTAACGCATCAGTCAAGGTGTCGAATAAGACCACGATGTCATGTGACACTGTAACTCATGTAACACTGACGTCACAGTTACTTGACCTCGTGCAAACGCACGGCATGTGCCCAGCTCATTTGTAAAACATCCATGCAAGACCTATGGTTTTGACGTTTTGTTTTTTTGTTTCTTGCTCCAAATCCAAAATGAAAGGTGAGATTTTGATTGTCACTGATTTGCCTCAATATTAACACATTAATAGGCACATCTAGACTAGTAAACCAAATTACAAATCACAATAATTGTTTTTAAAATTTTTATACTGAAAATCTGGCACCGTGTGTTGTTTTATGGGGGAATGACAGCTTCTTTCCAATAGGTTAAAAGAAGTTTTATGGTGTGAAATAAATGTCGAGGAAGTTAAAATAAGCAAAAAGAAAAGATACATAATGTGCAATATTTCATGTTTTTAGACTGCCTGTTCAACTTGCAAGTTATACAACACGTGACGTCGCTCCACTGGAAAGTGCCTAAAATTTGAATATTGGCTTTGGCATAAGCTTTCTTTGCCGTTTTTTTCAATAGCTATCTTGAATTTAGAGATAATAAGTAGCATGCCGGGGAGAGTAAAGACTGGATATTCCAAAATTGTGTTTAGTTTGGGTAACTCAGAAAATAGCCGGGGCTTCCTTTAACGACGAGCTTTGGTTAAAATAATTAGCCTAGAAGCGCGACCACCGAGGATGAGATGATGGGAGACTGACCGCCTCCCGCAGGGCGCGGAGGCTGTGTACGAGCTGATACGTCGTCAGGACGAGCAGCTTCGAGAGCTCCGGCTCCAGCTGGAGCAGCTGCTCCAACGGCAGGCCAGGGACGACAAGGTGAGCCAATGCATTCAGCATCTCGTGTTCAGCTACCTCCTGCATGCTGAAGCATCCACAGTCCTGACGGCTGGCCGTCAAAAGTTCATTGTAACCGTCATCATAAGACATCGACGATGAGGGCTTAGAATAAACTTTGTCATGTTGCTTTTGTATTCTAGTTTTTGAATTAGCATTTTCTCTCATGCATTTCATTGAAAGTGGTAGGCTTTTCCTCTAGAATGGTGTTTTAAAGGCAAAAGCAACTTCTCAGGAGAGGTGAATCTCCCAATCACTGTGGTTTGGTTGGACAGCTGGCACTTTCTAGTGTGCAATTAGTAAGAATAACCTAGCTCTCTGCATGTGGTCACTTGTTCTACTTTCTTATGATGAATTTGTGCACTGGTATAGTCATTGAAAGGGCAAGAACGGCACGGCGTGTCTTTCGAATGCCTCCAGCACGCGCTCGCTTTTCGCTTCGGCTGTTCTGCTCGCGTGTTCTGGGCTGATGAGGTGCCAAAGTGTAATCGAAGGTAGGAAGCTCGCACTGGAGGCCCTGCCATTCTCATTCTGGCAGTCTGTGTCTTTCATTGTTGTGTGGGCCATCTTGTTGCTAGGCGGCCGCAGTGTGTCTTTGACGCTCCCTAAAGTGGCACACTGTTTACTGCAGTTATTTCCATCTCCTGTCGGTTTCTCGATCAAGCCCGACTGCCGATCGGCTGTAGGGCTACATTCAGTTTTCATCCTGAAGGTGCGAGTTTATTGAGGTCATGAATGTGTATATTAACTTTTCCTCCGAAAATTGCAATTTTGGACAGTCCACGAATCAGGCTTTTATATTTTCGTAAGTAAAAAAAAACAATGCGGAATGTAAGTTTGTCTGCTTCTTGCACAGGCATTGCAATGATATCAGAACACCAAGCTCTTATTGATTGATTGAAAAAAGGCATCTAGCACTGAGGCCTACCCACCATCGTTTCAATCAAAACCAATAAGAACTCGGTGCCGTTCTGACGTCACCATAGCCCCTGCACAAGAGGCAGACGACTTGCTCTTCGCATAGCTTGTCTTTCTTATACAACATTTTCTGGCAAAACAAATCTGGGAAAAATGCATTGATAGTTTGAAATTTAGGTTTCTTTATTGTTTGAAGGTACCTTGGGCATTTAAATTCTACCTGGAGTGTGGTGAGCACCTTCCTTTTTAAAGTTTCGTATTTCCCCTGGCAATAGCTTTCAGCTTGCCTCATTTGTGGGGGAACTATCTTTGGTAGCAGGCATTCCTTGACAGATAAACAGCAGAGAATGAGGAGGCAGACGACACAAAGAAGAGCGGCGCAGAGTAGCAATGCAGTCTGAAGTGGACAATCCTGTTGAAAGCGCACGGTAAAAAATAACACAGTATGACATTGCTGGGCACAATCAACTGTAAGCCCCGTTTCGGGTGTCAACCAGTGAGATTGCTTGTGCCATGCTTGCTGCATTTTTAAAGGGCAACACTACTTTTAGAGGTATTTTTATATGACTTGTGGTTTATTTCAAGTCAAACTTACATACCGTATTTACTCGCAGAATGAACGCGCTGTTTTTTCTGAAAAATCGATGCAAAGTTGGAGGGGGCGTTCATTATGCGAAGTAAAACTTTTGCGTCCGTATTTACTCGCATAATGAACGGACCTTTTATCCTGAGAAATCGAAGGAACTTCTTATCTCTTTGCGCGCGGCGCCCGACCCCCTTAACCAAACTAAGATGTGCAAAAAAACAACAAAAAAAAAAACTGTTTTCTTTTGCTTTTAACTCTTTGGGTGTTTTTTTTTTTTTTTTTGCCGCCTTTCGCAAGCTGTTTTGTTCGCTTAGGCGTTGCTTAGGCGAGGGCTCTCCGCTTATCTTTCTTATCTCCTTGCGCGCGATGCACGACCTCCCATAACCATACTGCGCTGTGCAATAAAAAAGAAAAAAAAAAAGCTCCTCTGTTTCTTTTGTTTTTTCTCGGTTCCGTAGGTTTTTTTTTTTTTTTTTTTCTTTTTGCCGCCTTTCGTAAGCTGTTTCCTTTGCTTAGAGGGCTTCTCCGCTCCTCTTTTCTTACCTCCTTGCGCGCGGCGCGCGACCCCCGTAACCAAACTGCGCTGTGCAAAAAAAAAAAAAAGAAGAAAAGAAAAAGCTTTTTTTTTTGTTTTCTCTTAGTGCCGTGCTTTTTTTTTTCTTTTTGCCGCCTTTCGCAAGCTGTTTCGTTCGCTGCGCATCTCCGCTTCTCTTTCGTACCTCCTTGCGCGCGGCGGCGCGCGAACCCAAAGTCCAGACTGCGCTGTGCAAAAAAAAAAAAAGTTCCTTTTTATGTTTTTTTTTTGCTTCCCTTGGATCTTTGCGAATTTTTTTAACGTTTCTTACAAGGCGTTTCGTTGTTTCGTTCGCCCACCCTGCCCATGCATTCGCGACCTCCCTGCACCAGGATATAAAAGTGCGTTCATTTCGTGCGGTGGGGGGAGGGGGTCAAAATTTTGACGTCCGAGTTGGGGGTGCGTTTATTACGCGAGTGAAAAAAAAGTCGAAATTTTGAGCGCCGACTTGGGGGGGGGGGGGGGGGGTGCGTTCATTACGCGAGTGCGTTCACTACAAATACGTACTTGGTTTCTTAATTTTGTTAATACTCAAAGTATCATTTGCTAAAGTTATGGGAAAGTTTAAGACAAATTAAAATACTTAAATCATAAAAGTAACATGTCTCAGTAAACTGAAAGGCCTCTGCAATCCAATAAGGTTTAATTGAGAGCCCTATGATGATTAATAAATTTTTTATGACACTTCTGAGTGTTCTAGTTTCAGTTATTTACTGCAGGATGTAAAAATATATCTAAAAAATACCTGGTGCCATATTTTATAACATATACTCATTATTAGATATTTCATTATTAGAAAGAAAAAAATGAAGATTGGATGTGTGCCAGTGGAGATATGGCTCCCATAAAATCGCAAAGTGTGTAAATAGTTCATTCTGAAATAATAGCACTAAACATGTGCAGCCTTATTTTACTATGTTCTCAAATCAATATTTCAAGACAAACGAGACTTATCACACGAAAAGACTTCAGGACAAGATGGCAAGTGCCCGTCAATGTTCAAAAATTCAATTTCAAAAGTGTGAATTTTTTAGCATTTTTTGCCTTAAAGTGCAGTGTCTTCCCTGATATGCTGTAGCATTTGTTATGGCATTCTCATATGTGGCACGAAACGATTAGGGCTCCTCTAGTTATCTACCTCTTCTTATCTCATACATGCGCACGGGTCACGACATGGGCACCGTCAAAGTGCGGGTGTCGCAATAGAAAGTTGCCACAGTGGATGCATGCACGTTGCTCTCAGCTCTGCTCAATGAAAGAAGTCAGACCCTCACTGGAAGTGCTCCGGTCCTCTTCCGACTGCCTCGCAAAGCCACGAATGAAGTCGAGAAACAAAGCATCTCTATTGATTGGAAATGTGCATACATTTTACGCTCAGTTATCCGGTACAGGGTTCATCTCAATATGATCGGTACAGTATGGCATTCGTAGAAAAAACGCCGAAGTGCTGTTCCATTTCAGTGTAGTCTGCAGCAAAACACAGCCCCGTGCTTTTTTTTGTCTAAACATACTTCTTGGTTGTCAGTATCCACCAACGTGAAAAGCTTCAACCCCCCCCCCCCCCCCCAACTGACTAGACTGAAGGGTGCTTTCTAACAAGGGTAAGATGTTATGGCTATGTTGAATGAACACAAAGCAGTCCTAATTCAATAAAGTGAAAACTTGTTACCTTCTCTTTCAGTAGGTCGCCAGCATGTCGAAAATACTGTTTTGTGAAATGAATCTTGCCTGTTTATAAACTACACCATATTTTCCGGTCTATAAGTGGTACCTTTGTATAAGTCACGTCTCTATAGTGTACGGTCGGCACAACAAAACTGCACTGAAAAATTATGCATATGTGTATTATGATAGCATTATATGCGCAGGCGAGAGCAAGTTTCAATATCCTGGTCGTTGAATGGAACGAGAAACATAATCCCTGTGTCAAATTTCTACAAAAAACAAAACAAAACAAAAATGCTTGTAAGTCTCGCTATTGTATAAAATGCACCGGCAAAGATTTTGGAATAAAACTGCAACTTATACACTGGAAAATATGGTAATCTTTTTGAAACCATGCTTTGGAAGTTAGTAGACCTAGATACATCATTTGTTTCACATAAGGATTTGAATTTGAGGCCATAAATGAAGCCACCGTACATTCACTCTGTTGCTCCCCTGTGCCTGAGCCGCTTTGGAAGGCAAGACTTGCGGCTTCCCAGGCTATTCAGGCTGGGCGGGATGCATGGACCCAGACAAGCAGGCCAGGGGTGTGCTCCAGGGCCAGCCAGACGACCTGCAACCAGCGCAACCTGGCATGCAACCAGGCATGCAACCAGGCATGCAACCAGGCATGCAACCAGGCATGCAACCAGGCATGCAACCAGGCACGTAATCAGGCACGTAATCAGGCATACGACAAGACATGCAATCAGATTCACAACCCGGGCGGCAACCAGACTTGCAACCCGGCCAGCCCTCGAGAGCCGTACACCGTTTTCTTCCCCGAGAAGCTCACACCAGGGGCTATGCACCACAGGTCAGTCACATCAATGTACCTAGATTTCCTAATCTGGAGTCTTTTTCTCATGTTGTGGGGAAAGTTTACCGTAGATACAAATTAAGGCACCAGAGGCGCGCCGCTGACGTGAGGAGTCGCTCGGAAAACCTTATGGATGGGCACGGGTTGGGCGGAGAAAGTTGCTGGATACGTCTACTCTCATAAACCCCACGAACCAGCCGAAAAGGTGGATGATTTGAAGTACCATCTACCTATACTTTGGATCTAGGGGGTCATGATATTTCGGAATCTAGGGGGTCATGATATTTCGGAATAAAGGGTTCTAGATCTGCTTTTAAAATGCATAAAAATGTTTCAAAATCTTTTTTACTTTTTATTTTTTTGTGGATCACTGTTGCTTGTGGCGAGTCGCGACAACATTTACTAGGGTGATAACGACCGCAATACCGTAATACATTTTGAACCTCATAAATTCCACAATTTTGCAGGGACCAGGCAACAGGCAGAAGTCCGCTGCTTCCAGACAGGCCGACACCTGCCGCATCTCCGGCACTCCTCCAAGGCAGCGCCAAGGCAGCAAGGTGGGGAAGCCCTCTTTCTGCTCACCCTTCAGTCATTATTTATTCATAAATATGCATTATTAACTACAAATAGTGCTAAGGACGCACAAAAACACAAAGATGGGACTAGCACAAATTCACAACTGGCATTTTATTGCACTTGCAAGAGAAGAGAAAGATGGAAATAGTGATAATCAAAAGACAAAAGGGACAAGAGACCCAAAGAAAAATAGGAAACTAAGAAGCCAATGCAGTTTCAGAAGAAAAAGTAGGATGATTAAGATATATCATTGAAGTGAATGTAAGGGCACAAACGAGATGGTTCAAATGCAACATGACATAATCCTCGAGACTGCAGGTAAAAACAACACAAACACTAAAAGGTCTCGATTGTCAAGACCTCTTATTGTTTGTGTCATTTTTGCCTGCTGTCTCGGTGTTTGTTATGTTGGAAAATATATCAGTTCTTTGTCAGTTAATTTCACAAAATATTGTATGTAAATACTACACACTGGGTCAGTTTCTGCAGGATTTTGGCAGGAACAGTGAATCATGTTAAGTGTCTTCACCGTTTCATTGCTACATGTACATGGGTTTGGGGATGAAGTCATTCTGGTTGTTTATGGCTTTGTTCCACCATTAGATTATGCTCCCACCAGTGCCAAATGCATTTACCAAATGCTGTAAAGGTGCAGGGTTCCAATAATGCAAGATTCTAAACAAAAAAAGATTTATAGCAGGCAATTGTGTTGCATACGTGAAACATTCTTGCATCACAAACATTTAGCGATACTCCGACTTTCCAGACTTCAGACGCCTACGTTCAGATGCCTACCCCTCAAACTTTCAGACTTCAGACGCCTACTTCCTCAGATAGTTTAATGCGCACCATGTGTACACTTGATAGATGTTTCTAGAATGAAGCGACACTACCGCTGATCAGGCTGATAAACCTGGAGATCTTCCAAAGCCTTCCATACTCTCGATCTCCAAGGTGAGACTGCCAGGACATCCAATGCCGACTGGACAAATTCGCGGCCGCAGGTTGGAGGGCACTGAGACGCTGATCGTGCCCCGGCTGGAGTACCAGAGCCTGCGGCTGGTCAGCGGGGAGCTGGCTGCTCCCTGCAGCCCCCAGGGGGCGCTGTCTGTGGCCACCCAGCGCTACCTGCACCAGTACGGCCTGCTGGACCCCGAGAGTGCCCTGGACGAGGGACCCATCCTGGACATCAGTGCCCTCAAAAAGCTGCCCAAGCTGCTCTGAGCGTGTGGGGGCACGCCCTGTTCAAGGCGAGTGTGCAGTCTGACCACTGCAACCTGTGCATCCAGTCGAATTAGTGCATCTGCACCAGCACGTCCACAGTCGCACCGGTGTGTTCTGGTCGCACCGGTGCATTTGCCCCAGTGTGTCTACAGTCGCAACAGTGCATCTGCAATGCATCCACAGTTGCTCCAGTGCATATACAGTCGCACCAGTGCATCTACAGTCGCACCAGTGCATCTACTAACTCGCAACAGTGCATCAGCATTGCAGCAACAGTTGCTCCAGTGCATCCAAAGTCACACCAATGCATTCACAGCTGCACCAGTGCATCTGTCCTAGTGTGTTCAAACTCACGACAGTGCATCTGCAGAGCATCCACAATTGCTCCAGTGCATCCATAGTCACACCAGTGAATCAAAAGCTGTACCTCTGCAGTGCATCCATGGTTGCACTAGTACATCTGCACCAGTGCGTCCACGGTCGCACAAGTCACCTGCAGCCATGTGCCTGTGGCCGCACCAGCTTTGCGACTGGAAGTGCCAGTAGCCTCAAGAAACATGGAGATTGTCCTAGAGCTTAGCAGAGAGCATGCATGGGCCATTCCTTGGGTCTACCAGAGGTGGTGGCAGTTGCTGCGTTCAATTTATTTAGGCCAGATGCACTTGGTGTGCACACTGCCGTATTTGATTGTCAAAACAGAACTGGAAGTACATTTCCCTGTGGTTTTCTGCACCAATGCAGGCTGGCACAGGTACGTCGAACGAGCCTATACTTCGTTTCAGCTTAAGTCCAGACGCAGCCGATGCTGCAAGCACCAGCTCGGGGCTTTCAGCGCTTCTCCTGCCAAGCACGCGCACTTGTAGCATCGGCTGCATCTGAGCTTAAGCTGAAACGAAGTATAGCTGTGCGATTGTGTGGCAGCATTGTTGGAGACAATATTTTAACAATTTTACAATATATACTTTAAAAAATTTGCAGGGTTTAATTTTTACATTGTTTATTTTGCCAAAATAGAAAACGCCATACTTTTGAAATATCAAGAACAGAACTGTTTTGCGATTTGCATTAGCAAGAAGAAAAAAAAGTGTTGTTTAGTCAATTAATCATGTTGTTCAATAAATAAAAAAAAAAATTTTGGTCACCACACAATAACATTCACTCTTCTGACCGTTTCAAGAAGATCATTTTTATCCCCGTTGTCTAATTTCAATGGAAACTTGTAATCTGTCGAATTCTGATCTTCTCTTGCATGTATGGATAGTGTAAATTCTTTTATTGTACAAGTTCCTTTATCGTGCACTACCGTGAAATCCCGAGCAAGGGCCCACTCAAAATTAAGAAATAATAATGTAAAACTGGGGATGGGCGCTTCTTAGGTCAACAATATGTAAAGATATGTCTTGTGTATATATCCTAATACAAAATTGAGGGGTGGGCACTTAGGTCAACAATATGTAAAGATGTGTCTTGTGTATTTATCCTAATGCTACAAAATTGAGGGGTGGGCGCTTGTGGAATGGGCGGACGCTTTGTATTTTACGGTAAGTGCTTCCTGGCTTTTCACTCTTCGCAAGATTTTGTTTAAAGCATGTAGACATGTTTTCAATGCTAGGACAAAGAAACTATTTTTGCACGAGCAGAGAGAATAAAACATCTTATTTATTGCAATGCACACTAATTGGCTTTCACTTTAGTTTGGTTACGTACTTGCACAGGTAGGCGGTGATCCGGTGTTATTGTGTCGTTCTTGCAGTGTCTCTTGATCTCACACGTTTGTCTCTTTGGCCACTGCTGTAAATTTAATTGCTTTTGCTATTGAAGCTGTTTTAGCCCCATGTTTACTTCTACAAAGGTAAAAAAAATCCCTGTAACTGACCAATATATTTGTCTACAAGATTGAGAAACATTCAAAGCTAGTTATTACGCTGAAGTTATTCGTAATATTTGCTTATAATCGAGTACACGGAGTAAATGCATCCACGTTTTCCGAAATTCATTACCGGATGTCAATTTTAGACTGGATGCCGTCTGCTTCAATTATCATCAGCCCACAAGTGCTGGCCGGGCCCCTAGCAGACATTACAATTACGCCGTGGTTCTCAGAATAGAGCTAGCTCTAGTCTCATTAAAAACATCCAACAGTTTGGTGGCGGGCCACGGGTGAGGGGAAAAAGCGCGCCGTACCCAGTGCTAAATCAGTGCTCGCCGCATCTGAGAACCGGGCTTTACCAGGAATGCTAGCTGGCGGAAAAGTGTGGTTTTTCTCACAGGTGTTTTCGAAAGGCAAGAAAGTAAAGGTGGTTTTTTGTTGGTACAGTCAAATCTCATTAATTCGAAGGGGACTGAAAATTTGTTTGAATAAAGCAAAGCTTGAATCACCGGGAGTTTCCTCCCATAGACACGCGTAGGATGGGACCTGTATATTAGTTTGAATTAAGAGAGTTTGCATTAACGAGATTCAACTGTACCTTTTTTTCCACTTTGGCACAGTAGCGTCTGGTAATCACTGCTGCTTGACATGTGCATTTTTCCACAACATGGAAGACATATTGCCAAGGCTCTTTTTGCGGTGCTGCTTTGAGGCTCTTCAGTTTTAGAAAGTGTAGGAGAAATATTTATTTCCTCACCCCAAACAATACGGGCCCTACCAAAGCGAATCCTGCGCAGCCGCCCAAAACTGCCACGTCGACTGGGTCTTTCATATTGTAGGGGAATGTACACCCGTGAGCAATATGAAGGTGAACAGCCCTCTGGGGCACTGACTCAGTTTGGAGCCTGCCAATAGCATTTCAAAGTAGAACGCGAGTGGGCACCAATATCATGTCAATATCAACAGCGTCGCGCACTGTACATGACACTGTGTCCAGCATCAGAACAAAACAATGCTAAAAAATTAATCCCAAACCAGTAGGTTTAGCCCGAGTCACTGCTTGGGTCACTGCAGGCGAGCCACAATGAGACAATGCAAGTGGGCTTTTGGAGAAAGCCGACGTCTGCCACTTGGTTCTTTCGTGATAACTTCACTTAAAATTTAGTCGCTCCTACTGGAAGTGCGCAAACTCGCAAAATTTGATTTGCAGCATACTTTTATTGTTCAAAGTGTTGCGAGTTCTTCGTATATTCGAAAATTAGGAAGGAATGTCTTCAGAATTTCTGTTTTTGATCTCAAGCTTCCCTGCTTTGCAGCAGTGGAAAGCTTTAGCACTTCGCATTGGTGCACGTATGTCAAGCTCTACTGTTTTGCATCGTTGTGCTAGGAGAAGCAGCCGACGTGTTTGGGTCCAACAAAGGGCGTCCAGCACAACCAACAAAGGGCATCCCAGCTGTGGACCAAGGATTCATTTTGACCGCCTGGGGATCTTCGACGTTTAACCGAAATCTTGTCTACACAGCATCCGGCGGATGTCAGGGGCTGTGTAACCACGGGGGTCATGGAAACTTTGCCTACAAGTATAGATAAGCATTCTCAAGCTGCATTAAAATAAAGGTAGTCATTGCCTCGCCTTCCAAGTTTCATGTTTTACACAAACTAATCTTAACGGGACCTTTCTTTTCATGCAAGCACTGAAATGTTTCTCATGTAATACAATTTTATTTTCCTGAGTATTTTAGAAAACTCCAGTCATGATTCATTAAAACATCCAAGCTCAATTCAGATTATCTAGAAGATTCATATTAAAATTTTATTTGCATTCAAACTCTAATGGCATTTGAAATTGTGATGTTTGCACATATCTAGCTCATGTCACAGCACAGAATAGTAAACAACTAATGGTTCACTATCTTAGGTTAAAGACGTGCCTGTGTAGTCCCTTGTTTTATATTTTAAATGTGCCCGCAGCTTGAGCTGTGGGAACATTTTAAGGTGAAGTAAAACTGAAATGTAATGCTTACGTAAGTTCATACATGGCCTTGTACTGTTTGCATAGTTTGTTATTGTGAAGTGTAGTAGTGGAAAAGCCTAACAGTTGAGTTTTCTCCGCATTCCCGCACTGCATACGATCGAGAACGACATATTCCACTTGAGTGACTAGCAACTTGTTTGTTGATATTTTATTGTGTAATAAAATCTACACTAATTGTGATAAAACTGAAAGTGGTGAATACGTAATCTCGCGCTTAGGGGTCCACTTACGTGCAAGGCACTGGGAACTTTGAACAAGTGAGAGTTTTAAAAGGTCAGCATATTGGGAGAATACATTACGGTTCCACTGCCATGTCACGTGATTTACGTACATCGCATCTTACGACTATTATAAAGGGCTGCACGGGAGGAATGCCTGCTCACCAGGGGAGGGTCAATGCCCGCTCGCTTACACACAGTATCGTCGACCCAAGCTGGTGAACTGACTGGGAATTCAGTGGTATGCTCCTTGCTCAATGCTACCACTGTACTCTGTTCACCCCTAAGCTGAGTGCGGTGGAAAGGGTGGAAACTACACACTTGCCAGACAAATCAACCGACTAGTTTTTATCACCTGGCCTATCACGTCTGTCTTTTGCCACGTGATTGCCACATAGCAATTGGACATGAGCACAGCGCCGCAGTTTGGAAAGGAGCTCGACATTGAAGCTAGAGATCGGGTCCAATTGTTGCGACTGCGTTGAAAATATTATCCATAAGATGGCGCCACCTGTTAACCAAACTTCACTGCCCGGTGGGTATACCGGCCAACATTTCCAGTTAAGAAGGCAGTAGCGGTGATATTTTTGGCATCCCCTGCATTGCGGTCGTCACCGCACTGCAGCCAGCACCGTTGATGACTTGCCAAAACTCCCTAGTGTCAGTGGCGCCTAACACGGCTTCGCCTCTTGGGTGTCCCCAGATCTTGCTACTGTGGAACAAACACGCCAACAACCGTCGACGTTTTAATATGAAACCATTAACTGTCTCATGGAGCGAGCCGACGTCATCAGTTTGAAGCGTGAAATGGCACCTTAAGTTCTTTCTCCAAGTAAAGCCAGCTCCCAGCTATGAAATCACGCTCCTAGCTATGAAACCTAGACACGGCACCTAGTTTTCCCGATCCTAAAGGAGCAAAGTCAAGCTGATGTATTTTCGGCTTCGGTCCCATTGGCTGGCGCGCGTCGACGAGGCTCCCATTGGCCGCTGCACCTCAGTTTCAACGATCGCTCGCCCGATGGCGCTGCGTGTTCGCGAGGCAGCAGCTCCATCGCTCCATGCCCAAGGTCAGCGTGCCATACCCCACAGACAAAAGAAAGGAGCAAAGAGCGGCGAGCATGCTTCCGCATTCACAACTTATAAGAAGTGCTTACGTGTACCTCGAGCCTTCTATTTTTATGTTTATGTTTGTTTTTATTTTGGTGTGTTTGTTTTTGTTTTTTTCTTAAAATTAATGTTTAGCAGCAAGAAAAAAAAAACACACACACAAAATACATCTTTAGCCTCTTGGCAAAGTTGGATGTACCGTAGAATACCGTGCATCCGCCCATACCCAAATTTGTAAGATCTGGGAAAATATGCACAGTCAAACTGATGACCGGACAAGCACCCATCCCCCATTTTTTCGTGATTATCTCTCAATTTTGAGTGGGCGCTTGCCTGGTATTTTACGGTAATCAGTTTCACCTTTAGATTGATGTTCCATGATCACGGTGGAAGAAACACATTTAGGTGATGACTCTAGGCGCTCTTCCCGCAGGGAGCGAGCGACCAAATCGTGTTCGAAGCTAGCCTCGAACCAGTAGTTAGTTCCGCACCGCCACGGAGGGCGCCGAGGTATGAGGTCCCTTCTTGGCGGCCACGGTGTCATGTCACGGCTCACTTTATAGTGCTTCCATCATGCACTATAAAGTGAGCCTAAACCCGAAAAAAAAGAAGAGAACAGAGATTTACGGACTCTAGTGACTTGGTGTTGGCGGTGAGGTACAAGAAGCGGTGAGCGAAAGAATGCGGGACCACCGCTGGGAGCAACAACCGGAGCGGTCAGTTTGGGAGGGATTCCATACTTGGGCGCCATCTATCCCCGTGTGAGTGAAGCGCACTTGGTGCGCCAAACATAATGTGGCCGCCGCGTCGGACAGAGTCGTCACCTAAATGTGTTACTTCCACCGTGGGTCAACAAGAAGCGGTGAGTGAGGGAATGCGGGACCACCGCTAGGGAGAAACAACCGGAGCGGTCGGTTTGGGAGGTACCAGATACGGGGGGGGGCTGCAGAGAGATCTGTTATCGCGGACACATGCGACGTCATGGGTGAAGCATAGCCCAGATGTATCTGGTTGACCCGGTAATAGCCATTTCACCAAAGACAAAACATGTCTTCCTCAACAAAAGCTGGTGTATGTAAATTTTTCCACAAGAAAAATGCACCCTATAGAGGCTAAGAGAGGGGGGCCCCCTGACTTTTCCAAGGGCGACTTTTTAGGGATTTAAACAGAAACGGCCAAGGGGTACAGGTGCCAGCCGAATGCTGACGCGGCATTGGTGTCCAATCTGTGCCATCGGGTGACCTCTGGTGGGCGACATAGGAACTCCAGCACTACGACAGCAGAGTAGCGTGGAGTAGCGCAATCTAGAACGCCGCCCCTCTGCGACTAGTGGCGAACGCCCGGAGGTTCCAACTGCGGTCAGAAATGCAAGGAGAACGTGAGAAAATCGTTGTTTCTTCAGTATTATGGGAATGTACGGAATGGCAATCGTTTTTGACATAAGAATGGGACATTCTAGAATAATTTGCGCTAAGTTTTGTGCCCCGCAAGGACCTGCATTTTTTTTTTAAATTGCTTGAGCGGCATCATGCAGCAGACGACACGGGGACGTCACACCATTCACGTGACCCGCTCCGGCCAACCCGAAAAGCCCATCTCCGCTGCGAGCAAAAATCGTCTGCTTCAAACGCCATTGCCTTGGAAATTGCCTTCTCAAAATTTGCGCACGCATCCGATATTATTAAAACTTTCATAAAGTGTTTGGTGCTTTACTAACTTCACGACAGACTATTTTTGAAAAGTGTGAACTCGGCGTTTATTTTTTAATTAGCCGTGTTGTATCGATCTCCATGTATTGTCCCATAGGGCGGGCCGCCTCCTGGAACCCTGAGTACCACGTGACTCGCGCCGAGCCGCTCTGTCGGCCATGTTGTCGGCAAAACACGGGGTTCAAAGGATTGCGCTACTCTGCTCCGTAGGAGCTATATAGTGCTCTAGCTACAGCAGATCAGATTCCGGCACGGAGTCTGATCAAATGTTCACGAGAGGCGAAAATGGAAAAATGAAAGAAAAGACCTCGTCGCCAAAATGTAATGGTCGCGTGGGGCCATTACGGGTGGGTGGTAAGAGACAGGGAAAGCTAGGATAAAGACAGCGCCCCGAAAGGCCTGTAGAGATGCTGAAAAGGCTTACATTGCCGTGGCGCGTGGGACGCGAGATGGTCGCTGGCTGGGGACCAAGCGGGCACACCGGTAAAGGAAGACACGGCACGCCAGCTCGGAGTTTCGATCAAGACTGTTTCTATTTACAATATCTACATCAATCAGCGCGTGCCGCTGTCAAGCACGCGCTGCTCAAATGCAGAGATCTAGATTATTTACAGCACACTACAAGGAGGTCTCAACCACTGTGGTTGCAAGTAGGGATGCCGCGAACCACCCGAGGTTCGATTCGAAAGGTTCGATACTTTCGAACTGAACTGATGCTCGATTTCGAAAGGTTTCGATATTTTCTACCGTACGGAGATTCGAATTCGAAAAATTCGCAACTTTCAAAAATCGTGGAGTTTCGAATTCGAAAAGTTCGAAGCTTTCACGGTTTCTAAAAGTTCGGGTTTGATAATTTCGAATATTTTTTTACCTGAGGTTCGAGAAATCAAAGATTTCGAACTTACCCTCACTTGAAATTCGAAAGTTTCGAATTTCTTTGAATCTGAAATTCGAAAAATCGAACGTTTCGATTTCTTATAGACATAAAGTTCGATAAATTCGAAGATTTCGAATTTCTTTCTACATAAAGTTCGAAAAGTTCGAAGGTTTCGATTCTCTTTTAGCGCTAAATTCGAAAAAGAAACAAAAAATAAAACAACTTAGGTTTCGAATTTCTTTCGTGTCCAAGTGAGCAAAGTTCGAAGTCCGGTTTTCATGTTCCGCCACAGTTTCAGTATCAAATAAAGGCCCGTTCACACTCTTGCATCCTGGTAGACCGAGAGAGACCAGACCAATTTTTAACCCTCTTGCGATCTCTTAGGACCAGCTCTGCTGCAGCGCATCCAATCCTAAGAAGTCGCCAAAGGCTTAAAAACCGGTCTGGTCTCTCTCGGTCTTACTCGGTCCCAAGAGTGTGAACGGCGCTTAACGTTTTCACGCCTCACTGGTTTTCACGAAATCAGGTTTAGAAAAGTTCGGGTGTGATACTTAAGGCCCGTTCACACTCTTGCGACTGCTTGCGACCTCTTAAACCTGGGTTCCTTAAAACTTCTTAAACCAGAAAACACACTGGCGCCATCTATTGGGAAGCAGTGTAAACTCGGCGGTCCGGCATATTTCTTTTTATTTCTCGCGCAATATCCTTTCTTTTTTGGCTCGAAAAACTTTTGTCAATGTTATAAACGAGCCTTTCTATGGGTATTACGCACATTTGACCTCGGAAATCCCGCAAAACCTTTGCTTTTGTGAAATGCAGTTCTAGGGTCACCGCATAGATGGCGCCACAATGTCAGTGTGTTCCCTCATTCTAGAAACATTTAAAGGGATACTTTAACAAAATTTGAAATGTTCCCGTCGTGTTCAAAAATAGGTTGAACATGATCCACAATATCCGTAAATGACAATCGCACGTTTGTATTTTGATCCTGGTGGCTGTATTTTTCGTTATAAACGGCCCACTCTGGCAAGCGCTCGGAGAAGGCCCAGCTTAGAGCACGTGACATCTAACGCATTGCTTTGCGGCGCTTTGGAATATGTGCCTAGTGCATGCCTACCCTAACCAATCTGTACCCGTGCACAATCATCTAGAACACTCTTATCTAGGTCAAAAAATATCTGCTCATGCGAAGCTGACCGTAAAAAAGAGGAACACACCATCTTCGCCGACCTAAGACATAACGGTTATACAAGCAGCTTCATCCGCCGAATTGCCCGTGATCAAGCCCGAGATCGCCGACACCTACAACTCCCAACAAGTACACAGACCCGTCGCACCTCACGCATCAGCGTTCCTTACATGAAAGGTACAGGCGAGGCGCTGGCACGTCTACTCGCCAAAGAAGGGATCCAGGTGGCCCACAAGCCGATGTCTACGCTTGGAAGACTCATGCCCCGTCCAAAGGATCGCCCGCCTAAGGAAAAAGCACAAGGCGTCGTTTATAAAATTCCATGCGTGGACTGTCCGGTCACATACATCGGGGAAACGAAGAACTTTCGGGAGTGAATCCGCCAGCATATGAACGATGTTCGAAAGTTTGACCATGAACGAAGCGCCGTAGCCGAGCACTGCGACGTCAAGGACCACAAAATTGACTTTGCCAACACCAGCATCCTGGCTGTTGAGACCAATCCCAGACATAGACTTTTTATAGAATCTTGGCACATACAAACAACGCCAGAAAACATAAATAGATCCCTCGGCACTCTGCCGACCGGCTACGTGAACGGACTTTGCCACCTCACCAATGCAAAACGATAGACACTGCCGTAGAAGAAGAAGAAAACAGATTACTGCTCCTTAACGGCCATAGCCGCAGTCAACCCCCGAAGAAGAGACCGAGCTGGTCTCAAAACGTAGGGTTTTGCCTTTATACGAGGATTTGGTTGGTGTATATTTTATTTATTATTATTGCTTCTCCCCAACCAGAGAGACTTCTCTCAAATGTTCACCTTCACAATCATCTCCATACTACCTCACCCCCTTCCTCCTCATGCCTTCCATCTGTCAGTTGGAAGAGCTAGACCGCCCAACCCCGGGAAGCACAGCCGACACTATGGCCCCAATTAGCGTCACACATTCTTAACGTCGCAGGGACCATGCTGCTGCCCTCACTACCAGCATCTTTTTGACCACTGATGAGACGCAGATAATGCGGACGAAGCATCATTGTAAATAAAATTTATCTCTCTCTCTCTCCTAGCTGTTAGCGTAACGCCTCCAATTAGATAAAAGTAATTGGTTTTTCGGCTGAATAGGTACAAGCTCAGCATGTTAGATTTCCTCGCACCTTAGCATGGACTAACCACAAAGGCTGTGCAAACATGAGATGGTAGCCTCGACTGCCTTCACAGCGCTCGCACTGAATGAGCGCTCGTGCAGCCGCCATGGCGTGATCCAAAGCAATTAACTCACACTTGTACAATCTGTGGCAACAGCCCATGCTAAGGGGATACAAAGTATAGAAAACTGCAGCTCCAGCCAGAAAATAAATTGTTCTTTATGTTGCAGAGAAATGGTCACACTGGACATAGGCACAACATCGCAAGCGAAAACATGATATGTCAACCCTTTCCTTTGTCGTTCAGGTTTTGCTGACAGCTACACGCTCATCAACAAGGCCTGGTCATCTCCAAGAAAGCCATCTTGTCTACACTGTTAGCAAGTCCCGTGTATTTGGCGAATATTTGGGGTGAAAAACACGCTATTTACACAAATTACCATAAATTTACACGATGAGTAACGGATAATTCGTTCAGAAATCATGCGAGGTTGTAAGAAACGTGTTTTGGTTCGGTCATACACGCATAACCGTGTAGCCGACCTCGATAACACGCATCGCCCCCGGCGACGACCGCGGCATTGCCGGCTATCGAAGCACCGGAATGCTCGGGGACACACTTAGAAAGGACCGTCGAGACAAATGCCGCGGAAAGAAACATGTCTCGGAGACAGATATGCACCAGAAGCAATTGCGCCATGTCACAGGACGTTGGCGAAACCCGCGCTTACCGTGCTCGCCGCCATCTTCTGGTCGATGGCAATGCGGCTTCCCTCATGTCGCCCATGTTTGTATTTAGTTTAGGGGTCCTGATAACAGTTTCTTAGACACCACAAATAAAGTCACGGGTCTAATTATTCGTTCCAAACAGTTAAAACGGATATAAAAAGCGTGTCCTCGATGTAAACACGTGACATTGCAGTTGGTTTAGTTTTTGCTTCAACCTTCAACTGCAAGCGATCTGGCCACGGCGCAAGTGCAACGCCGATGTACGCTGGAAGCAAGCGCCGGTTGGCTTTCGTTGTTTCTGTTTGACCGGAGAAAATCTGGCAAGTACGCATGGCGCCGCTACTGTTTTGGTTTGACGGGACGCGAGAAGCTTCGCATAGAGCTTCGGAGTTTGCGAGCACATAGTGAAGACGTGACCGGAGAAGTGCCCCTGTGATGTTCCTGGAGGACGGAAAGTAGCATTCGTAATCGTCGTGTGTGCTTTGAAAGCGAAGGGAGTCACAGGGTCCACGAGTTTGCAACCACAAGCTAAGGTTCACGACAGCGCGGCGTTGACTTCGGCGATCTCGTTCTGTTTGGTGCAACCCGGCGATGCGAAAAAGAGCTGAAACATTCGTCGTGTGTGGTGCGGTGCTTTGTATTTCGGGTCTGTATGAACCACGCTTTTAACACAGAGCGCAAATTGTTTGTTGCGTGGTGGAGGTTCAACGGGTACAGTCCCGTCGTCGTCAGCTGATCCGGTCCAGCTGGTCCGGGAGGACGCAGCGAGCGTTTTTAAAAGTAAATCTTCCTTCGTTCCGTTTCAAACTGTGGAAGTATCCCGACACATACCGTGAGTAAGAAGCAGCGGGCGTTTTCAACAAAATTACGTTGTTTTAATCGAATAATGAGCTCCGGATTGTTGTCTTAAATCTGCCGTTTTTTATGCTTCGTGTTGGACTGCGTTTGCATAGCGACGCACACCGCTCGAGTAGATGATTCGGTTCCTGCAACGAGTTTGTTGCGCCAATCATGGGGCGTGAATAAATTAGGGCAAGGTTTCCTACCTGCCCACAGATGCATGTACTGAGACCATTTTTTATGTTGTGAACGTAGTGCTCTTTCTTTATTTTGGAAGACGCGTTGGTGCATTTATTATGGTACAATCACTTGAGAGTTGAGAAATTGGAGAGCGAGCAAGCTTTCCCAACTTTGTCTCTTTCTCTCTGGCACTGCCCTGTTTCAGTTTCAGTAGGCATATCTACTAGCAGGTACAAACTGCTCTAAAGCAGGTAAAGAACGGGAAGCTTAGGACGGTGCGGCCTCCGTGTTTCGCGCTTTTCGCAAGGTGACAGGGTAAATGCTTTTTGTGAGATATGCGGAATATGCAAGCGATTTTGTTATGCCCGTCGTTTGCGTCTCTCCAGCAAAACGAACAAGATGATCTACTACAAAGGCGCAATCACAAGCCAAGATTTAAGATAGCAGTCGTTTGCTTCGGTGATCAGTGTAGCTGTATTTTACCCTGCTCTCTGCAACACCGTGTCATGACGAAGAGCTGGAACGGTCACGGTTTGTGCTGGCCTCCCGGTTGACAGAAGCCCGCATCGGCACCGAGTGCGCTTGGGCTGTTGATGCTCAAGCCTTTCATCCGCGGCTTGTCGCCAGCTCATCCTGCTGCTCAACGGTGAGGAAGCGGCGAGGGTAACCTCGGAAGTGAATGTAAATCCTCGTTCATTCAGTTATCCGGTGTCAAAGTGTGGAAGATTTTCAACGTGTACTGAGGGCGGGAACTACGAGCGTTTTGCCTTGCTTTTATAACCGAAACCAGACCAACGAGATAACTGCCTTCCCTGCTGGAAATGGGCGATGTGAAATGAGGCCAAAATTCACATTGAACCAATGTGCAACTGTAGGTCCAGACACATTGAGCAATATGCATTTATGAAACAAAAACCTATGTGCACCAATTGGTAATCCTTTAGGGAATTCACATTGGGCTGAATTGGTAATCCTTTAGGGAATTCACATTGGGCCGATTGCATTTATGAAACAAAAACCAATGAGCAGCAATTGGCAACAGGTACCCCAGTGCACATCGCATTGAGGGTATTTATGGGGCAAAAACCAATGAGCAGCAATTGGCAACAGGTGCTCCTGTGCACATTGGGTTGATGGTATTTATGGGGCAAAAAAACTAATGAGCGGCTATTGGCAACAGGCCCCCCTGTGCACATTGGATTGATGGTATTTATGGGGCGAAAACCAATAAGCGGCAATTGACGACAGGCACCCCTGTGCACATTGGGTTGATGGCGTTTAGGAGGCGAAAACCAATGAGCGGTAATTGACAACAGGTGCCCCGGTGCACATTGGTTTGATGGTACCCAGTCAACCAGCAACCGTCTATTAAACATCCGAGAGATGTGTTGTTCGGACATTTAACATATCCAGTGGATATCTGCTACGATTCATCCAACATTGAAAGTATCTACTGTGCAGTGCAAAATGGTTCCCCAGAAAACGTACCACTAACGCAATCTGGTTGATGCAGCTGGACATTCAGGACCATTGTAGGATGTTCAGCCTGATCCCGTGGATGTACCATGTACATACCTCAGAAATATTACTTTTCCTGGTATAGGGACCAGCCCTATGCCAGGAGGGCAAGGAAGTGCCTAAGCAGCCTTCATTTTATGCTAGCATATAGCGTGTAAACTGTCCTACAGAAAACTTTAAACGGATAAGAGTCCAATTCTTTACAAAACAAGAGCTCAGAGGGCAGATTTGCTGTATGGCCCGTGCATGCTCTCAATGTATACCCAAATGGCGCATTACAGATGTATATTGTAGCAATCAGGCCCGCAGCAGACATTCTTTATATTGAAGTTTTTTTTTCACCATCAAGCTCAGAAGCTTTACCACAGGATCAATGCAGACGACACTGACAAGAAAGGCGACACTACTGATGCTGACCTGTTTTAGTGAGGTGGACCTCGCCACATGCGAGAGAACTGAAATACTGGACACAAACATTGTCATAAGCTATGACGAACGGCCCTGAGGAATTGACTACTGAAGTCTAAGGCTTCAGTAGTCATATGCTCTAGTGACGAGGACACCAGAATTCCATGAGAGCTGTAGCACCGACTGCATGGCAAAAGATGCCGCTGCAGTCTTGCAGCGTAACTTTGAACGTGAGTAGCGCACTAAATTCCTGCCCAGCCTGTCAGGCATGCACATCCGTTCTGTAGAAAAAGTTACAGTGGCAAACAAATCGGCATTAACTCTTTATTGTTACTGTTAGACAGACGAGCAGTGCTTGATGCTTTTAAAATAAAGTATAATTTTTGAACAATGCTGCATAGACAGCATGAGGTTTTCAAAATAAAGTATACTTACTGAACAATGCAGGATACTTTGCTTAAAAAAATGTCTGATAAACATAATAAAAAGCTCAGCGCATTCACGGAGGCCCACTTAAGGCGGTTCACATCTCTCTCTCCTGTGGTGCAGAATGTTCCTGAAAAGCAACGAAAAAATGTTACGTTAAAGATATGTGAGCAGTGGTTTACCATTCCTTGAAACAAAACTAATAAAACAGTGAAGTTCAAAGTGAAGTGACTCAAACATGCAAGAATTGGAACTGATGTAAATAAATCACAAGTATTTTATGCCTTGTTTTTAAAGCACATTCCTGCTGGATGTGTGTACTGTATTGCCAACTTTTGTTTGTTAGATTTACATAAAATATCAGTGTTCTTAAAATTCGTTGTCTATGCATTCTTTTTAATCCATAATAAGGTACTATTGCATAATGAAATTTTTCCTCTTAGAGAAACACTCCAAACAAATTTTTTTTATTTAAAATTATTCAATACTGTTCACACCTGTCGTATTTGCTCTCAAATTAAACCAAAAAAGGTGTCACTGGCTTTAATATTTAAAGCATTCAAATACTCTCATATAGAAATTATGCTTTGAAGAAATTGCACACCATACTTACTGTTCTAGAAAAGTTTGATTTTTGTGCTAACATCAGCTTAATAAGACCAGCTTACCATTTGAGATGACTGATGTCAGGCAGGTGCGTGGCGAAGTTAATCCGTGACCATGGTTTCTACCTTGAAGTCTTCACATTTATGGCAGCTCTGCACTGCATCTGATAAAAGAAAGCAACAGAAGTATGACACCAACAATTCCATAAATCTGGTTCCATGTGAAGCGATCTGCACTACTGTTCCAGAGATTACTTACTTATGATGCACTCAGCAAGGTGAAGATTCCTGAATGTCAACTTTCTCTTACGTCCCTCCCACAAAAATTTTTGCCCCAACTGGTCAGTCAGCAACCGCTTCATGATCTGTCTCGTACAGGAAGCATAACCAGATCCGCAGACTTTGCTGAGCTGTCGAACATAAAAAAACATCCACATAGCAACCGCTTAGTGCAATCATAACTATTGATTGGATGTTTCTGTTTATTTTTAGTCAACCTTGGCAGGTGTTTATCGGCATCCATTTCTTCATTAAATGTGCTGCAAAAATATTCCAAAAGCCGGGAATCATAATGATAAAAAAAACTGCACCGACTTTACTCAACAAGATTAACAATTTAATCAAACGTTTCGTCTCCCATGTGGGAAACATCGTCGGTGAAACCTTGAAGCAGGAATGAGCGAAAGAAACTTCAACAGTCCTATTTAAGCAAGTCCGCATACACATTGAGGAGGGGGCCGCAGCTGGAGTTACAAGCTGATGAGTCATTTCGGATGAACCATGATTCTACGAACCTGCTTGGACCCCACCTTTGTTCACGCGCCAGAGTGGACGCATTCTCAAAGTCGAAACTGTGTCCCGTATTTCAACAATGGTCTACGAGTTCCGTCTTCGCTTTTGTCGCATGCGTGGCCTTTGCCATGTCCCTTTTGTGACTTTCATTTAGCTTTAAAGGACCAATGCAACAATATTTGTACTTTACGCAAATACCGCTTAAAACGGATCCCTAACGTTAATGACCTATGAAACACGCGTTCGTTTTTAACCCCATGCAATAGAAGTTCCAGAAAACAATTTAAGAAAAACGAGCAGCGTTCACCCCCTCAACTCGCAGCCAGAACAAGCGGCCACGTGATCTGGAGCCGATTATATGCCGCCAGTGTTGATCATAGCCACGCGCTGGGGTTGGCAAAGCGCAGGACACGCGCTGAGTTCCAGGCATTGTTATGGCTCGGCTGTTGTCGTCGTTGCAGCGATTGGACACGGGTCAAAACCCGAATGCTTCTCGAGCTAGCAATTGTCACGAGCCCAAGTCGAGTGCCCACGCAATGCTCGGGTCCAATCTATGAACCGCATTCAAATATCGTCACTTGGGTGTACTGGGACCCCCGAGTTACGTCATCAAATTTTGCAAAGGAGAGATTGAATGAAAAGAATCGCTTTTGTCCTTGAAATTACACCGCAACAAAGGAGTTTCTTGGCCAATGGCGTTGCGTGTGAGTATCCTTGAGTCCCAGGTGTGCCAGTAAGCTCGTGTATAGAGAGATACATTCCAATTGAATATCGTTGCACAGCTCCTTTAAACAGCATTGAATCATCAATCCAATTCACACATGAAGTTGAACAGAACGGTGCAAAGCATTTTCTGTATGTTAATGTGTTCCGAAATAGTACCGGTCGCTTATATACAACAGTGTACCGCAAAGCTGTGATACAGGCAACCTCTTAAGCTTTAACTCGCATCATTCTGTCGAACATAAAAGGGCTGTCGTAAAAAACCTACTACACCGGTCCGAACGCATTTCTTCTAATCCTCAATTGCGCGCTTCTGAGAAAAAAAGTCAAATTTAGGGGATTTACGTGCTAAACCAACGACGGGCATCTGGCACGCCCCAGCGGAGGACTGAGGATTAATTTAGACTACCTGGGGATCTTTTGACGTGCAACCGAAAGCTCGGTTACACGGCGCCTGCTCCGCAATAAGCCTCCGCCACATGGGGATCCGTAGGCCAGCGCTCTCGCCTCAGAGCCACCGAGGCGGCTTGCGCGCTTCTGAGGATGCTGTTATTGTTGACCTGCTGATGAAGCGAAATTATCCGAAACATTTTATTGATAACACGCACAAACAGATGGGACAAAGAAGTCAGGATAATGGACAACTTAGGACAGGGCAAGCAACAATACCCTATTTGAGAGGTGCTTTTGAGTCCATTCGCAGGGCCCTCGCCCCTTTGAATATCCGCACAGCTTTCAAACCCCACCATAAACTATGCGACTTCATTTCTAAACCTAAAGATTACACCCCCCCAGAGTCCCAGTGCGGTGTTGTGTATAAAGTGAACTGTCTAGACTGTGACACATCCTACATTGGGTGACAGGCTGGAAGCGCTGCATTCGCCTAAACAAACACAGCGAAGACGGAACCCATAGACCATTGTTGGAATACGGGTCACAGTTTCGACTTTGAGAATGCGTCCACTCTGGCGTGTGAACAAAGGTGGGGTCCACGAAGGTTGGTGGAATCATGGTTCATTTGAAGTGACTCATCAGCTTGCAACTCCAACCGCAGCCCCCTCCCCCCATGTTTATGCGGACTTGCTTAAATAAGATTGTTGAAGTTTTTTCGCTCATTCCTGCTTGAAGGTTTCACTGATGATGTTCCCCGCATGGGAGACGGAACGCTTGATTAAATTGTTAATCTTGTTGAGTAAATTCGGCGCAGTTTTTTTATCATTAAATTTGCTACTAATATTTATACCTGCTCTTATTGAGGCACTTCCGACATTTAAACTGAAGAATTTTGACGTCTTTATCTCAATATGGCGATTGGATTAAAGATTATACCACTGGGCACGGGCTTACCCGAAAGCCCAGGCCTGGGATCGGCTCGGACTTTTTTGACTGTGGGCCCGGGCCGGGCTCGGGCCAGCACGTTGATTGGCCTGGTTCGGGCTTGAGCCAGCTGTAATTGACCATGATGCTGACAGAGGCCATCATAGAAATCGGCGTCTCGGTTATCTCAGCAACATCAACTCCAGAACCACTAGACAAGTACCCATGAACGTAGGCCCACCTTAAGAGAGTGGGCGGCAGCGTCGTTAATCATGAGGCGAGCTTCAGGTTAATCCCAGTGGCGTGATGTTTTTGCTTGTGGTGATAAATAGCGGCAAACCAAAAATAAACGGACATTGAAGCGCTCTGTCAGGAATTAAAACTGGGGGACTCAAAAACATTAACGCTAAACAATCTCAACCTAATTGATCATGAGAAACACTTATCTCTCTCGAATAATAGCTGGGAAGCGCTAACATAGAGGCAATGATGTAGTGGGGAAGCTTACAGGCCTAGTAAACAATTATACACATACTGGGGAATGCCTGGCACATATTCAGGTATGAATACATGCTCAGATCTACAAAATATTTTAGAAGATACAAACTGCAAATTAGTAGTCTTTCTTAGAAAACACATTGACGTATCTTAATCACAGTGCTAAAACCCATAAAAACACTTGATTACAATTATTTTAATAAAAAAAAAGTTCTGAATATGTACATGACACCAGCAGTCATAACTTTGATTTAGTTCATCACAAGCTATATTTCTCTGGCAGCAAACGAAGACAAACCTTTTAACTGTGCAGTGAACCAGAATTAATACAATACGACGAAGTTTCCGTATACCACTTTAAAATAACCACAAACAACGCTTTTCAGATCAGTATGTTTTGCTATAAAAGGCTTATTATAAAGCCATAGTCCTTACAGTATATTATAAAGCTTTTAGTCTTGCTGCATTAAGTTGTGGCTTTGCTTAGCCTTTGTGCGGTTTGAAGGTCTGCCGGTTACAATTTGCCAAGGAGGCCATCTGTGGCGGAGATAATCACCAAACCTTACCGGATGAACATTGATTCCCTCTTCCATTTGAGTACTTTCGTGTGTGAAGTCTTGTTGAGCCACATGCCATTGCCAATGCACACATAGAAGACATAAACTTCAGTTCATCTTTGAAGCAGCACTATGTACAGAAAATTTACCAGCGCAATATTCGTGACTCCAGCGAAATCGACGCCGCGTAGCGGCAGCGCCGAGAAGCTCAGGAGAGGAGGTTGTCCCGACTCTGTCGTCTGCTATCGCTGCTTAGTTCTCGTAGGCAGCATAGAAACAAACATTGTTTCCAGTAATTATTTTAATGATTCCACCGGGTCCTTCCTACGCACTGAGTAGACGAACGTTTCTAGGGTCGAAAAATCGCTTTGCATTCAAATGTAACACCGATTTTACGTTGCAGTGCAGGAATTTGTGATGGTCCGCATGCTAAACAACGAAAACGACCTTCTTTCGTCCGAATTTTGCCTGAGCAGCGCGCCATCTATAGTTCGCTGGAGTCGCGAATAACCTGGACTGGGATTGAAAACAGGGGTCCTATTTGTCAACGGCATGCCTCAAAATTAATTTTGTTGATGAAAAAAAAAAATTGTAGCAATATTTACGCGGCAAAACGCAATTTGAGTTTGGCACAAAACCGAACCGGTGTAACTAGCAGGTATCCTTCTTACCTCATTACTGTCAGAGTTAACGATTTGAATGATTCGACGTGATCCCTCACCCTCCTCCTCTTCTTCATCTCCTCTCTCTCCCCCAACAAACTAACAAACAAACGAGCACGCACGCACGCACGCATGCACACACACACACACACACACATATACCTCTTCTCCAAATAGACACAGACTGTGCCACGCCTTGACAGATATAATTCATTCTAACCTTAAGCCTATCAGCGCAGAAAAAATGCTAAAACACATAACCTTTACCTAGTTTCTGGGCATATGAAAACAAACACACGGCACCCCTATCAATGAAATTCCTTGTACTTGTGGCGGCATAACTAAAGAAAATCTCAAATTTAAAATACGTTTTATGAATTGCTTCGCAAGTGCGAAAATGAAATTACAATTACCTGTCTCATACAAGCTTCCTCCAGCCCTCCCGGGCAGTCACTCATCTCGTCGGAGGTACTAGCACCCGCTTACTGTCACTGGGTTTCCGCGTCACTCTGCGATCCTGAAACAACCGGCGCCGAGAGTTACTCCCACATATTGTGCTTAAAGGGACACTGACAGGGTATTTATGCTCGCCGAGGTTTTTAGTTGTACGTGACATATGAGAGCTCAACTACGCAGAACAGAATTTGCGGCTCGAAATTCGGTTTCTTTCGCCCGAAAACCGCCGATCAAGAACTGGCCGGTTCGAGTCTCGCTCACTCTCTTTTCCGCGGTCACGGGCCGTTTTCTAAGGTATCGACAGTATCGATGCGACCACCAAATTTAAT